CACTCCTCCTTGCCATCAGTATCGCAATGACGCCGCCGTCGATAACGACCGGGGTTCTGCTGAAGGTCGACCTTCTTCACGTCGGGCAATTCGGTAGTACTAGCTCTCGTTGTTCCAGAGCCTTGCTTCACGTCGCGGCCGAACGACGCATGTTTCCAACGCGTCGCCCCAGTGCCGGGGGTGACGATCCCCCCAGACTTCACCGGCGAAGCTCCTGTCACCAGAGCCAGGTTGCTCTGCTGCTGCATTGTCTTCTCACTGGTCGATTTGGACGCAGCTCGACGGTTTTGGGGGGCGGGGGTGCCATCCTCATCCTGCTCTCTGTCTTCTGGAACGAGAGGATGGCGTTCTCCGTCACTTGCTGGATCGCTGTCGTCATGGTGATCAGGGTGTTGCGAGAGGCGGCAGCTGGCGGACCTCAGTTGTGGATCAACCCCATGACTGGAGGCGACGTCGCATAGGCTCTGGGGCCGAAGGCGTGGCTCAGTATCCGCTGGTTCGAGCTCAGTGGTACTCTTTGTCATCCGACAGTGTGGGTGTTCGTGCCCGCTCTTCGCTGTCATCTGGGATCAGATGATGGTGCTCTGGGCTGCCCTTCTGACTGCTGTCGCCGCAGCGATCACAGTGCTGAGAAAGGCAATGCCCATCGGATTGCTGCTGTGACTCAAACCCGGGACCAGAGGCAGCTAGGCGTGGACTATGAGGGTCCAACATGGATTGCGACTGAGCGGCACGTTTCTGCCGGATCACCGCAAAGGAAAATGGGAACGGCCTATTCCATTCTTCGCTGCCAAGGCATATGGAACCGTCGTGATTCGACGTCGTTCCGCACGGTTTTTCGGACGGCCGGGGAGAGTCAGACAACGTCTCTGGAGAAGGCCCTAGGCTATCTCTCTGTTGCTGCTCGTCTGCAACCTCATCGTCTGGGCCAGGCTCACTGGTGACCGAAGGCTTTGATACGTCGATATCGTCGGGAACAGTGTCGCGACTTTCGCCTGCGTAGGCATGTTAGCGAACTCGCCTGCCCGGGAAAGGAAATTTAGGTACATACCTGCACTAGCAACACCGCTGGAATCAAGCTTCTTGGATGCAGCCGCGACGAGCTCGTCAAGCGACGCGAAAGACATGTCGGATCGGCCATCGTCAGAATCGTCATCGGACTCGCTATCACGGATCAAGATCCCATTGTTCTGCGACTTCCCTGCACCACCATGTCGAGAATCATGCGCATCCTGTTGTGGCGGCGGCGGAAGGAAAGGAGCAGGGTTCCCCCTTCCGAAGGAGAAGCCCGCGATTCACAGGGCAAGGGCCTGCCGCCACAGGGGGGTTGTAAAAGACCTGGTTGTCGAGGCAGACTGTTGCCATCTCACTGCTAGTGATAATGCGCGCTGGTGAAGTGCAGAACGTGTCAAAAGGTTTAGGCAAGGATAGTCCTGGAGGTGTATGCGGTGCAAGCTGTTTACCTTCGTATTCCTGGGGTGTTGGGGAACGAGCGAAATAGATCTGTGTACCGAGGGTTGCCCGATCATCGCTGAATTGGCAAGGAGCTAGGCCCCGCGCTCTCCGTCCTCACCAACCTCCCAACCCCGGCTCGCAATGAGGAACGTGCTCGGCCGTGTAACGCCTCGTTCCATGCGGTTCCCCAGTTTGGTGCGGGGAATTCATAGGTTCCTCGCAACTCTGCCAATCATGCAATTGCCGAGACAGAAAGGACAGGGCCCAGGAAAAGGGAGGCGTCGTAGGACATCGTATCATCACGGCCCTTGCCCTGAGGCCCCGTGGTCCATGACGTTGCTACGGGTTGCCGAGGGCGGCTCAGCAGAAGTGGGTGTTAGCGTATCGTCTCCTGCAACGCCTTCCTACGTCTGTCTGCATGCGCCTCCTCCATGTCGTCCGGTTTCTGGTACTGCCCATGGCAAAACAGAATCTCCCAAGCAGTCTCACACACGCCATCGTTCCCACCAACCAACTCCTTCTCAAACCCAATCTGCCTCGCCATCGGTAAAGCGAAGGCAGCGGCGCCAGGAAGGTCGCATCATCGTTTCGGCGGCTACATCGGCCTCCTTGACTCGGCCTTGCCATCCCTGTTCGCTGTGGCCGGTGCGTCGCCCAGAAATAGGTCGCAGTCGGGTCAGGCTGGTTACCAGCATCCACCGCCACAGCTACGCTGGCATTCGGTCCGATTGTGGCCGAAAGAGTTCTGCGGTCCGCACACCGAGACGCTCTGGATCCGCCAAGCGAGAGGAGGCCCCTTGGTGTCTCCGCATGTATTGAAATCGATACCTGCGGCATTCTTCCGACTGGTCAGGACACGCATGCCTTGCAAATTGCACGGGGGAACGAGGGGAAGGGGGACCTACCAGGCAGGCATGGAGTCCAATCCTACGGACGAAATGAGGCACCCTGGAAGCCAGAATGGAGAAGGGTGGATGAAACCAAGTGGACGTTGGGTGGCCCCAAAGGGAGGAAGCTCTATGTCGAGACCAGAGTGAGCTGAACCGCCCTCCTCTTTCTCTCCGGAGCTCGTCCCCATTGGATCGCGTCGTCAAGGGCTCGTTGTTGGCTCGGCCTTTCTGTCGCCATCCGCCGGAGGCTGAATCACGTCCTGTTGACCTAGAAACAGATCCCAGTCAATCAGGACGCGAACATGCTGTTCTCGTGACCACTCTCTTGCAGCCTCCACCGTAGCTGTGCTGACATTCCGTCCGATACGAGATTATCCAGGACCCGTCTTCTCAACTAGCGAATTGGGAACATCTCCCATCTGCAGGTCAATGTCTCTGTATCGGACGCAGTCGAGATCTACAGCATTTTTGTAACTGGTCAGAATCAGCATGCATTGCAGACCGCTCTTACAGGAGACCTACCAGGCAGACGCGAAGTCGGCCGCCACGGACAAAGAGAGGCATCCTGGATGGTAGAGAGTAGGCGGATCTCGATCGCTTAGCGTAGATGAAGCTCAGAGTCGAGTTGAAATTGTAGAATGAGTCGAGTGAAGTAGTGGGAATAAGCCGGAACGCAAGAAGAGCTCCAGGGAAACAGTGCCGAACAGCGTAAATACTACGCGAGAGGCGATGTACGAGGCTCCGAGGAGCTGGAAAGAGGGGAAGGTAAGAGGTGGTAGGTAGGGAAATGTGGCTACCTTGGCGATTGAGCGATTAGAGAGGCATTGGTGATAAGCGCATTTTTAGGAAGTAGGGGCCGAGTGAAGGAAAAGAGAGAGGGATGAAGGAAGAAGTCGAGAGTACAAGAAAGCGACGTTGGAGAGGAGCGGCTTGTATTTATGTTGCGGGCGCAGCCGGGCCATGCGAGCACGCGAATCTGACGTAACACCATACCCGATCAGGAGGGGCGCCAAACCCGGCGGGTGCGACAGCGTGTTCTGCATTACATCTCCAAAAGCCTCCTGCAGCTCCTTGCCCCGGCCATCAGGAGCAAACACCCTTCACTACCGGCTAGACAAGTGTACCTACTAATATAGGCTTGCCTTCCAGAGCCTCACGGGTGGCGGTCACTCATTCTTCCTCAGCAGCAGCAGCTATAGCAATAGGGGTGCAGAGTTGCCACAGCTTCCAACATGAACGCCACTTACGAAATTATTTATATATTACTTTACGGTTTTCATCTTCTTGACTGCGAGGCGTGTCGGTTTAGCTTCCATACAGATACCTTCAGTACGTCAACTGGCATCTTCATCTCCCTGGGACCACAACCCCTTACTTCGTGGCCTATGTACCGTCCGGTCATTACACAACAGTGATTCAAGGAACTACGGTCAAATATACAGGTTTCGATCCCATCCGTCTGTTTGAACCCACCAATCACCTCTCCGGTCCCCTCTTGTTTTGTGCTACGAGGATTTTATGTTGGCTTCCGCGCCAACCGCCGAGGGCTTCAAGTTCTTCCCCTCTTTTTCGAGCACATCCAATTACATCCCTATCCTTCACCCGAACAATGTTTGGCCGAGTTGCCTTCAACTGTCAGGCAACAGCAGCATTTAGGCAACGAACTTTGCTGAACGTCGGGATTTGTTCACCAATCTCTTTCTCTCACGCAAACAAACGGTGTCTTGGAGAAGCTTTATATTGTACACATCTTACCGATCACATTTCAGTTATCCCTTGCAATTCAGCGAACTAGCTGTACGATGTCAAGCCATACTTCGCCGCCGAAGCTCATCTCCTCGGTGGAAGATCTCAAGAAATTCCTCTCCTCAATTTCCTCCTTCAACAGTCTGTATATCGACCTGGAAGGAATCAACCTTTGCCGACATGGGACCATCTCCCTCATTACCATCCTCGTCTATCCAGAGAACGTGGTACGCCTTGTTGACGTCGCCGTACTTGGTAATCAGGCCTTTACCGTGACTTCGGACAGCGGCAAAACCCTCAAGTCCATCCTCGAGGACCCAAACATCCCCAAATTCCTGTGGGACGTGCGAAACGACGCCGATGCCCTTTGGGCTTTGTACCGCGTCGGCCTCGCCGGGGTGACCGACGTCCAACTGCTCGAGAATGCAACGCGATTCGGCGATAAGACGTATCTGCGCGGCCTGGCGAGAAGTATCCAATATGATTGCAACCTTGGGCTTCTGGAGCGGAATCGCTGGCTTAGTACCAAGGAAGAAACAACCAAGCTGATGTCCACCGGGGTATTTGCAACCCGTCCGCTGGATGGCAAGACCATTGACTATTGCGTCAACGACGTCATTCATCTTCCCGAGTTGCGGGACACCTACATGCAGCGCATCAACAAGGAGTGGCTTGGCAAGGTCAAGAAGGAGAGTGCGGCCCGCGTGGTGGAGGCTCATCGTTCCGACTACGATCCGCTGTCGCCTACGAAGAAGTTCGGACCTTGGGGCCGCTCTGGTGTGACGCGACAGTCTGGATTTTTTCGATGAATTCTTGAGCAGTCGTCGGCGAGAAAGGAGAGGCGTTCGCTGGGAAGATACTAAGGGAGGCATACCTTAGTTTAATCTCGATGGGATGATGCCGGCAGACCTCTCCTACCCGACGTCGATTTGCATTCCTCTCGTCATGTAGCTTTTGCCTAGGAGTGGGGCCGTTGCCGGGAAAGTAATGCTATATTTACTGTCCTTGGGATGGCTGTCAGGAGATCCTCATGAGATGGAATGCCCCTGACTGACGCAAGAAGGGGGTGATCCTGTAGGGCAGATAGCTACCTACCTACTTGGACACACTATTTTACCTCAGGATTTCAGGTCCAGGTTTACTGTCAAGTTAACATCTGTTTGTGCTGTTTGTTGTTTCTATGGCGATATACTAGTTACCAGTATTTACTAGTACTGAAAAGGTGCAAAACCACACCTACAAGCCAAACAACAATAAGGGGAGGAAACCAAGCGCAAGGAAACAAGACCCACGTACCTGACTACGTACAATGCCTCGCTCAGGGCCACTGTACGGAAGGAATTCGACTGCAGTGCCTTCCTTATGGTCGGATCAGAGGGCTGAACCTAGTGGTGGGAAGGAAAGGAGTGAATTCGCTTGAAGAATGGCCCTGGAAACTGGGCGACTATGGAAGACTATTTATCCTGCTCCAGCTAGGGGTTCAGAGGCTGGGACCCACGCGCAGGAAAATTCGACCCCTGGCCCATGTAAGCCCCTGACCCACGCAGGCCCCCGGCACAAAGAACAACCACACTGAGCCCCTGTACAGATCTCCTGAGCCCAGCCCTGGCCCAGGGGAGAGCACTCTGCCCCGTTTCAGTACCTAAGTACCTAATTCAGACCCATAATATCCAAATCCCCGAGTCCATTGGTCTGGGAGCGTGATGCTCAATCCCCTTGAAATAGGGGTTCCTGAGCCAACCAGGACTTCCTGCTTGCTCAGAACGGTGCACAAAGAACAAGAAAATATTTCAGTGCTCTCAGTAACAGGATTGCCAAAAGCCAAACAATGTATGTACCTAGACAAACACCTACTAGCAGTGGATTCATCAAATGTAGCCCGTCACAGTGTCAAGCAGAGATAATTTAGCAAAACTTATCACCTGAAGGATACTCTCCAATGTGTTTAAGAATGCAAACTCTTCCCCGTTCTCCATTTTACTCTCAATCACACCATCTCAACATACCTCGCCCTCGCACTCCCCTCCCCTTTATCATCCCCCTCCCCAACCTTCTCAGAACTACTCCCCCCATCCCTTTCCCTACCCCTATGCACCGGCTCCGTAACCGCAGCCACAACATTCCAATAAACCCTCACCACAGGCCCATCCCCATCCCCATCCCCCCCTTCCCCTTCACCCAACCCCCAACCCCCAGTCCCACCCCTCTCCCCTTCCATGCCCATCATGGAGTCTCCTCCTATAACCTGAATCCTCCACCCCGCCCTCTCAAACCTCTCCCTCACATACCCCGACACCCCGACAAACCTCACCTGCACCTCCTTCCCCGCATACCCCCTCAACTCAGAAACCAGCGCTCTGAGATGTGTGCACGCCGTTGTGTCAATGTGGTTGACCCGCGCAAAATCGAGCACGACCAGCCGGATGGGGGGCAACGTGCTTGGGTCTGTGACGCCTGCGCGACGGCGGAGTTTGGAGAGGCGTTGAGAGCGGGTGACGGACCAATTTCGTTCTGGTTCTTCGGAACTAGTGCTGGTACTGGTGGGGGTGGGGGTGGTGGTGTGGTTGAAGGATGGGGCGTGGTGGGTTTGGACGCCTTCGAGGATGGCGGTTTTGGCGCGGTAGGCGTTGGGGAAGAAGAGCGAGTCGGTGAAGAAGAAGATGCGCGTGTCACGGGGGATGGGGATGTGGGTTTGGGTTTGGGTAAGGGCGAGGTTGCCACTGGGGGGTGAGTTGGGGGTAATGGCAAGGGGGAGCTCGTCGGGGGTTGTTTTTGGCAGTGTTGAGACGCTGGCAAAGACCTGGCGGAGGAGGACGTAGACGATGTTGAACCCGACGGAGCTGGCGATGCCAATCTCCGTGGACACGAAGAGAGATACCCAGAAAGCGATCATGGACGAGATGAAGTCGGCGAGGGAGGTCCGCCAGTACCGGTAGAAAACAGACGGGTGGGAGATAAGGGGCCACACGGCGGTGATGATTATTGCCGCCAGGGTGGCCTTTGGAATCCAGTAGAGCGTGCCGACCAGCTTGAAAATGGATACGAGAACGACAGCTGTGGTGATGAGCCCGGAAATGGGTGACTTGACCTTGCAGGCTGAGTTGACGGCAGTCCGGGACATGGCGCCACCGACCCCTATTGCGTGAAAGAAGCTGTTGGCAATGTTGGCGGCGCCGTAAAAGGTCAGCTCCTGACTCTGATCCATGACATAGTTGTTCTTGACCGCGAAGCCGCGGGCTACGGCGGTGTGTTCGACGGCCGAACCGATGAAAACGGCTATGCTTCGGCTGGCAACTCGAGAGAGCAGCTCAGGGGTTGGCGCTCGAGGTGGTTCCTGGCCGTTGGACTTCACCTGGACGACATCGAAGAGAAAGCTGTCTGGGCTGCCGCGGGATCTGTTTACAGCGTATCCGACGCCGGTGAAGATGACGAGAGTGATGAAGGCGCGGGTGATGGAGAGGAACCAGATGATTTTGTTTCGGCTCCCCCACCGCTTGCCGGCTTGGTCGAGTGCGGTTAGGAGGAAGATGCCGGTGAAACCGACCGCGCAGGCGTAGCCATTAGCCTGGGGCAGTTCCTGGAAGATGTCGTGAATCTGCGTGGCGGCGCCGTCACCGACATCCTGCTCGCCGAGGAGCGAATCCATCTGGTTAAGGATGATGGTGATGGCAACGGCCGAAATGAAGCCGCTCAGGATGGGGAGGGAGATGAACTCCAAGAGGAAGCCGAGCTTCAGGAGCCCAATCACCAAACCGTAAATGCCCATCATCATGGCAACCCCTGAGGCAATCTCGGAGGCTGACCACTTCTCGTCATGGAGATCGGCGATGATCTCGGCTGTCAGCAGACTGATGAGGGACGTAGGGCCTGTAGACAGGTCTATTATCTGACATATTAGAAAGGTTCCAACATTCAGACAAGCTAAAACGGAAGTGTCTCTTTACTCACCTTTTGTCGTGCCCATAAAAGCATAGAGGGCCGACGGCAGCCAGCTGGACATGAGGCCGTACTGAACCGGCACCGTGGCGATTTTGGCGTACGACAGGCCCTGCGGAATCAACATGAGCCCGAGGGTCAGGCCGGCGATAACATCGTTGATCAGCCAGCGAGGGTTGTATCTGGGAAGCCAGCCGACGATGGGAACTTTCTCAGTGGCATATTCGACGGCCGCTCGTGGGACAGCACTGGCTCCGGCCACGGCGAGCCGTCCGACTCGGTTCCATGTGAAGTCGTTTATGAGGGCTTCACTGGCTCTTTGAATGCTGGGCTTTAAGTTCCACATGGTGAGCTGAGATGGCTTCGTGTACTAGCTGAGAGGGGTTGAGCTGGGTACGCTAGCAGAGGTTAAGCACCAAAGGGCGGGGTTGGGACGACAAGGGATGAGTTGCCCCGGACTTTTAAAGTACCGTAGGCAGTACTCTAGTCGAGGGAAATCAAGTTCGAATCTGACGTCCTGCAGCGGCCCGCTCCCCCGGTTAGCGTAGATCTTCAAAGGTGGGTAGTAGTCGAGGAAGGCCCGCACATAGTATCCGCCACGAAGCAGCCTTCTGGCTCCGCGGGAGGAAATGGAGTGAAGCAGGCCGGCAAATCTCCCTCCCGAGTGTTCCGAATCTTGAAGCATTAGGACTTTGTGGTGCAAGATGTACATGCACGACTAAGGTAGTGTTTCATTGAGGATGTTCTGACAGGGAGCGAGCTGTAAGATGGCCATGGCCCGTCAAAAATAAGCCCAGCTAGACTGCCATAACGTGGGGAAAGAGAGAGAAGATGGGTTGACCTCGTACAAGGTAGTATCAGAGCGGGGGAATTCGACGTCACGTCGGCAGTGAAACGCAGCTGCACGTCGGATTCGGATTGACATCCCAGGAAGGCAGTCGTGAATGTATTCTGGGAGCTGCACGCGGGGGATCTACACCCAAAGTGCCCGAATGCTTCGTTCTCTAGATGCGAGCTATAAATGCGAAGGCCTTCGTTGCAGCTGTAACCACATCAGCAACCACAGAGGGAGGTTGCCTACCGGTAATACATACGGCAGTTGGATGAGAGGAGACCGGTGATTCAGGCCAGTTTATCTCCATGAACCCTGCATGTTTGCCCCAGTGACAGGTTCTGACGTAAGCTTCACTGGTCACGACATGGACTTAGCAGTTACATAACTCAAGGACTAAGTTCTGTTAATTGCTGCGTTCATGATCAGTCGAGTTCCAGTGAATCACTCCGTCGCGGAATGTGAGAGTAATTGAGATCCATCAGATGTCGCTGCCAAATGCCAATGTTGAGCTCTGTCATCGCGACTTAGGTGTCTAGTCCGAGCTCTATCGATGCTAAACTTGCACAATTCTTTGGGACAGAGTTCAGGTTGCAACGTGGGATCGCCAATAGTAGCTGCTCTACGGACATAGTAAGCTAAGTGGTTGTCTCAGGGGTTGAATAGGGGCTGTCATCTCCCATACACGCCACGGCCGTTTTAAGATAACCAGGTAAACAACACCAGAACATCTGAATAGTTATGGCTTTCTCGAATCCAACTTGTTTCCAGTCATGTTCACAACCCTGACGTCAAACTACTAGAAAACGGGGTCAACCTAAGTGGTTCTCGTCGCTCTTCTCTTTTGATCCTTGTCGGCTCGTTAGAAGCCGCCGAGCCGCAGACGTCAACCCGACGCCTTCGGGAGAGACTTGGCGCTTGGCGGCTCATCCGAGGGCCGCAGTGGTTTGCTTGGCCGTCAACCGGCTGCTACGCTACTCGCCGTCCCGTCCCGGCTCCGGGATGCGGGTGTGTCTTGGCCGTCTTGGCCGTCTTGGCCGTCTTGGCCGTGCCAAAGGGATAATATCCGGGACGCCAACAAGAAAAACCTTATTGTTTTATGAACATCAAGCATTCGTTTGTAAGAACAATTTGAAGCAAGAGGGGCGCCCTTGATCACACTAGCAGCCTGTGCACTGGTGCAGAGTGGACAAATGAGTGCTACTGTAGTTGCGTCATAGCCCGCTAATTCGTTTGTAAGTGTTCCCAGTTGAGTAGTACTGATAACTACCTACACACACCTAAGCCGAGGCAGAATAGTTCGGTCTGTTCACTTAGAACCTCCATCTTCCTCCAAATCGTTACGCAGCCCCCTTCGCCTGCCCGCAAACCGATCCTTATTCAAAAACCTACCAGTTACACACTGCTCAATGCTTCGATTACTCCGACTGCCCCCCGGCCGAAGAGCCCTGGCCCCTCGTCAACCTCCTCCGGCCGCCATCACCACCAGATCGTTATCCTTCGCCCCTAGGACAGGGAGCTCCACCTCTCCATTCACACGGCCACCCTCGTCATGGAGTCCCAGCACGTAGGACACCCGTTTCTCCCGTCTCAACATTCACTCAGGACATGTGCTGATGCGTCTGATTTCCCCAGTGTGTCTACCCTCGCACTCGGCACCATGCTAGTCGGAGGCTGGTACATCTTTGAAGAAGGCCGGAGCTACAAAGTAGGCGACCAAGTTTCTGCAACAGAGCCGCGTGTGGTGGGCACGCATAGGCAGGGAACTGTGAACCCGGATTATCAGAACTACGAAGCCTGGGTGGAGAAACACAAACGAGGGAAGAAGCATGAGGCGCCGCCGCCGGGGAGGCATCAGGTTGGGTGAGCTTGGAGACCATGGACGAGGTTGGGGCTGCAAGGGGCTTCACTCTTCAGGATGTTCAAGGGTAAACTGATCTCAGTAGTATCGAGCGCGGTTCCGTCATTCAGGGGTAAATGTAACTGATCGTCATCCCTAATCCAAACTGCAACTTCATCGACCATCTGGCAACCAAACCCCTGTATCAGGTATCCCGCCACAACAATCCGCTCTTCACACACTTGCGTCCTGATCCTGGTACTCTACCGCCTTGTTCAAATCAGCCCACATCTTCTCAGCCTGACTCTTATCTGCGGGTTCGTAAAGTCAGCACACCGGCCCCTTAGATTTCCCACTGGCTGCTCTGATCCCAAGAAAACAATAGAGTGAACATACGAGGCGGTGGAATAAACCCGTTAATCTTCCAAAACTCCCTCGGCGTCTCATCAATCGAAAACTCCCAATCATACCCCTTATCCGCAATATGCGGCTTCAGCACCTGGTCAATCTTGGTGATCATGCGCAGTGCCCGGGCCTTGTCGTCAACAAAGTGGACGGCGAGATGGTCCACGGTCAACCGGATGAATGGTTTGCTGGGGGCCTGTCCTCCGACATAACAGCTCCCTGGAGACAAGGGGATGAAGTTGACGACGACATAGAAGGCTGGCAGCCCGCCTGCCGTGTAGATGCTTGTGATGTCGGCTGCGAGGGCTTGTTTGGATTCGGTGGTGGTGAAAGTCCATTCGGGGTGGTACACGAGCCACAGAGGCATTTTGATCAAATGTCAACAGGACTCAGTTGAATCGAGTTCTTGGGATATGACGGAGCTTGAACCGATGAATGGTAGGGACAGGAGGGGAATGCAAAAGGAGCTGTTCTGGCACGAAAGGGGGGCTGAGGTGTGACTTTGTATCCCGTCTATTACTGGTACTATGGTCCTCAATGGTTGGGGTCAACCTACATTATGCTCAATGCCAGTGAAGTCCGTCCCTCGGCTGGAAGGTCTGGATTATTGTATGATAAGTAATCATCTAGCAGCGCTTGCAGGGGTAGCGACTTGCATGGCTCAGAAACAATGGTGTAGCGGCTGGGAAATGCTGATTACTGATCCACGATTCTGCTCAACGGTTGAGAAATGAGACGCTCACGCTAACCAGAGTGATATTGTTGAAACACGGTTATGGGGAACGAAGATGAGTTCACCTTTCCGGCTTGCACTAATACCGACCTACCTACATGTAGGTTGATCTAATATGCGTTGTCGGAAAGGAGTATCTCGTCTCAAACGAGGCAGAGTAACGAGGATACCAATGACAAAGGCAATACTGACGAAGGCCCAATCAACAGTGACAAGATAGGAACCTAATTGTGTACATGATGTGATAATCTTGATGGAGTCTCTAAAAGAGAGTCAGGGGACAGTACATGTATTTGTCCCCTGCCTGTTACCCCCGACTGCATGTCAGCTAAGATGGGTGCTGTCACAGGTGACTAATCTACAGTACAACAAGTGCCCCCTCACGAAGAGAACCAGATGACCTGCTGGTCATGACCCCAAGACGGAAACACGTCAATCAAGGTTATAAGAGGCCCTGTTACGGCGGCGGTTCCGTTCTGCCGGCGTAAGAGCGTTCACCTTGAGCGCGGTTAGATGCATCGTACGCCGTTGCCGTTGTTGTTGCTTTGTTTCTTGGGATAGGAACCATTGTTTACCATAGCGGTCTGGTTCTTCTCCAAGCTCGTTTTCAATGATGGTATCAACTCGCTTGCTATCTAGCCTCTAAACGCCCAACACCGGTTCCCAAACTGCGTTGCGGTCGTAATCCATCCGTGGAAGTCGTTGGCCGCTGGCAACGTCACCAGAACATGTCTGCGATCCTGGATCCCTGAGTGCGAGACGGCGTGGCCTTTTCAATCGCGCCCTTAGTATTCACGGGCACAGACGGCGGAGGAGTGACGAGCCGCATCTGGATTCTGGACGTCCTCATCCTGGTCGCCGATCTCCTGAACTTGCTGCTGAGGACCCTCATTGTCACCTACATAGATACAGGTAGACAAATCCCTGTCCCACACTCACGGCTAAAGCGGGCGTCTCTAGGCGTCTCCGTCACCGGCCGTGAAGCGCGGGTTGAAGGGTGGCCCGCCTTTTCGCGCCGCACCCTCGAGCGCCAACATTACCACCTCCACCTCGTTCCGTGGACTGTTGTAATTCAATCCGTGCAACAGCGGCACACGCACAACCTCCTGAGCCATAGCTGCTTCCTATCAACAGAATGTCGTAGCTCCGGACCTGATCCGGGTGGTTATTGCAGCAAGGAGGGAGGTTTCAGCACCCTGTCCGCCTCTCCACGTATGCCTGACGGGCTTCATCGTCGGTGAAGTGGTCGGCGAGAGCCTTGATCTTCCCCTCAACCTATCGGTACCAGACCTCGAAGTTGATGGTGTTTTTCTCGTTGTCGTTGTAGAACATGGACGGGAGGGCTGGGTTCAATGTAAGAGCCAGTTGCCCCATATATAAGTATCGAAGCCCGGCACCGCAACTCGCCATTCTGCTCGGCATATAGGTAGTATTGCATCAAATACTACCTTGACTGGTATCACGCCGACTTAAAACGCTTCTCCGATTGTCTGTCTTGTGGAAAGTCGTAGCTGGTCTGGCCCGCTGCCTTTCCCGTCTTGTCTTTGAAGCGCGGCGTACTCGCTGGTAGCTCTGCCCCTGGCAATGTCAACGCATGCCTGGAGTTGCCGTGGAATCCTTGGAATTGGCTCTTTGTTCAAGCGCTTTCTCATCGGCGACACTCCACAGCCGCCAGACCTAGACCCGCTTCAATGTCGTCTCGGCCCGGAGAGGGACGGGTTGCGCACATAGGGGTAGTGGGTATCGGTAGGGGCAGGGTTCGCATGTGAGGCTGAGTTGATGGCGATGGGTACGGTCGTGGGATCAGACTACAGCCGTTATATGTGATATGTTTTTACTCTCAGGGTTCTATACTGCTTGTTTGCGCTTGTGGCTCTTAACCGCAGACGAAGGCGGTTTGCCGCCAGTTATACGTCGGAGTTCTGACATAATTTTCCAGACTAGGTTTTCCCAATGCGCCTTTACCTCCTTACCCTCCTCCACTGCCTTCAGCCATGGGTAAAGAGAACAAGGTCGTCAGAGGGAGAAGATGGTCGCGGCAGGGGAAAAAGGTCGCGTGGGAGAAACGAGAAGATCAGGGAAGAGAGTGAATAAGGTCGCGGGGAGAGAGAAGAGGGTTGTGGGGAAAGAGAAGGTGGCGTGGAAGATAAGGTCGTGGGAGAGAGAGAGGTTGTCCGGGGAGAAAGAAGGAGGTCGCCGGTGAGCGGCCTGGCCTAGGCGCGGCGCGGAAGTTAGAGGCGGGACTTATACCATCGGAGCGTTCTCCCCAACCTTCTGTACTTTTCCTGGTCGTAACGCGCGGCCATTGTGACGGTGGACAGATAAACCAATAGTTCGAAGGGTAGAAAAAGATGCGGAAGGTGTAGACCTGCCCATTGCATGAGGGCAGTCCCCACTCAAGCGATAGAATGGCCAAAAGAGATTCGTATCCCCCGACTTCTTGATGATCACCATCAACAAAGGTCTGGTGCGTTGGGATAACTCGGACGCGTCCTGACTGTGCTGGCTTGGACGCGGCCCTCGTACGCCTCGACGTTCACAGCATGCTTATTGAGTAAGGTAGCGGTGTAACCTCTGTTGCATGTTATGTCTGAAATTTGTCGTACGTCGAGTGCCTCACTGTCCTTCGCATTAGGAGAATCTCTCGGGCTGTAGAGAAATATCATCTGTGAGCTCCGCCTTCAAGGATGGAAAGAGCGGACCATTCGCCCTGGAGTTATCAGGCGAGAACGCAAAAATGCTGAGCTCTTTAGACACATCCTCGGACGTGTTGTATCTGATGTGTTGAGTGTTGTCTCCACGGTCAGTGATGGCTCCCTTTGAGTCGAATCACAGGAATAGGATAACCAGAATGGGACCTTATGAGGCTGTAGATTACCGACATGCTCTGTTTCGAGCTCCTCCTTCCATGGTAGTGCACCCCTTCTTTCCCAAGTGTAGCGCACCCTTTCTCCCCCACGTGATAGTAATCAACCAGTACCGACTTCCATTCCGGACAGGAGAGTTGTACCGAATGCACTGCGTGCCAGCGCCGTGTTTGATCCCCAAAGCATGAAAGGTTGCCAAGAGCGACCTAGCAGGCCGTCTAGGTCATAATGTCAGCCAACCTGGCGTGGTCGATTTCTGGATGCCCCTTGTAATTCCACGAGCAAGCGATCATTGAGGAGGTCCTCGACCGGTGCAGTTCAGGGGGCAACTAAGCCCAGCCCTTCGAGCAGCATGTGACTTGGCCTTGCTCCGGATACCGTAAGAATGATAGCCGAGCTTTTCGGTTAGGTACTAGTATCGCCGTCACAGCACCTGGAGCTTTAAGCACAGGTGCAAGCTGGAGGTCGGCAACTTTCTGCACGACTAAATCACCTGGCACTTGGTTACAGGAAGATTCACAATTCCAGGTTGTTTGTCTGCCGGCAACGACTGTGACAGAGAAAAGTAGGTGTGAGGTTGAACGGTATATAGAAGAAGGAAGGTAATAAAGGCTATGTGTGCTCTTACGCCTGGGGCTTTGGCTTTGGCCGCTCTGCGGAGAGCAGCAAGTCTCTCGGCTTTAGCCTCGGCGTCGGCTTGCGCCTTGGCCAGTCGGGCAGCTCGGTCTGGCGAGGGAGGAGGACTGCTATCCAGGAGCTTTTTGCGCGGCTTTTTGGCGGGCTCCCTGGGGTTCTGGTTCTCGTCAGAGTCCTGGGTTCCGGAACCTGCAGCCTTCTAAGTTTTCGGCGTGCGACCCGGCATTGGTCCTGTAGCGCACCTTTTGCCGAAGTGTAGTAGCAAAGGTATAAAACACCCAGGTTTTGATGGAACAGGACGAGAATTCCCACAGCCCAGGCACACTCTCAGCTCGGCCTTGGCCTTTTTATGGAAAACTTTTGCCTTGCCATCTGAGACAAAGCCAAGCTTCTTCTTAGCTTCTAAGTGGCATATGCAGCTTGCTTGACGTGACGGAAATTCCCCTTCTCCGTCATGGCTTTCGAGATCGTCGCCCAGAGGCTGGAGGTCGGTTCCGTCCTCTTGCTTCAAGACAAACCTACTATTTTGACGAGCGACTGCATTCGATCGTTAACCATCCAAGTTTGTCAAGCATCGCACCAGACCTTGTCCGCGTTATCAACAGGGTTGATTGCCGGCCGTACCAGCACCTTTTGCAATGGACGTAGCAAGAACTTCACGATATAACGAATAAAGTCCAGCGAGCGGTTAGCAACGAGATTGAGCTCTTTTCACAGTATGCGGCGGCCAACATACTATGAAAGTCTTGGCCTTGAGCGGCGGGAAAGCCCCTTGGCTCAGCCAATGGAACAGGTCTGCCAAACACTGAACAAAACAAGTAATTGAGCGTCTGACGTTGGGTTGGGAGAAGGTGATCTTGCTGTTGAAGCCCCCGGTGCAGTGGCTTCATATTCGTCGGGGTTCTGCCCGGGCTTTGTCTGGACCATTTCATCCTCAAGAATCGCACGTCAACGGGAGGACGGGAGCCATGCGGAAGTTTCTCGTCTTCGGGGGCGCGAGGGAGCGTCACGATAAAGACTGCTGTGATTTGGCGGGCAGCCAGCAATAGGAGCAGAGACTCTCCCAACCGGCCACCACATTAGCTCGTCTTCTTACGACCCGGCTTGTCGCACCCCGGGACGCTCCTCGGTCGGTAGGCCTTTTGTATTGATAACACCAGTTGCTGACCAAGTGTCGACGAGCGAGTCGATGCGGTCTTTCGGAGCATTAGGAGCCTCTCACGATGCAGGCCCCATGATTGGGTGGGCAGCCAGCGATGGGAACCTCCACTCCTAGGTATTTTCGCGGGGACACGGCGGGCACAGCCATTGTCGGCGCTGGGGTCTTGCGTAGAAGCCAAAGACACTCCGGGTGTCTCCGCTGAAGTCTTTCCACGCATTCTCTGTGCTCTTCTGACTGACTTGGGTCTGTTGAGAAGTTCGGATTAGTGGATTAGCGTCTGTCCCTGACTCCCAGGACCTTCTCGAGAGTCTAGAGAGTCATGTCTGAGTCTAAGCGGAGAATCTCACCGTCTGTCGTGTCGTCCGAGTCTTGCCCCTGTGCCTTCCCGAGCTCGGACGGCCCAGGGCCGGGTAAGCAGGCGAACGACTCGAGATTGGAAATGCACCGTGTGCTATGCAGTGATAAGGATATATATATGTGTGGTATGGCCGCCATGGCACGGAAATCTTGCCGTGCGGTTGTCCGGCTGGAGGCAAATACCTCGCTCTTTGGCCAAGACTTGCCCGAGCTACATAAAGGGCTGAAGTTCAAAGTCGATGTTGAAGTTCAGCTGCCTCTCTTCCAGTTGTCCTTCGGTCCTAGACTCCTAGTACTTATAGACCAGAGCATAGCCTAGCTGGCCCTGCTACCTAGCCAGCGCTTTTCGTACAACAGGTGAGGAGAACGAAAGCAAAAACAGGAGCTCTTGCTTGCCTTGATGATTCCCAAACTTGCATCATACCTATATGAATCATCAGGTTTGCTTAAGGTTGCTTGCCAGGTAAATCTGACTGCGTGGTCCTATCTTTTGAGAAGAGTCAGTTCAATACCTATCTTTGTTGATCCAAGCAAGCAGCAGATACGTAAGGTACAACTACTAGTTAGTAAGTAGGTATCTAGTACTTCATATTTTGATTGCTTGGTAAGGCCTAAGAGGGCCTAACAGTTTGTACTTGTGTCTGCGGATGTGCAATGTTTGCCCTCCTCCCTTATAATCTCACAATTGTCTTGTTCATTTCGAAGACAGAATGTGCGAGAAACGGAGAGTACTGAGAAGCGGTAGAATGGAACCATCACTACGCGAGAACACGGAGCTGCGCTGCTTTGGGTTTTCGCCCAATCTTGCGAAGAGAAAGCGGCAGGAGATGATGGATATCTTTGTGAAAAGAACGATAGTGGACGGTTTCAAATCCACAGCGAGCGGAATGGAGGGGAATAAGAGCAAGTGAACAACATCCTAGCGAAGGCAGCAAAAACAGGAATGTGCGCGTGGTCTGGCCGAGGCGTGCCTGCCTATCCCGGTTCATCTCATCTCCGTCATCTACGTAATGATTCCTGTGCGCACATGTACATACGGCAAGAACGCCCGGCGATTCAGTCTGGGCCCCGTTGTCAGTTTCTTGGTTTTTAGCCCTTATTGAAACTCCTGCTTGTATTTGTAGAGCAAACGCAACCAAGCATGCCGCCCTGATGTGTGAAGCTGTCAAACGGGATCCCAGATGAGTCCCACTACTCCATCAACGCTCTTTTCTCGGACCTTCCCTTCGCCTCCCGTCATTTTCCGGTCTCATAACGGGTCCTCCGCCGGGGCGGTGGGCTCGCGTCATGCTGGAGTGCAGCTGACAACTAATGTAAGTGAAAAGGGGAGTGGGCAATCTTTCCAAGATCCAAACTCGAGAGTCGAGAGTTTCTCAGGTCCTGAGTGTTACCAAAAGATGCGCCGAGAAAGTCCGAAGCCGTTGAGACGCAGGCCGACACGCCGCACTTGGTCGTCGGCCCAGATGCTCAACACCTCCACGGACATGCCGAGACATTGAAGTCGACGACATGGGCAACGAGGCCCACAGCGAAAAGACACGGCTGGTCCCAATACCCCAATCAGCGACGCATCAAGGCTGAACACTCTGACGTTTCCTGCGGTGCAACGGACGGTTCCCATCTAGTCGGTATGCAGGAGAATCCAAGAAGGGAAGGCTGAAGGGTTTTCTACTTGAAAAGCAAGTCTGGTTTGGTACTGGACTTGGGGGCGCCCGGGTGGCTAACAAAGTTGAGGTGTGACACGACGGTATGTGTTTGCCGGCTGTGACCAGGCCGCAGCAGATCCCCAGTGTTTGGCGTGGGTGGCGCTGCTTGCATCTTGGGCTGCCCAGTTGATAACTGACAGACGCACAACCAAACTTGGCTCAACTCAAGCTATTCGTCCCGGATCGTCCGGGAAGCCGGGTCCGCCAATCGAGAACCCTGCATAACAGATCGGTGATTCGCCCGCCGTCCTGTGACTCCTGTCCCTGCCAGTAACCAGTCCCAGAGGGCAAGCAGTTGCGCCTCCTGCAGCCATGTACCCTTTGACACGACCCAACCGCCTCCTCATTCGCCAACCTGCCACTTGGCGTTGAGATCTGTGATCCGATCGATAGCCGAATGTATTCATACCTCAGGCAAAGACCCCTTTGGGAAGGCGGAGGCAGGAAAAAAAACGAAACGGTGTGCACTTGGCAATGGCTGGCCCCCCATTCTGGACAACGTTGACAGCAGGCTGGTCCTGTTTGCAACCAACTCCTTAACCATAGCTTCTCTGGTCCAAGCTCTGCTACCTAAAAGAAAAACAAACGATTGGTGAGCCACGCGCAGGCGATTCCTGGTTGGACCCGAGACTGGTTCTCATCGACGGCGTGGCTAGCCGTGGCTGTCTCCGGTGAACGGCAGGCAGGTTGAGCCCATGCCTTGAACTCGCCACCCACAGCCCAAGGGTGTATTTCAAGTTTGTTAAAGCTTGGCCGGAATCGGCCCAGTTATTCGGCCCGTGGCTCGCAGACGGACATGTTTTTCTTGCATTATACATGTGTGCGGGTTATCATGATATGAGCACCGAGATCAGTGAGATGTGATATCCCAACGGCACCGGCTAGCCCTCGACCAAAGCCTCAGGGACTGCCGGCCCGATAGCTTCGCATTGACGCATCGTGACCATCAGGTTGGCATGTAAAAGATTTAAGGAACTGACAGCCGGGATCGGCTCGGCTCGGGAGCCCCAGATAACATCGTCCATTTCGGGCAATTTGTTGTCTGATTCCAGCAAAGTGTCCGCCACAAACCACCGCGGGACACCGTCACCAATTTCCCGCGAGACATGGCAGGAGGAGATTTGCACAGACTCGAGTGATGATCAGATGGAAAGCAAGGAGTTGAGGGGACAATGAACGGAGCCAGGCAAGAAGAGATCCCAAGTCCTCTGGCTTGCGGCCCGCCCCTTCCCATGCCCCTTGAATCAGTCAACACTCGAGGACATAGAAGAAGACACGCGGTCCTCCAAACAAAGGGAGATGGATCATTTACAATGATTCTCCATGTTTCATCCCATTATGCGTCCCTGACGACACGTTGCTCCTGCCAATCTTTTCCTCACGCCATTGTTAGCATGCTCAGGGGGCTTATCAACACCCCTGACTCCTGACCCTCACTATTTTCGTCCGACTTTGGAGCAAAGGCGCTTGTGCTTGGTGAGAGATAGTGCGTGGGAGCTCCTGCCAGTGATGCTGACACTTCCATGGCATAAAAAGAGTATCATTGAGCAAGTTGCTGCCTCAAGGCCCGTGCGAATCCCCAATCCCCCAGGCGTTCTCAGTCCCTCGGGAACCTACACCCACCTGCATACGAACCAAAAGCCAGCCGTCCCTGACCGCTCAACGGTGGCAGCCCGACGAACCCCGAGAGCCGTGGCCGGGCATCATCCCCATCTCCATCCCCATCCGCGGGAAGACGGCCTGCTAAGTCCTCCTGCAAATCAACGACGGCAAAGGCCGGCCAGCACGGGCTGGCAGAAGCAGCGGTGAGGAAGGGGGAAGGGGGATAGTGGCAGGACGCTTCAGCCTGTCAGAGGCTAGACAGCTGGCTGTCCGGGATCTAGGCAGATTGAAGCATACCGCACTCCAGCGCTATCGAGAGAGGGGTTGCAGAATGTTTATCAATTTGTCCCGGCCCCAGGCCGACATGGTCTTCCCAGGAGACAATGTCCTCACCTCTGCCGCAGCAACCGCAGTTTGTGCCCCTTGGGTTTTTAACTTGGACCAACTCGACAACGCCGCAGAGATCCTGCACCACCAGCAGCGCCTCCTCGACATGTCTTTCAACTCGGCCGCTTTGACACGTGGTTCAGCCCAGCAGCCGGGTTCCAAACGGCGTCGGGAACAGCAGCAGCAGGGTCTGGTATCGGCGTATAGCAGCGGGTACTACCCCGTAGAGCCGCACCTCGGTGGGAAAGGTGACTTGTTTACGGTACGTTGTCCTCTTGTTCCAAGTTTTCTTTGTTTGAAGAGAAAGGGAAGAGAGACATGGAAACGAGAAACCAAGGGACTGACTGACTCTGAACCGGTGGATAAGACCGGGCCAGGGCAGTCAACGACCGGCCATCGCACCGTAACGCCACTTCCCCCTAACCAACTTTATGTCTCCCCCTACGCAGCGCCCGTGGACGGGGGCATGATCTGCCATCCGTCCAGTGCAAGCATGGTTGCTGAGCCGGATCTCCTGGACACATCATTGTTCTGGCAGGTACCGACACATGCAGCCGGGCAGCATTCAGCCCTTTCCTCGTTTGCATCACTGGTGGCAGATAGCCCGCATCAGGACCATCACACTGCCTCGAGTCTGGACTATAACCTAGGCGTCATCTCACAAACCGTCTTTGAGTCCGACACAGCATCCCACTCGCACGGTTTGCCGTCGGACGCCATGCTCGAGGGCGATACGACCGGAAGCCATTCTTCAGCGGCGACCGCGTCGGACATGCTCGAGGCCATGGTGATCAACGACGGGCCGCACCATCCCCAGTCCTGGAATGTCTCGCTCTCCTCCGTGTCTGGGAGTCACCAGCAGCCTGGATACCGCGGGGGTGGTCTCTGCGTTGGCACCACGGCGGGACAGCACGAGATTTCCACTGGCTCATGGATGCCTGTCGAGGGACAGACGGTATCTCCCAAGATGCTGCGCATCCGGCCCACCCCGACACCAACCTCGTCTTCGGACTCGATCCGCACGAGCTTTTTGGGAAACAACACCAACACTGGAGAGGATGACCAGGCTGCCTATCGCATGAGGCACGGAGGAGGGGGTTCGGCTTGCCCGATGCCGCCCAAGAGCAGGAAGCAGCTGCCAGACCGGGGACATGGACATGGACAACCAGCACAAACACTTGCGCAGTTCGGCCAAGGCGGTTCCAAGTCTCCGATGCCTTCCTTGAAGAAACTGAGCAAGGTCAAGCCAAAATACAGCAACAACAAAGCCATGCCGTCCTCTCCCATTAGTCCCAGCACCACTGTCTCCACAACCGCCACCCACCCGTTGACCACAGCAGCGTCGTCGCAGATCTCCGGCAGCGGCCCCGTGAGTGTGACAACAACAACACGGTCACGGTCCAGTGCGGGAGGAGAGGACCTGTGCGACCGCAGCGCCAAGGACGAGTTCCTGGTCAAGCACAAGCAGCTGGGGCTGACCTACAAGGAAATCCGGCGCATGGGCGGGTTCACCGAGGCCGAGTCGACGCTGCGCGGGCGATACCGGACGCTGACCAAGTCGCGCGAGGCAAGGGTCAGGAAGCCCGAGTGGTCTGAGAAGGACGTACGTGACCCCCTTTTCCCTCAGCTCCCTCACCCCCAACCACTCCATTCCTTCTTCTTGCGAGCGTAGCGTATACTGACTGACATGGGAAACTGTAGCTCCGCCTCCTAGAAAAAGGCGTCCGCCGCCTCGCCCAAGGCTGGCCCGGTCCATCCGGCGATTTCACTTCGGCCAAGGTGCCCTGGAAGAAGGTGGCCGAGTACATCGTCGCGCACGGCGGGAGCTACCATTTCGGCAACTCGACGTGCCGCAAGCGGTGGGACGAGCTGGTGCGCGAGCAGACGGCGCTGGGCAAGGACCTGCGCCAGCCGTTCTTTGCGCAGAATTACCGTGACGGCGACGACGAGGAAGAGTTAAAGTTGGGGGGGGGGGGCACAGGCACTGGATCGGGGTACTTTCCCGGTGCGGCGGCGTTTGGGGGGTATGGACATGGACAACAGGGACAGGGGATGTAAAGTAGTAATAGCTTTTGCAGCACTGCATGGGGCATTGGAGATATGCAGCAGCAGGGCCGGCGTGGTGGGTGACTCGGGTTACAAATAATACCGGGCCTGAAGTCGGGGGAGCAAAGGGAAAGGGATAATGCGTAATACCAACACAACACCGCAGAGCACAGCACAACACACAATGACAGAAAGCAGTCTCCAAAGTAGGTAGGCAGAAAACATGCATACGGGGTATCAGTTCAGATCTTCCCACATCCCCCTTCCGATTCGACCATCATGATCTCCCCTGACCCTGCCCATCCAAGCCCCATTACAAAGGAACCCCCTCCCTCGGCAGCGGCGACGAAGCCTGGACAGTCGGCACCCCAATCCTTCCCAAAATCTCCAACAACTGCTCCGGCTCAGCCCGCAAAGCATCCCACTCAGCCTGGCTCTTGACAAGCGCCGTGCCGGCCAGGACAGTGCCGTTCAGCGTCAGCTTGCCAATCGGCTTCCTAGTACCACCCACACCCCAATATCCATCAATTCCGCCCGCAGAGGAAGAGGAAGGGCAAAACACCGTCTCCCCCTCGGCCACCCGCGGCATGATGACCATGACATGCCTGGTCATGGCCAGGTTGTAGCTGATCTTAGCCTCCACCCCTGTTGTCTCTTCCCCATCTTTGCCCCCATCCTTAAGGCTACCATCCAAGAGCGTGTCAACCCCAAGCATGGCATCGACCTCTTTCACCGGCGAAAACGCGCCCAGCACAGCCTCGCATGCCTCGCGGTACAGCCGCAGATAGACCGCGCGCAGGTCGGTACCGGGGTGGATTGGCTCGGCAAAGGTCTGGAACGGCAAGCGTGCCTCACGCAGTTCTGCGTCCCGCGCCAGCTCGTCCGCCAGAACCCCCCACTTCTTCCCACCCTTATGCTCCGGTTCCAACCCCTGCTTCATATGAGCCACGGGGAGTAATTGCAAATGCCTGTGCGGCTGGCTGGCGCCTGAATGCGGGCCTGAGTTAAAGTAGACAAACAGGCCCCCATCTTCCTCCTCCTCCTCTGTGTCGGGTGTGCTGTCCGCGACTGGGTTCGAGGAGCGGTGCTGCTGCTGGTGGTATGCATGATACGCTTCGATACACGCATACGCAATCCTTAGATCAGCCTCTTCCAGCAGGTGTGTCTGCTCCTTGAAGGCGCGGGTCGCCAGGATAAAGTGCTCGGGTACCACGGCGAACTTGTTCAGCACCAGGATGTGGCTGTCGGGAAACAACTTCCCGGTGGGTATAAGCATCGGCGCCGGGGGGTTGTCGAAGGGGTCGAAGTAGGGCTTTCTCTTGTCTGCCGGCTGCTGATTCTGCTCGGGGTTGGCGGGCGCGATCGTGGGAGACGGCGGAAGCGGGGCTTTGGGCTTGTTCGCGAGGGCTGGGGAGAAGCGGAGTTGGAACTAGATTATATTTGGTAAGTAACTGGTATGCCGGGCCAGATTTGCCGCCAAAACGTACCGGCACCGAGTGGACGTTGAGGATGGTCACTTGAGTGGGGTAGAAGGTGACGTCGCCGCTGGCGCGCGCCCGGTGGAAGGCCGTCTTGACGAGCTCCGGGAGATTGGACGGGACCTTGAAGGGCGCCATGTTGCCTAAGGATTGCGTCATGGTGAGAATCCGATGTTTGAGAAGGTTGTAGGAGGGAAAAAGTTCAGAGTCTGGGAATAGCTTCGATGAGGTCATTGTTGTGGCCCGTGCGTGCCGAAGTGCCCGTCGCGAGCCGGGGATCCGGCAACATCAATGAAACGTCGTAAAGGCAAGCCAGTGGTGATGCTGTTGTATCATTACTCTATCCGTGCCTCTATGGTATGCCGTGCCCGATTCCCATCCTGTATGCTTCGAATTTTAAACCCCGGGCAGCCCGATAATGCCTCGCAGCGCGGGCACCCAGCGGGGGAGAATGTAGGTAATGTACAGTCCGGTCAAAGCGACAAGGAGCCCAGTGAGCTGGAGCCGTTAGAATAGCCCTCATTAATACCACCGGGGGGGGGGGGGGGGGGGGGGGGGGGGGGGGGGTACTCACCTTTTCAAACCACGTATGGAAGTAGATGGCCGTCATCAGCAACATCCATCCGGACAGCCCAACCACCGCAGCCGCCAGCCTCCCCCCATAGCCCAGCGCCTCCAGAACCGAGTTCGCCGGCGCATTCCCCTCCCTTCCATCACTACCCTCCGCTTCCACCCCGGCCCCTTTCACCGCGCTGTCATGCATCACCACCGACCTCTCCTCCGCCCAACACCTCCCCCAGCGCGCCACCACCCATCCCACCTCCTGCAGAAGGAAGAAACTCCCCAGCACCAACAGAAACACATGTCCGCTAATATCATGCCCTCCGCTCCACGCACCACCACTCGCCCTGCACGCCGCGGCGGTCAGCACCTCCCCAGCACCAACCTGCCCATCCTTCTTATTCCCACCCCAAGCCGCTCCACCGTTTGTGTTTATGCCCGCCTGCTCCTCCACCTTGGCAATAGCAACCTCACATTTCCCGCCGGTAAACCGAAACCCCCTGTCAATAATCGGCGGCCCAAAGAACCACTGCGTCACAAACACCCACCAAGCAGTAACCATCCCCCAGCGGATCGCTGCCCGCACCCTTCGCGTTTGGTTTGCCAGCGCCGGATGCGTAAGCAGAAAAGCAAAAAACGCCACTGTAACCCACGCCCACCCGCGCTTGACAAAAAGAATGTTGAACAGGTTACCTTTCCGCGCAAAGTACGACGGCGGCGCGTTCTCCCGGGCCTGCCATGTCTGTGCCTGCGCACGCTGTGCGGCGGAAAAGGATGACGCGCGTGTTTCGGGGGAGAGTAAGGCGAAGATTGTGCCGAAGATCAGCACGGCGGGGTAAGCTGCTAGTAAGGCCTGTTCGGTCGGGGTCGGTAGGTAAGGCGAGTTGCGCGTCGATGAGGGTGAAAGGGAAGATGGGGTCGCGGACGGGTGGGTGGTGGTTGTTGTCGTGGCGGTTATCCGCGCGATGCGGGAAGGTGACGAGGCGAGCTCCGAGGGGGTTTTGTAGCGTCGAGATGGGTTTGGGCTGTTCATGGTGATCTATGGAGGGTCAGGGAGAGCCAGGTCGACGTCGTAGTGGTAATTGAAGGGAGAGCGCCAAAGTGGCTATGTGGCTCGTGGTAGTTCGACAAGCTGCAATGATTGAACGGTGTGAGGAAGCTGGTAAGGAGGAAAGACGGATGTTGATGCGTAGGGCTGGACTCGAGGATATGTTACAGTATTTCGGTCAAAGTGGTGAGAGTGGTGAAGCAAGAAGTGACGACAGACTGGGGAAAATACTGACATCTGTCTTGGTCCTGGCGGAGTGAAGCATCAAAGTTTAATGCCAAGTTTATGACGTTGACAGCTTCTCAGGTCTTGGCATGCCCCACTGGAGGAGGCAACCGCCAAATTAGGTAAAGCCCGCACATCCAACCACCATCCACTTCTGTTCACGAAGTCATCGCCAGCACAGACAACCATGATCTACGAATGCACAAAGTTATCATGTGGATGGAAGTGTTGAGAGGCTGGTTAATTCTCTCAAAGCACCTATGCTTGCACTGCATGAAGCCATCTATTGCCCACCCATGCTTATATGTATACCCCATCGCGATCAAAATGTTCATCTCCAAGGACCTCACCACATCAAGACACTTGTCGATTCACCCTCCAAGGAACGCCGGACACTAACAAAATGCAGAGGTAAATGCCCTTGGACTATGGTCAAGAAGAGTACTGGACTGTCAAAAAACCACCGAGGCACGAATGAACTGGTATCCTGCACGTCAAGACCTATCGCTTGTGGCTGTCTAAAATAATCACAACGAAAAAGAAGGTAAGAAAAGAAGAAAAGAAAAAGTATGTATCAGGGTATCCCATCGTCATTTACACCCCCCTCAAGCTACTACTCGCTGTGACAAGCCATCCCCATCTCCGCCTGCTCAGCTCCGGCCCCAGCCATCTCCTACGACGACTCGGACCGGAAGTAGGCGAGCGTCGCGCAAAAGTTATTCCTGTTATCCTTGTCCAGCGCCGCGCTCTGCCCGTTGACCGTCAACATATTGACACTAGCCTTTGTGCTCAGGCCGAAAAAGTTGACGGCGCTGTCCTCGAGCGACACCATGTTGGTCTGGCACGACTGCGTCAGGAGACAGTCCTGGCCGTAGTTGTCAAAGAACGAGTACAGCCCAGCGCCATAGACAAAGATATCCTTGGAATTAACGGCCCGCACGCCCCACGCGCGCTTGCACAGCCCCGTCTGGTCGCCCGCGCACTGCGCCTCAAAGTCGGGATCGTTGAACTTGGCGTTGACGGTAAACGGCTTGGTCGCGTCCGGGTTGCCCTGGTAGTAGGGGGTTTCGGTCTGGATGGCGCCCAGGAAGATGTTGGACGCGTTGTTGAACTGGTAGTTGTACAGCACCGAGTGCTCCGAGGCGGTGCCCCAACCCCAGACGGGGCCTTCGCCCTCGATGAGCACGCCGCGCCCGTTGAACACATCGATCTGCCCGTCCTTGGCTTGCGGCTCCAGCGAGTGGTCAGCAACCCAGTACCACGTGTTCTCGAGATAGGCGCTGCCGCCCGCGGGGATGTGCAGCATCATGAAGGCGCCAAAGCACTGCTCCGGGATGGCGTTGGTGACGTTGGGGTTCTTGGCGCATTGCTCAAGCTCCAGCTGCGTGCCGGCGTACCCGCCGATGCGGGTGTGCACGTCCCACAGCCCCGCGGCGCCGGGCGTCGTGCCGGCCACGTTCCACTCCATCATGATGGCGCCAGGCTGCGGGCCGGCGGTGCCAAAGATCAGATCCGACATCTCGACCTCGCCCTTGTCGCCCGGCTGGCCGACCTGGAAGACGGGCTGCGGGTTCGACTGGTCCCTGAAGAAGCTGTCGCCGCCCGCCAGGATGAGGGGCAAGACCTCACCCGTAATCTTGATCGACTTGGGGACCTTGACCGTCTTGGTGATGATGTACGCGCCGTGGTCAAAGTAGACGATTTGGTCGGGCGTGACCTTGTCGAAGATGGCCTGGATGGCATCCGTGTCGTCGGCGACGCCGTCACCCTTGGCACCGTTCGCCTTGACGCTGACAAAGTTGCTCACAGGCACGTTCTCGTACTGCGGCTTGCTGCGCGTGACGATCTTGCCTGTGGCCGAGTCCAGGAGCACGCTGGGCTTCTGAACGGCCTGCTGCGGGCCGCGGATTGCCTTGCCGACGCCAATGCCGCCCTCAACGCCAGCGCCATAGGCACGGCCCTGGGCGAAGAACTCGACCTTCTTGCTACCCTCAAGAATCGTGGCTCCGGTGGCCTTGTTGAAGACGGCTTGAGCGCTGCCAGTCATGTCAACGTTGTCCAGGATGAGGGTGCCGTTGGTCTGGGGCGACGTGGGGTCGTAGGCCGTCTGGATGCCAACAGGTGTGTTGGTGAACTGGCTGTCGAGCACCAGCACAGACCCGACGGTTTGGCCGGTGGGGCCGCCGTTGGACATGTCGATGCCGACCTGGCAGTTGTTGATCTTGACGTCCTGGAAGGTCCAAGCCCAGTTCCAGTTCATGAAGATGGCAGTCTTGCAGTTGTTGAAGGTCAGGTTGCGCGTCGTGAACTGCTGGTTGCCGAAGAAAGCGCCGTATTGGCCACCGTTGAAAGTCAGGTCGACCATGAAGCCACCGGAACCATTGTCCATAAAGATACCCTGCTGGCGGTTGCTGTCGCCGCCGTCGGTGCGCATGTTGAAGACAATGTTCTGAAGACTGGTCGCTTGGGCAACCTGCCAGTGGATGCCAGCTCCAACCTCAACCGGCATGGCGGTCAGGTCGATGACAAAGTTTCGAACCTGGCGGAAGAAGTTGTTTTGGTTGGTCCACCAGTTCTTGCCGGTCGCGTCGTACGGGTCGGCGTCAATTACGGCCATGCCGGCAAAGTTGGCGGCGGCCTTGAGGGTCGGAGGAGCCGTCGCATCACCGACGAGCTGCGTGTAGTAGAAAGGAATGATAGGCTTGCTCACGACGTAGGTGCCGGGAGGGAAGTAGACCAGAGCGGGAGTGGTCGTCTGGGAAGTGCAGCCTTCGCCGCATCGGTTGCCGTCGCTGATGGCCCTGTTGATGGCGGCCGTGTCGTCGGTCGCGCCATCACCGACAGCGCCATAGTCGCGCACGTTTCGGAAAACCTTGTAGGTCTTGTCGTCGTTGAAGGCTGCCACTCCTTGGCGTTGGATATTTGCCAACCAGTAGCTCGAACCCGAAGCTTGCCGAGGCGCCGGCGCGGCGAGGGCAGTCGAGCTGAGGCCCAGCGCCAGAAGGGATAACGTAAAGAATTTCGAAAGGCCCATCATGGTGTAGTGCCAGCTATCCGCAGATGTGCTTCAAGTGATGGTGAACTGAGTAGTAGAAAGTTAGTCTAGCTTGCCCGGAAAAAGAACTGTTGAAATGTTTGTGCTTATAAACAGTGGAATGCAGGGCAAGATCCAGCTTAGTTGGCCTGAGAAAAGGTGCAGTCACAGTAAAGCGACCGGCAATTCTTCATTGACTTTTAATAACAATAGGAAATGGTGGGGTCGTGGTTCATGTTGCTATTGTTGAAAGAAACTGGCTGGTGAAGAGCAAAGCGTGACCAAGAAAGACATCGGACTGAATAGTCGAGGACACAAATCCATTGTGCCCATATTGTGCGTGTATTCCCAGAAAGGGCAACCAGGAAAGCAACCGGTATCACGAGTGCTGCGTCAAAGGGAAGGAACATCGGACGACACTTACACTTGGTATTGATGCGGCACTCCAGAGCCTCCACGGCTGGCCACCTCTGTTGCAGAAAGGAATGTCGGAAAGAAACAGAAGATGGAAGTTGACAAAAAAGAGGCAAGCAAGGGCCGACCTCTGTTGAGAATAGCCAGGTCACCAGGTGTTCGGGAGAGCGGGCGGCGGATGGGATGAACTTATGTACAAACTACAAACATTTGTATCTACCATCGGGAGCCCCTCCGGCCCCACCATTCTCCCCCCTTCCCATGTTTCTCGCCCAGGGTTGAAGTGGTGGCGAGCGAATAGGCGCCCCATGATCGGCGTGAGTAGAGGCGTTGTTCCTCCTGGATCTTTGGTTGGGTGGGGATGGCAGGCATCTGCCGAGGAACCGCTTTTGTTCTGTGCAGTCCATGACCCCTTGTTCCTGACGCTAACCTGCGAGTGTTCCCAGGGGTTGGATAGGGACTTTGTCTTGGCGCCGAAGCAGTTGGATCCAAGCATGGGGAATTTGATTGACCAAGAGCAACAGAAGAAACACAGGCTTTGGTGAGGAATGCACTGGTTGGGAACACCAGATGGCCCAAACAAGCCAAGGCATCTACGTGTACGTACAAGTGTTGTACCAATGTGGGAAGAGACGAACAGTGGAACTGGAGATGTTCATCAGGGTCTCATGGTTGGGGCAAAATCCGGCTGCTAAAATTGGCCGGCCATTTGCCAGGGGTTAGGTTTATGCAACCGCCGATGAGCTTGGTTTTCCCGTCTATGAAAACATACAGGTTGACAGAAACCGGACTCCATCGATGCCAAGAATCAAGGGCAAGACATTGGACGGCGCGTGGATGTCCTGTTTCCAAATTGTTCTGCACTTCTGGGAAACGGAATGTTCAACATCTTGGCGACCTGGGCGACCTGCCGCTGTGGCAAAAGCAAGAACTGCGGAGTTCGGCAGACCTCGCCGCAGTATGGCGTTCTGGACACCGGAGAACACAAGATATCTTCTTCGGCATGGCGATCATTTGTTCATCGAGTTTTTGCATTGACACCTTAAAGTGTCCTCGGGCAAATCATCCATCTGGTGGGCGTCAGAACAGGAAGTTCAGGAACAGACAAGTTGGAAAGGTGCCATTGGGCTCAAAAGCACTCTTTCCCAAACACGCTGTGGAGCACCCCACTTCAACTGACGTTTGCTCCTGACCACTGATTGCTCGCCCCATCTGTGCCCCTTCCATTCTTTTGGACTCTGCTTCAGAGGTTTGAGACGCGTCCCTTGGCAGGGCCGAAGTGCCATTTGTGTGGTTGCAACTGCGGGGCCGGGAATGGTGACTTGCCCATAACCAATCAAATCCAGATCGCATTCACACGTTCCCCACTCGCAGAAGAGCGCCAGGGCCGCCAGTTGCGCCACAAGACGGAAACGACGCCGCACCCGCGCCATTTCGCTTGGCAACTGCACTTTGATCGACTCCACTGGAGGTTGTTTGGCACTTTTGTTTCACAGAACTCCATCATCAATGTCAATTCACCTGGCAAAGTCCTCGCAGCAGCCATCACGAAACATCTGAGCCACGTCGATGCCTTGGAGATATATCGGCCCTTTATAGTTTATACTCCCATATGATACCATGTCCTTGATCTCGTATCGCGGGTTCGGGGCCTTGGTCTACGTGCCCGAGGTGCCCTATCCCGGCGTGCCACATCACGGAGCATTCAGGGGTTCTAGACCCCGGACCACGGCATCACGAACCAGTGGAACTGGTTGATCTCCTGTCGGCGAGATGCGAGATCGGCGGCGTGCAGATAATGCATGAATATCAAAAGAACAGAACATATTAATAAGAGGCAATTTAAAGGACGCCAAGTGCACTGCCGCGTTCACCTTCCGAAATTCGGTAGAAGCAGAGGGGACTCGGAACGGACTTCATGTCCGGGTTTTTGGAGAACCGCCCGGAGTTCGGCGGGGCCGGCACGAAAAAGCACACCGGAGATGCAGCCCACCAGAAGTGATGGACAACATGAACAGCGACCATTGATCATATACAGAATTAAGAATTAACTAACGTCATGACAGAATATTCCCCAAACCCAACCCCCTCTATTTTCACGAAACCTCATAATCAATCACCTTCCCTCCCTAATAAGCGGGAGCATCACCACCCTCAATGACCTGGACAGGCGGAGCAGGAACCTCAACCGCCTCCACCTGCGCAACCAGCGCCACAACACCACACTTACTCGCCTGCCCACCCGTGAGGACAAACTTGGCATCCTCCGCCTCAAGCGCAGCTTTGATCGCCGCATCATCATTCTCCCTAACCAAAAACACCTTATTCACCTGCCCCTCAATGGCGCACATGACAGGCCACAGGTAGCTCCCATCTGCCGCGACAGCCACGAGCATCTCCTCACCCGTCCCAGATTCTGCCTTGACCGGCACGAGGTTGATCAGCTTGGACCCGACGGGGAGCTTGTCCCATGTGGCGAGGCGCAGGCGGGATGCGCCGAGTTGGGCGACTTCGTCGGGAAAGTAGTGCAAAAGTCGGTCGGCTGAGTCGCCGGGGATCAGGTACGTGTCGGTGTCGGTGTCGGGGAGGGTCAGGGCTGCGAGGGTGGTGCCGTTGGTTAGGACGGCGAGGTCGGAGGTGGAAGTGGAGCCGATGGCGGAGAGGAAGAGGTTGCCGTTGTTGCCGGCTTGGAGTTCGAGGGCGCCGGTTGTGTCGCGGACGGTGGCGAGCCCGAGGCTGGGTTCTGGGGTCGCTTCGGCGGAGGTGGAAGAGGTGGTCTCTGAGGCGGTAGTGGTGGATGAGGATGATGGGGCCTCGGTGGTTGTCGAGCTTTCAGGCGCCTCGGTCACGGTGGTGCTGGTCTCGGCCGCGTCTGCCGGGCTGGTTGTTGTCGTCGGCTCTTCTGGAGCTGGATCTGCGGTGGTCGAGGTGGCCAGCGTTGTGCTTGTCTCGGTTGGCGGGATGTAACCGCCGCCGCCGCCACCACCACCTTCACCCTCTCCGATAAGACGCTTGTTGAAGGAGCCATCAGCGCGCATCAGCTTGAACTGCTCGTGCTCGATGCCCGTGATCATGTACAGCGGGCCGTCGGCGCTGTACCGGGTGTCGCGGTACCAGATGACGGCTGACTTGAGAATGCCGTACCACGGATCGCCAAACAGGTCGTTCTCAATCCCGGTCGATTGGCGGTTCTGCGAGTTCATGTACAGCGTGTGGAACACGTTCTGGTTGCGGATCTGCGAGAGACCGTAGCAGACCTCGACAACCTTGATCCACGACACTTCCTGCGGGTAGTCCGGCACCAGCATGCTCGACCCCGGCGCCGACGAAACCGGCCCCGGGTAGATGGTGACGATACCCCGGCTCTGGGCGCCGACCCATGACCGTGTCTCCGCGCCGTAGCGGTACAGCATGAAGATGGACTTGGGCTGTCCGGGGTTGCGGTCGACCGAGGTGCTCTGCGATGCCGCGTCGGTGTTGATCTCGATCCGGTTGCCGACCTGCCAGTTCTGGATGGCGTAGTTGGTGATGTCGGCGGTGCCGTAGACGACGCTGAGGATCTCAAACGGGCTCATCAGCATCATCGAGTGGTACGGGCCTTGCCGCGACGGCCCGGCACGGGACCGCGCCCAGCAGTTGATGGTTGGGTTCCACTCGTCCGAGCCGTACGAGACACCGGCGCAGTTGCCCTGCCCTGCACACCACGACATGCACTCCTCCATGGAATTGCTCCAGGTTTGAGCCGTGTCGTAGTACATGTAGTCGTAGTTGCACCGGATCTGCCACTGGTTGCCCCGGTCGTCCGTGTAAACCTGGCCGTTCGCCGCGGGGCACTTGAGCGAACCGTCGTCCGCTGGCAGCTCTGGGACGTCTGGGATTGGATCGGGTTGAGGCTGCTCCCATCCAATGCAACCCTCAGCCAGGGCGGGGCTAGCCCACTCGAACAAGGTCCATTCGGGGCCGTCGTCGATTTCGAAGCTGACTTCGTTGGTCAGGGTGATGTCCCAGGCAATTCCCAGGCACTCATCGGTACCGACAGAGGTCTCCTCTGTGCCCGCATTGACCTCAAACTCGGCTGTGCCGGTGAGGGCCGGCGTATCGACGAGAGCGGCTCCCTTCTTGAACACACCATTGAGAATGTCGATACCGAACCACAGGCTGACGGGCAGGCCAACGGCAGCCGTGGCGGTGACGCCGCCATGGACCTGGAAGGCGTGGTCGATATTGGGCGTCCAACCGGACTTGGAAGACTTGGAGGGGTTGACCATGTCGAGGGTTGCCTCGAAACCAGGCCAGGTCAGAGAAGCACCCGTGAGGATCTGGCCTTCGGCCTCGACGCTGACAGTTGCTTTGGCGCTGAGAATGAGCTTGGGGCCTAGCGTGACAATGCCGGGAATGGACCAGCCCGGAAGCCCCTTGGAGAAGAGCTCCTTCTCCCACTCCTTCTCCCACTTGGCGAAGGCGTTGACGCCCAGGTACATGCCAACGTACAGGTTGCCGCTGATGCCGATGGACGCCTCCTTGACGCCGCTCAGGGGGGTCGCGTTGATCTTGCCCGTTGCCTTGACGGAGCCGCGCACGCCGCAGTTGACGCAGTAGATCTCAACGCCGGGTTCCGGGTTGGGCGCGCCGACGAATTCCTCAACGAGGTTGTCTAGCGTCGCCTTGGTGGCCGAGAACTTCTCGTCTTCCTCGCCCATCTTGAACGTGTACATCTTGAAGGCCTTGCCCCAGGGGGAGTCGACCTCAACGGTGGCAGGCGGTCCGAGAGCGAGTGGGAGGGTGAGTGAGTTGGAGTACTGGCCCGTCACGGCAAAGGCCACTAGCTTGACGGCGTTGACTGCGAGCGCCACCGTGACCTTGGCAACGGCCACAGCCGTGTTGACCACGAAGTCGACGGCCTTCTTCACGACGGCGACAACGGTCTGCGCGACCGCCACGACGACCTGCGCTACGACCTTGACCACGGTCACAACAGCCTTGGCAACGGCCTTGAAGAGGTTGCTGAACCAGCCGCGTTTCTGAATGGAGACCTCGACCTCAGCAGCGCTAGCCGGAGTGGCGAGGGCGAGAACAGCCTCGGCATCGCCGCCCGCCGAGCTGTAGTAGCCCAGCTTGTCGTCCAGGACCTGGTCAAAGTTTGTACCGCATGGCACGGCAGGAAGACCATGGAGGGTGTCAGCAGAGGGGGTGCCGCACACATCCTGCTGCTCGTCTTGGGGTGCGTCGGCGACGGTGATGTTGCCAAAATCGACGGTGAGGTCGGCAAACACATCAGACAGCTGGACAATTTGACCGAGGGCCTCAAACGAGAGCGAGTCTTCAGTGAACGAGATGGTGTGGGCGAGGAAGAAGGCGTTTTGTGCCGCATCATCACCACAAGAATCCGCCGACGTGATGAGGAGCACGTCATCATCAGTCGGCCAGTTGGCCTCGGAAAAGTAATAGGGGTACGACGTGTTGAAGCGCCCGTGCAGCGTGCCGGCCTCGCAGACAACGTCCTTGATGAAGATGGAGTGGTCGAGGACGATGGACGGGTAGGCGTAGGTGATGTTGAGGCGCACCGTCACAGGGTCGAGGTCGCTGCCGTCGCTGTCGCTCTGAGTGCCGTTGTACCACAGCTCAGAGACAGGGTCCGGTGTGAGAACGCCAGTGCCGGCCATGTTGACTCCGGGAGGGGGGACGGGGCCGAGCGTGGCAATGGGCGCAGCCTCGAGTTCGATGGGCTCGCTGAAATCGTCCGTCTCGGTCCCGCTGCCGGGGTCCATGGGCGTCACCGTCGGGAAGGTAAAGACGCTGCCCGGTGCGCGCAGCTGCTTGGCCGTCCAAACGAAGTACTTGGTCTCGTCGGCGTCATTAAGCTGGTTCTTCAAGTAGCAGGCTGGCGCGACAAAACTGGGGGCGTGTTAGTGGACAGTACGCAAGCCGTGGACAGGATTGCTTTCTCTAGCTTACCTGACATCGATGCAGTCCTTGTTGGCATCACACGCCGCGATGCAGTCCTCAAAACTCTCAGTGGTGGTTGCCGTGAGATCGCCACCGCCATAATCGACACCGCACAGGATTTGATAGAGACCGCCCGAGGGGGCTTGGTACCGCTTGCCGTTGCTGGGCTTGCCATCGCCACAGTTGAGCGGCGTCTGGGTCGATGCAGGCGTGGCTGAAGTGGTCGTGGAGGCGGGAGCAGACTCAGTGGCCGAGGCGGACGAGGTTGCCGAATCGGACTTGGACTTGCGCACGGCACCCCAGACGGCATTGTTGTCGACGGCGGGTTTCTGCTCACCCTTGAGGTAGCAGCCGCCATGAACATAGGCAACGTTGACGCAGTCGGAGTGGGCGTCGCAGGCTTGGATGCACTCCTCGAAAGAATTGGTGGAGAGGCCAAGCAAATCACCGCCGGCGTAGTCCTTGAAGCAGGTGATCTCGAAGTCAGAGTTGGCCGCGGTGAAGACGATGCCGTCGCTCTTGTTGCTGTCGCATGACAGCGCCGTATCCTCGCTGGCACCACCACCGCCACCGCCAGTGGAAGATTGAACCAGCTTCGCAGTCCAGACCCAATCCCGCTCGACAAAATCCTCGGACTGGCGTTTCATGTAGCATGCGTTGCCGGCATAGCTAACATCTGCACAGTCGGCAGTGGAGGCACAGGCATCGATGCACTCGGCAAAGGTGTCGGTGTTCTTGGCCGCAACGTCTCCGCCGGCATAGTCACGTCCGCACAGGATCTGGAAGACGGCGCCGGTGGCAGATGTGTACAGGGCTTGATCGGCCGCCCTGTCGACACAGGTGAGCAGGGGGTGGCCGCTGCTTGAAGTGATCTGTTTGGCAGTCCAGACCCAGTCTCTGGCGAGGCCGTCCCCGAGCTTGTTCTTCATGTAGCAAGTGTTCCCGGCATAGCTGACGTCGATACAGCTCGGAGTTGAGTCGCACGCATCGATACATGCGGCGAATGTTGGGGTCTGCGTGGCTGCAATGTCGCCACCGGCATAGTCGATTCCACACTCGACCTTGTATTGCGCACCGCTGGCGGCGGTGTAGGTGGTTTGGTCACTGGCCTTGTCGACGCATGTCACGTCGGCAGCGGCAGTGGCGAGGCTGGCCAGGCCCAGAAGGGCGAGCCGTTGAAGAGGCCTACCCATGGCAGACGGCCGGGAAAAGGAAAAGAGCGCGTTGATACGCCAAAATGAGGGTATATGGAGCGAAGTTGTTCGCTATAAATGATTGTGGATAAAGACCGGACTGAAGCAAATGCTTCGATGTGTGCAAAAGAGGGGCACAACCACTCTCACGTCGTGATACGGGACGTCGAGAAGGTGCGATGACAGAAGGGAGAAGATCCGGGTGAGTGCTCCCGAAGGGCCATCCTGCTCTTAAAGCAGAGGAGTATAGCCTCCAGGTCCATCATGACAGCCTACAGATTGCTGTAAGATTTCCCGGGAGATACCGACCGCTCTGCCATGAAAGTCCCGAAGCCCAGAAGCAGCCGACTCGCCGAAGCCATTCAACGACGGTCGAGATGACATGCATGACGTTGTCATGCCTTAGACAACGGATCACCTTTTCCCAACTTGGCCGAGCTAGAGGCATTGAGAGGGAGCTATTGGTTATGCTCAGGCCTCTACTGGTCCCGGCCACGTGGGTGCCCCTGGGAAAAGTCGCTAGCCCCTTGGATCTGGACCAAGCAACTCCCCACACGCAGTACCTGTACATGTCAATATCAGCCGCATCGGAGAGGCTACCGCAAAACGGCCAGGCTAGCAGGTTAAGCTTTTCCAATGGTGCTGTGGATATATCATGGCTCCAAGATCCGACTGAGCGGTTTGCCCTTGTCCGAGTCAATTTTGGGCCAGTTCACATGCGTATCTGGATTTGACTTTTTTATTGAGGCTTCGGGTAAGTGTCTACCTTAGTCATGCGCAGGATGGCTAACTTGCCATTGAGTCTCAATCCTACAGTATATCCGTTTGCCAGAACACAGCGTATATCAACTATTTGTACCCTACTCCTGCAGTTCAATGATCGTAGGGTGTAATGCGCAAAACATGAATCAACCGAGAGGAAAAGAAAGACTCAACAAAGGGGGGAGGGTGCTTCTCCAGGAGTCAAAGTACAAGGTTCCCAACATAACATGAACTCCTCAGCCCCGATTCACAAGCAGCATCCCGGTCCACGGTCCCAAATCAGATGAACAATCTTCTAGACTCTAGCTAGACCCAATTCTAGTGTATTGTACTCCACACTCCACCCGATCAAGTCGAATCAAGCTTTTTCCACCCTGTACTAGTTGCGGGCTGAAAGCTCCGCTCTGGGCTAGACCACGCTCAGGATATACAAACTATTGCTCCCCGTCGGCCGCATCCGGAGTTTCCAGCATGCATGTTCCGTTCCCATCAGAGCTGGGTGAATTGGTACAAGTACATACGTCTTGGTTCCTTTACACGTGCAGACTCTATATCTGATTCATATGTGACCCGAGGCATTGATTTGGGTAGAAGAGACATTGAAAGTCACTAGGAGAACTGCATTGGTTAAACAATAACATATACAAGATCGTATGCACGTAGTATGTACTGTACATGAACCAGACTGGAAGGGAAAGCCCTGAGCTGTCCAATATCTCAACAGTCAGTACCTGGTATCTATGTCATGCATGTACCATACCTCAGTAAGCAGGCGAAAAGGGGGGATCATTGGCCTTGCTGATATGTATGGTTGCACTGTTGCAGGCACTTTTCGGGACATGGACATCCTCCTCATCGTCCATCATGATGTAGGTACTCAGTTAGATGGGCTAGTCTCTCCCCGGATGTTCATGGTTATATCCCCGGGTCTTTCAGTTACCCGACTCTTCTCCGTGGACTATCCGTGGAACTCGGCTGCCTTGCCTAGGGTAGTCACACTGAGCCAGCTCCAGACAACACACCACGATGACCTGTCTGGCCGTTCAAAGTAGGTAGCAGACACCACCTGGTCCTTAAGCCCATACCATTCTAGCTCTCAGCCAGGTACAGCACTCCGTAGAAAAGAATAAAATCCCTCTGCAGCCTCATGGTAGTGCCGGTTCGCGCACTAGAAGCCAAAGGAGCCACACTGCGGCAACGCCGGAGACACTAGCGATGCAAAGTCAAAAGAAAAGTCCAATACTATCAATTAAACAGTGACAGATCAAGACTAGGCACAGAGCTGGCAGCTAGCCTCCTCCACACTGCCTTAGAAAGCAACAAAGAAGAATCCTATAAAAAAAAAAAAAAAAAAAATTGGTCTAATGCTCGCAAAATCCAGGACGCCATCAATGAACGCCCACTCGCAATGCAACTAGCTAGACCAAAAAGGGGGGGTTGGCCAAACCCAGCCCAAGAACGCCGGTCAGGGTAGGCAAAGTGCACTACCCAGATATCCAAAAGCGCGCAGCCGGCAGTCGGCCAGCGACCGCGTCTCGTCTCGGACGGCCTATTATGTATTAACCCCTTTCCACCCCATCTCGTTCACCACCTCAGATCAGATATACCCCCCCTGCCCCTGTACCTGCTCACCCCCCCTCAAGCTTGAAGCCGGCGACGGCGAACAGCTCTCAAGCATCTCAATCCCCTTCACGCCCGCACCAAAATCCAGAATCAAAATCTTCGGATCCTGCCCCGAGCTCACAATCCTTCTATAATCACTCTTGGCACTCAGCACCCAACTCGAGTGCCACTTGGGGAAATCCAAAAGCGGCTGGCCCGTCTCCATATCCCAAACCTTAATGTCCGAGTCGTAAGAACCACTGACCAGCCTGCCGCTGATACTATCCACGTGCAGGCTGCGCACAAGGTTCTCATGCGCCTTCATCTCCCTCACACACTCGCCGGTATTTGCATCCCAGATGCGAATGACCTTATCATTCCCCGCGGAAGCAATGTACCGGCCGTCCTCCGAGAACTGGCTGCACGCCAGCCCCTTGCTGTGCCCCAGAAACTCACGGATATTCTTCCCCGTGTCGATATTCCAGAGCTTCACCCGAAAATCGCCGCTGCAGGACACAATCGTGTTCCCCCGCATCTGCACCGCGTTGACGGGACCTGAATGCCCGCGCAGCTGCCGCAGGAGCTGGCCTGTGTTGCGATCCCACACGCAGATGGACACGTCCTTGGAGCAGGTCACGATGTGCTTCTCGTCAAACACCAGGTCGAGCACCGCCGCCGAGTGGTGGCGTAGGCGTCGGATTGGCCGGTAGCCCGACGCAAGGTTGTACACTATACAGGTCGAGTCGGAAGAGCCGGTTACCAGGATGCGGTCGTCGTATTGCAAGCAGAGGATAGAGGCTTTGTGGTGGGTTGGGGGGGAATAGAGGGCGGGGATAGAGTGGTACGCGCGGACAGGGCTCCGGGGCTGGCCGTCTGCGGCAGGGTCGAGGTCTGGCAGGGTGGCGTAGTGTTTTGGGGTGCCCTCATCGTCGTAGAGAAGTGAGTAGGAGGAATCGTTGACCACCTCGGGAGGGCCGATGATCAGCTTGCAGGCAAATGTCTGCATGTCCCAGACGCGGATAGTCCTGTCGCGCGAGCCGGTGATTATCTTGGACCTGTGGCTGGTTAGAATATCGGAGAGGTAAGACTTGATCAAGCAACGCAAACGTACTCGTCAAACTGCAAGCAGTAGATACTATCCGTGTGCCCATTCAGGTAGACGGGCTGCGCCTTGCCCTCCTTCCAGCGCTTGTCCAGCTCTACCTTTACGCGGTATATCTCCTTCCAGTCATTTGTTGGCCGGACAGGTGGCACGCCCAGGCCAGCACCCGGCTTAACATTACCGCTGGTGGCATACGTTGTCGTTTTCTCGCGCAGAAAGGACTCGCGCCAGATGTGCTGGTTCCTGATCACGCGGTACCAGTTTGTGCTGACTCTGCTAGCGGTGTTTAGAGTGGCAGCATCAAGCAGGGCTAGCACTTGGATGGCCAATTCCACTGGCAAGCGAGAGATGAAGTCCACTTTGGAAATGTCTGTCTCATCGCGGCTCAACTTGACATCCACTTCCACGTCTGAATCAACCTCGTCACCGGGGACATATGCCTCCATCTCGGAGCTGGTCAAGGCAATTCCGATGCCGCTCTCGTGGTCACCGAGCCCGTCTTCCGCAAGCCACCCGGGACGGGGTATGTCCATCAGCTCGTAGCCTTGTAGTCCATTGCACGCAATCGCGGCCGCGTGCCTCGCTGCGGCGCCCGTGTTTCGCGGGATTATGGGCGGCTGCTCGCCGGAGCCGGGCACCGGGAATGTGGGGGACTCGAGTGGGCCGATGTCGCCGAATGCCGACCCATCGTATTCCGTGTGGAGCATGCGCGAGTGTCGATGGAAGCTGGCAGCTTGTCGGAGGCGATGCCAGGTCGTGTGGGAAGTCGTAGGTCGCATTGAGCCATGGGCAGCTCCTGAGAATAGGGGCCTTGACGGCAAGCCGTCGCTGTCAAAGGTTGTCGACGCTGGGACGGAAGTCCGTCTGTGAACAAACCCCTTGACCCCTGTTTTGAGCGAAACCGAGGCGCGGCGCAACATGCGCTTGAAGTTACCGTTCGAGGGCTGCTTGGACGAGGCAGGGCCGTTTTGGGGTTCGGGTACCGCCAGCCAGCCGACGCCGTGACTCTGCCTCTTCTCCAGAGACAGATTTTGAAAGGCGGTATTGACATTGCTATCGAGCGGCGACGGCTTTGGGTGGTGCAGCCATGGGAGCGAAACACTCATACTTCGGAATCGCGACTGGGGCGGATGCGAGTTGCTTTGCGCGTCTTGGGATGTCGGCTGCGTAGCGATCGTCGAAGATGCCCCTCGAAAAAGTGCTTCTTGTACTGGTGCCCACTCCTGAACCTGGACAATTCTGCGTGTCGTCGGATCCATTCTCGCGGACTTGTCGAACGAGCCGGCAGCTTGCGACTGGAGGAGCGGAGCGGTAGTAGAGCCGGGGAACGCCATGGACGAAGATGTAGAATACGCTAGTCACGAAATGGTCGAGGAGATGCCACAGGGGTTGGATGTATTTTATTTTGTTTGCGTCTCCCAATTCCACCCTCCTCGACGCCTTCCCCTTTCCCGCGCAGGTCCCGGTGGCAAAGGCGTTTGGGGAACCCTGGCAATTTTGTAGGGCGAATCGAGACCGTCAGAGAATGCCAGCGGCTGTTACAGCTCGCACCTCACCGTTCCGCACAGGGAAGGCGGTGGGAACGGGGAAAGCAAGATGCAGCGCAGTGAGTGGAGGGCGGAGTCGAGGGCAACTGAGGGGGCGAATCGAGTGTGCGAATCAAGATCGATATGCAACGCTGAAATGCAGCAATTGGCGACGCCGAGGGACGGACGGGATTCAGTGAGGATAACGATAAACTTCACGGTAGGTTTGTGCGGCAAACGAGCGATTCAGCAATCAGAACGGCGAAGGGCTGCCCTCTGCTTCAGGATGGGAACGATGTGAAGATGGAAAAGCGAAGGAGAAAACATCAGGAGGAAGCCTTGGATTGCAGGGACCAAAGAGGCGTGTGTTGCGGCACCAGAGTTGTGTTGCTGTTTTTGGGGTGCTGTGGCACAGGGGTTTTGATGATGGTGGTTAGCTGGTTGCTGTGGGCAGGGGTCCAATGAAAGAATGCGCTAAAAGAGTTGGGCTTGGCGCGGTGCAGAGGGGCAACACGGCAGAATTGTATCCCTTCCTCTCACACAGCAAATTCCTTTCAAACTTCGCAGGCAGCCCTTCCAATTTGCCCAACTTCTGGTAGCGACACACACGATCCTGTATATCTCAGACACACAACGCTTACTGAACTGCTTAACAGAATCTGATACTGCTTACCACAGTAGCACCAATTTGTTTCGTCTCTGTGTCGTACTTAGGTAAGTACCGAGATGGCACACTTTCTAGTGGCTGCATTTCCAATTGAGCGGTGAGAGAAAGGGGCTGGTGCCATGAGTTTAGGGCCATTGAACGCGAGTCGTGCTCAACTTCAAGAATTTTCTGCAAGCCCACAAACCCCGCCCAATTCTCAACTCAGATTCACATCAAATTGGTGGACTTGACTTGACTGGAGCACAGAGTATCCGTACAGACGGCGTAGCCGACGCGTTTGCGTTTTTCGGTGCAGCGAATCAAGGCTGATGATTGGCCTGCTTCATCGTTTCCTCGGTTTTTGCCATCGCGCACAAGGCGGGCCGGCTGAGCAGGCACGGTTTCCCCAGATCCGCCCTGTTGCCTCCACACCGAGCCTTCAGCGGGGTTAGGGTTGTTGCTCTTGGCGATCGTCTGTAAACACTCACAGGTCACGCCGCTCGCCCTCGCCTGTTGAGTACATCACAATCCCTCTGTTTCCTGAGAATGTTGACTTTCCTTCTTCCTGTCCTAGTAACATTGCCTTACTAATTCATTCATATGTTCGAAAAGTCAGCCAAGAGGAATCATGCTAACGTTTCAGTCCAAAGAGATGATGGCAGTTCCTGGCTCAATCCGGGAACGCTGCTGCTCTCCCGGCAGTCATTGCCATCCCCAGATCAAACATGCTGGGGTGATGGCAAGCAAGTTTCTTGGTGCTCTCTGAAGCGAATGGCCTTCTACTGGGAGCGAAGCCCCTCATAGAAGGCTCGGGTGAGGCTCCAAAGCTCCGCGGTGCTGCAGATCCGTCGGCTGTATGGCGTGCGGGCGAAGACTTGATCAAACCACGGGATATTCGGTGGCTCAATACTATTAGGGATCACGTCGCTTTTGTGTTCCTCAACCGAAGCGGCATCTCGTCGACTTTGACTTTTCTGAAGTGCTCTACGATGCGGTCTATGCCGAGTTTGATGGACGTTATCATCCCATTCTCATCCGCTTACCTGGCCAGACTTTGTCCCTGTCGGAAGCATGCCCTGATGGACGAGGCCCAGCGCCGGCAATTCGACTGCTGTGCGGCGGCTATCTGCCAAAAGTTGGCGGAGGGGGGGCAAGTGTCTTCTGCGCAGTTGACGGTCAGCAGTTGCTGGAGGTCTACTCGTGCGAAGGAGAGACTGTCCGAGCCGACAGTCTCGATCCACAGCGAATTCTGCGAGACTCCGTCTAACATGGCCATGGATAGTCCGTCCTTTGTCTTCCACTGCAATACCAGCTCGCTTTATTGGGGAGGTATGCTACCGGCGCCAGAGGACGTTACCACGGGGCCTACCACCCAGGTGGCTCCGGATCGTCCATCCGTAGGTGAGTAGCTACCGGCCTTCGCTTTTTGGTCACTCCAAGATGTTCATGCTAACAGCACATGCAGGTCGTCATTGATCAATATATCATAAATGAGGTTCGTATATTGATGCTGGCCTTGGTCATGGAAAACCGGGTAACCTCCTTGCCAAGGATCATGTCTTCCACGCTTCCAGAAGCTTGAATTGTTCTCTTTATGGACTCGTGGAATGCCTGCAGTCGCAGACTGCAGTAATCATATCTTCGGACATTTTGTCAAAGTTAACAACCGGAATCATACGGTGGTTCGGCCAGTTCTTGTTCGCTTCCGGGCTGTTGACTGCCGGTGTCAGAAATATTTCCGTCATGGATACGGAACCCAGCGATGGCAGGACTTGATATAGGAGTCGTGGAGAGGGAAGCCTAAACGGGCTGGCCTTCCCAGCGTATGTCCGGTCTAGCTTGGGCAGCGACGGCACAGCAAGGTATCCAGGCTGTTAATCATGTTGCCATTCCTGGGCTCGGCTCGGAAGTTTTGCACCGTTGTGACTGACCGCGAGACTGGTTCACGAGGACGGGAAGAGACGCCCGAACCCAAATTGGAAGGCAGAGTGCCGAAACCGGGCAGACCGGGTTAGCGGGTCACGGCGTGGCACGACAGTACCGAGGATTCTTGCCATTCTCAGGGGGCGAATATCACCTTGCGTCGTGGTGTTTCCCTTGGCATGCAGTGGCACCGGAAACCACATGGAACGTTTATAGAACCCCATCCCCGGAATTTTCACCGCACCTTTGGTCGTATTCCCCGCACTACGAACCAACATGCCAGGGAATACACGTGTGAGTCCGTGCAAGAAGCTTTAGAGCCTACCTATGGACTGGCGGATGTTGTCCTCGTTGCGACTCCAATTCAGCCGGATGGTCGCTATCCCCACTCTTCAATTTAGAAGGAGAACCCCATGGACCAACGTTCACGACCTTGTACACCCCCGAGCAAGGACTAGATGCTTCACTCACGTACGGTGCTGCAACCTCATATGGTCCGATCCGCAATCTCGACGGCGATGGTTAGGAGAGTCCAGACTGGGGATCGTGAGCGATGCTCAGACTCTATGAGGATAAAAGGACGGTCCTCCCTCCCTCGCCAGGAGGAGGAGGACACCCGCTTCTTGACCAAGTCTGAACTATGAAGAGATAGAGCTTCCATCTGTGTGACTGTCAACAAGATGCGTCACAACAGCCTCGTCGCCAGCGTGCTGGCGCTCGCCGGTACGCCCACCGTTCATGCCATCCTCCGGTTCTCGTGCTCCGAGCTCGTCACTGAGCGTCTGGATCCGTCAGTACCAGCCCTCAACCGTCCCAAAGCAGATATGAGTGCAGCCGACTAACAAGCGATACACAGCCTCGTCTTCCCCGGCGTGGCCCCATCCCCTCACCTGCACCAGATCGTCGGGGGCAACATGTTCAACACCACGATGGACCCCAACCGGCACAACATTGGCGAAGAAGCCACGTGCACCACGTGCACTTTCTCTGAGGACTTCTCCAACTATTGGACGGCAACACTCTTCTTCCGGGCGCGCAACGGCAGCTTCATCCGTGTTCCGCAGCGGCCCAACATCGGCTTCGAGCAGGCGCGCGGTGGCGGGATGACGGTGTACTACACCGCAACCTACCAAAACGACAAGCCCAAAGCCTTTGCCCCCGGCTTCCGCATGATCGTGGGCAACCCAACGTACCGGACCGCCGCCGAGGCCGCCCGCTACCGGCAGCTGACTTTCACCTGCCTCGAAACCATGTACACCCGCACGGGAGAAACAACCGACATGCCCAAGCAACCCTGCAAGGAGGGCATCATGGCCAACGTACGCTTCCCAACCTGCTGGGACGGCAAAACCCTCGACCCGCCAGACCACTCCAGCCACGTAGCCTACCCAACCAGCGGGACGTTTGAGAGCGGGGGTCCCTGCCCGGCCTCCCACCCTGTCAAGATCCCGCAGCTGTTCTACGAGGTGATCTGGGACACCCGCCGGTTCAATGATAGAAGCCTCTGGCCCGAGGACGGATCGCAGCCTTTTGTCTGGTCGTACGGCGACTACACGGGCTACGGCACGCACGGTGATTATGTGTTTGGGTGGAAGGGCGACTCGCTGCAGCGGGCGATGGACGCGAATTGTGATGGGCCGACCTGTGCGCAGCTCAAGTCGCAGAGCATAGCTGCCGCGAACCAGTGCCGGGTGGATAAGCATGTGGCGGAGAATGTGGATGGTTGGTTGAGTGAGCTGCCGGGTGCCATGCCGATTACCGGCCCGCAGCCTGGGTCGGGGAGCGGCAACCCCAACCCCGGAAACGGCGGCGGCGGCGGCAACCCCGGAGGCGGAAACAGTGGTGGGGGTTGTCAAGTTGCCAAATGGGGACAGTGTGGTGGCCAGGGGTGGACCGGTTGCACCACGTGCGCGGCCGGATCGACGTGCCGGGCACAGAATCAGTGGTATTCGCAGTGCTTGTGAGCGGGATGGTTGGAGATGATTCTTGGTGGGTTTTCACGTACATACATTGCATGCTCCTCAAGCCTTTAGGTGTTCCACCTCGTGCGTTGAGAGGTACAAGAGAGGTTAGGAGAAATACAGGACTCAGGACTGATAGGAACCATCTGCCTTGTACATACCACAATCTGGTTCTTTGTTTCATTGTTCTGGGGTCGAAATGTCTTCAGTCGTGGTGCATGTGCTGATTGGCCCGGGAAGTACACCCCGTTTGCGCGTGCTTCGTATTCACTCACAGGCACTATCTTGCGCCAACGGGTACTAGATTGCGGCTTCTTAGTGAATACGAAGCCCTTTGTTGCAAGAGAGTAGCCTCTGGATGAACACGAAGCACACGCCAATGGGTCCTAGTTGTAGCATTACGACCCCTTGCTAGACCTTTGGCGGGAGGATCACAGCCTGGTAGAGTTGCAAGGAAGAATTCTAAAAACTAGAAGCATTAAAGGCTTGAATCTGGCCAGCAAGATAACCTTGGTTGGGGTTTTGACTTTTACCCCTTTCCTCCCTCCTCGCCCCCCCTGTGACGCCAGCACACATGGAATGCTTTCCGCGGCAGTCTAGGAGGCGGCTTTTGTACGCCTTGAGTGCTGCCTTTATATTTGTCTTTTTCTTCACCCAATTCCACATCAGGGCTGGTCCCGGGCAGGCTCGGCGGCCATGGACCTATGGCACGCGCAGTCTGGCAGACGACATCTACAACACCACTCTAGGCGTAAGTTTGCACCACAGCTGCCTGCCTGGTGCTTCCAGTCGTTACTTGCCAATGCTTTTGCCGAGACTAACGTACTACATAAACCCCTGAGCAGTTTGAAAAGATCTTTGTGATCAGCCTACCGTCCCGGACAGATCGCCGCGATGGCATGGCGCTGCAGGCGGCGCTGAGCAATTTCGAGTTTGAGTTTATCGATGGCGTACCGGGCGAGAATGTGCCTGATAAGGCGATCCCAGCCAAGAAGAAGGATCGCGCCAGTAACGGAGTGATTGGGTGCTGGCGAGGACACATGAACGCGATGCGAGAGTAGGTTCTTTGACTCATGTTCAATGTCAATGTTTACTTGCCCCCTGTTCTGACCCGTGGCCTTGCTGCTAAGATTCACCTAACACCTACAGAATCATCCAACGGAACCTAACCTCAGCACTAATCCTCGAAGACGACGCCGACTGGGACATCCGCATCAAGCAACAACTCCACGACTTTGCCCTGTCAACCCAAGCCCTCATCCAACCACTGGCAGCACGCCCCAACTCCTACGCAGACCCAACCTACCCATCCCCACCTACCAACATGGACCCTCCCAGCGAACTCACACCCCCCGAACTAGACTTCCACCACCTCCCCACCACCCTCCCCGCCACTCTCTCCCCGTACGGCGACAACTGGGACATCCTCTGGCTAGGCCACTGCGGGATGCACTTCCCCTTCCCCGACACCCCAATCCCTCAAGGCCGGGTCATCCGCCTACACGACACCACCGTCGCGCCCAAACGCCATCTCTGGGGGTTCACAGTCCCCTTCACCCTCAAGGAGACCTACCCCGAGCATACCCGGGCCGTGCACCACGTGCAGGAAGGCGTCTGTACCCAAGCTTATGCGGTCAGCCAGCGCGGCGCACGAAGATTGCTGTACGAGGTTGGTTTGAAGGACGTCACGGAGGGGTATGATATTCTGCTGCGGTTCTTTTGTGAGGGGGTTCAGGGGAGGGAGGAGGGAAGGCAGTGCCTGACGACGCAGCCGGGGTTATTTCAGAGCCATACTCCTGTGGGGAAGCCGGGAAGTGATATTGGAGCAGCGGATGGGGAGTTTCGGGAGAGGGCTATGACGGATATGGTCAGGTGGAGTGTGAGGTTGAATGCGGCGGTTTTGATGAAGGGGAGGGTGGAGGATGTTGTGGATCAATATCCGGATGAGGAGTACCTGGGTGGGGGATAGGGGGGTAATCGCAATGGGGTGTTGGTCTGTTGACAGGGGGGGCACAACATTCAGGGGCTGGAGCCGGTCTTGTATGCGGGGATCGAGCTGAGGGAAGCCGCTGTGTCGCCGACAACGAGCAGAACCTGGCACATCATCGGTGGCGGCACTACAGTTGTCCTTGTCTAACATGCCTCTGCTGGCGGACGAGGTATTCGTGGCGGAACGTTAAGGGGTCAAGCAAGCAGCAGACCCGCCGGTCTCCGCTCAGGGGAAGGAGATTGATGCTGGGGGCACCGGCGGCATACACACCTAGACTACATCGCATGCTCCATGTCTCCTACTCCAAGTACGGCCGATATGGGGGCCATGTGCATGGGACATCGCTGTCGGTTAAGCTAGTACCAAGAGAGGCAGGGCGTGACGGATGACCTCTGGCAAGAGCATGTGTGGATACTAGGTACATGTAGATTCTCAGTATGGCGGATGTTGAATAACAACAGAGGTTATCCGGGAAACCACGGCAGCCTTGATATTGGCCAATGTAAGTTCAAGAAGACGAAAAGGTACAGGAGCAGGAAAGGTATTAAGTAGCCATCAGAAAATTATAGTCCATCTCAGATGATACTTAGCAGTAACGAATCGAAGGTTTGTGAACACGAACAGCGATGCTTCTGGCGGCACCAGCCGAACAGTTCCCCCGGCAAGATAAATAAAACCAGCCCCCCCAGGGGCGATGTGAGACAGGGCGTCCAGCACACCGCTAGCCCCCTTAAACTGAGTCTCCCAACATGAACCCCAACAACACTGGAGAAAGTTGTTGATATCCCGGTCCAAACCGCCTAGCAAGATGCCGGACTAGGCACATTCTCACACTTAGCCGACTTCTTCCCGCCCGTAACACTGACCTTATTCCAAGTCCAATTCTTGCAAGCCCCCTTAGCACAGAGGATATACACCTCTGTCGCACCGGAACTCACACTCCCCGTAACGCCATTCAGCGTCAGATCCGTAATCGGAACGCCCGCAGTGGGTGTGCCCGTGGGGGAGCCATTCTCATAGTCCTGCTCGATAACCACACCGTACTTGGTAATGCCGGACAGCGTGATACCCTCGTACTTCACGTCCGAGACAGACCCCGTCGCGCCATACACCGTCTTAATGCGCACACCGTTCTGCGAGTTGCTGATGGACGAGTTGAGGATGCGTACTGTTTTGACCGTGTTGTCGGATCGGCCCCCGACGGAGCCGATCGAGAGGCCGTGGCCGCCGCTGCATTTGCCGCCGGTAAACTGCCAGATGTTGGGGTTAGGAGCTGGGTAAGGGGGTTGTCAAGTTTGAGGGGTAAAAGAAAACATACGGTGATGTTGGTGCCTGAGTTGATGGCCAGGCAGTCGTCCTGGTTCTTCACCACGGCGCCAGAGATGTAGACACCGTTGGAGGATCCGACATCGAATGCATCCGTGTTGTGGCCACCGGCACTGTCGCCGGCCGAGTTGTCAAGACTGACGTCGTAGCTGTTTCTTCATGTTAGTCCCAACTGGAGACCCTGCGGGGTGCTATATATCACACTTGGGCTGTAACTTACACCCCGAGGTTTGTGGCACCGTTGATGCTGAAGGCCTGAACGGGCGTGTTCTTAACATGGAGACCTTTGATGTTGGAGTTCTTCATGCTATGGGCGTAGAAGAATCTGGGAGATGATTAGTTGCGATTTTGATCTGAACAAGACTGGACACCCCTACTTAGGCTTCGTCTTGCCACCGTTGCTGCCCTTGCCATCCCACCACTTGGCTCCGTTGCCGTCAATGACATGACCTGTGGCGCCCTCCACAAGGATGTTGTTTCCAGAAACAGAAATCAGGGGACCCTCCCACTCCTTGTAGCCGAACGTGGTGGTCCCAGAGAAGATGACCTTTGTGCCGTCGTTCAGCTTGGTCAGGTCCAAGGTGGTTCCAGCCGGGACCGTAATATCCTTCAGGGTGATGGTGCTGCAGCTCTTCTTGCCGCTGATGGCCGATGCGGCGTCAGTAAAGGTGCAGCTAGCTCTTTTGGACAAGTTAGAGTTGACAGGGACCGGATTGGCTGCCGCAAGGGCGCCGAGAGAAAGAACGAGGGTGGACAAGATCATGGCGGTTGAATCAAACTTGAACGAGTGAATAAGATCCAATGACAGAAATGAAAGGTGCTAAGGAGTGGCTGAAGGCTGCAGTGAAGGTAGCAGACAGTGACAAGTTGGACAGAGGATAGATATCACCGCATTTTATAAGTCCAGATTCTGATTTCTTCCCTCCGGTAGAATGAAAAGCGGAAAGCTCCGAACTACATCTCGTATTGCCACATCGCTCAGTCCACGAATTTGAAGACGAGGCAGCAATAGATTGCAAGGGAGGCCATTCCCCATAATACAGGTGAACCTCGTGGAGTCGTGGGAGACATGTGGGCAAAACTCAGGATTAGTACCCACCAGGACTTCGATGCGAGATGATCGGATCTCTGCTCGAGCATGCATTCCCCATAGATCGACCCTGATCTATAGCGGTACCAGCGAATTCTTCAGCGTCCATTGGTGGAAGAAAATCTCAAGAAAGGGGGTCCAGAATCCAAATTCCAGAAAGCCGGGGGATATTGCCAAGACTGGCTAGGCGTGCCGAGCCATGAAACAAGCATTGCGAAGCTTTGTGGCTACGACGCCGAAGCTTCCGAGCACGTCTTGGCTTAGCCCCAGAACATCCCCGAGCGGGAAGGAGACGATCACCCGCAAGACGGATTAAACAATGATAGGTACGGTGTTGTAGAGGTCCGAGAGCGTCATCTGGTCTGCTGCATGTGAGATGCGCGCTGCAGCGCTGGTGAACAAGCAAACAACGACCTACTTGTAGCCACTGCCAATACTCGCCAGAGATGGGGGCAGTGGTACCTGGACGATGCTCCGTCACTGGCTCAGCTTTCCCCATGCGGCTCACTGTCGGCTAACTCGCGTGGTAGGGAAGGCAACCGCCTGGGGGTAGAGAAGCCAAGGGGGGTGTTGGCTGCAAGCCTGCAACGGGATACGCCTGTACCCTTTTTGCCCAAGCTACCTCCCCCGGCAGGAATCGAAGACAGGGTTGAGCTCGCCTTAACGAAGCCGATAACCGCAGTGATAGCGTTTCTTAGCGGTGGCTTTAACAAGATCTATACACTCTGATTGGACTGAAGCTTAAGAAGGCAAACAGTTGTACACCGTTCATTCGGCCACCTTAGCAGTAAAGGTACGGCTTGGCTTCTCGACGCTGGCTATGTTGTCGAGATGACGGGCTCTGACTGGACGACGGCAGCTCGAATGACTTTATCGTCGCTATGCGCGCCTGGGCAGAAATTTGGGATTGGGCAAAGCTTGCGAACACGGCCTCGAGACTAGAGACGGGGCTGTGCTGACTGCTGACTGCTGACCGAATCAAGACGGCGACAATAAGTTCATAACCTGCGAGTCCCCCATTTATCATCCTGAGAGCATCTTCTCCGTTCAAAACATCTTTGCAGATAAAAATCGACAGTGAAGCTCCTTTCCCATGCTTGAGTCAGCGATACCTGAGCATCTCCGGTGCACCCGCACTCGGGCAGCACGCTTGCCATCGGCCGGCTTTCAACCCCCTTATCCGTCTTACAGCGTGCGGTTCCCCAAGCATGCCTCAGAACTTGTCATGGCTATCATTGGCGCCCAGTATCCCTCAGCCGCGGACGCCGATGGAGCGGCTCAATCGACACTGTCGGGATTTTTGACGTCCCCGGCCAACAACAGCCCCTCATTCTTCGAATGGGCTTCTGTTACCGACAACAGAGGTTGCTACAACCTCTCGGCTCTAGCTTACTGGCCGAGCAAAGCCGCGTACGAAGCTTGGTTTGAGCACTCAGGATTCGGCGCGTGGTGGCAGGCCCTTCGACTAGAAGACTGCCAGCATGGATGGTTCCTCGAGATCTTCTTTCCGGTGATGGAACGCTTTGAAACCCTCTTCAACACCACCAACACTCCCGAAGGCTCCGCCCACATGGGGGATGGCATGAGCGGAGAGGTACAAGAACACGGTTACTGGGGGAGCATGCGTGACCGCCTTCCTGCTTCCCAGACTGATGGTCTTACGGGCAGTCCCGCCACAGCACAAGATTTCAACAACGCCCCCCAATCATCCGGAACCGGTGGCGTTCGGGTCAAGATCAAGGGCAAGAAGAACCTTGCTGTCATTCGTTCTGGACAGGACTGGCTCGACACGTCCCCGGAGGAGCGGCAGTTGTACCTCGAGACGATGCATCCGGTGCTGATCAAGGGTATGGACTTCCTGCGAGACCACGGGGACGAGGTTGGGTGCTACAGCTGCCGTTTCATGGAAATCATCGACCCTGTCACAAGGAAGGCTGACAAGGACCGCACTTTCGGGCTGGCCTATTTCGACGACATTGGCTCCCTCGAGCGCTGGTGCAAGGAACATCCAACTCACCTTGCAATATTTGGCGGTTTCCATCGGTATGCGAGGAAGTTGGGAAACAACGTCACCCTCCGCGTCTTTCATGAGGTCATGGTTCTTGAGCCTGAGCAGCAGGTCTTTGAGTATGTTGCCTGTCACAACGGGACTGGAATGCTAGGAACGGCGAGAGAAGAGTAGGCACATCGTATGTATGCTGGATAGGGGCCAATGCCCGGTTGTTGGCCTTATCAACCGTTTCTGCCTAATGGTGGCCTATCGATTTCGGTATTGAAAAGAGTGCATGTATCCAGCAGGATGTCGCCCTCTCAATACACATAGCGAAATGTGATCGCCTTGTCTCCCTTTGCCGAGAGCTCCGCCGACGTGTACGAATCGATTGCTCCTTCGTTCATCCTCTTCTCTCGCTTCTTGTTTGCCGCACTGTAGCCGGCAAGCAATATGAAGGAGGCAATAAGCCCGGCCCCAATAAACCCGAGCTCCAAGCCGTGCCCAAGCTTGTAATGAGGGGCGTCTCTCGCCCGGTAGAAGTTTGAAGCCATGGCCTACCGGAATTGTCAGTCAGCATGCTACTCGTTGTCCGACATGTGGGATAGTCTTACGCCACCGAGATTGCCAACGCCGATTTGCAATGCCATGCCTGCCGAACGCTTGAGCGATCCAGCAAGATTATTTGACAGCCATGCGATCACGCCAGGGAAGGCTGGGTAAATGGCACAGGCAGCCACGAAGACGCCGCCGTATACGACACGGGGGTTGGTAGAGCTGATGCACATCGAAAAGCCGACGACCATTATTAGCATGAGGACGATGATGAACGGACTCCGCTTCCCCACTCGGTCAGAGAAGTACGCAACCACAACGGCTAGGATGGCGGCGGTGATGTAGATGGGAACAGTCATGAGCTGCGCCTCACTACTTTCGTATCCGAGAGTTCGAATAATAGTCGGCAGAAAGAGGCTGATTCCGTAGAGAGGACAAACAATCTAGAGCTATTAGGAGACCATGGATCTGAAGGAGTGGACAGTAGGGTAGAGCCAGCACTTACGCCCCAGTAGACGAAGATGTTGACCCAAATCTGCCAATCCAGGAAGGCTTGCGCTACATATTTCATTTTAAACTCTTCAGCCTGTGCAACCTGTGCACGAGAAGGATCATGTCCTTGGTATTTGAGGCGGTAGACGACGAATGCTCGTTCTTCTTCAGTCAAGAACCGCGATGTACCGGGGTAGTCGTGCAGAACGAAGAAGGCGATGCCGGCGACCAAAACAGTGGCAATCCCTTCCAGACATGGTTAACAACGGCCATGACAATCAACTGGTTGCCAAGCGTCACTTACCCTCGAGAATAAATATCCATTGCCACCCGTGCAACCCTCCGATGCCGTCCATCTTCCCAATCGCGAACGCCAGGAGCCCGCTGAAGGCACCCGCAACGGACGCAGCACTGAAGAACATAGCCTGACGCAGCTGCATTTCATCCCGTCTGTACCAATTGGTCAGGTAGTAGGCCACGCCGGGGAAGAGGCCGGCTTCCGTGACGCCGAGAAAGATGCGTGCCGTCAACAGGCCCGTGTAATTCCTGACGATGCCCATCAAGGTCATGACAACGCCCCATGCGACCATGATGGCAGGCAGCCAAATGGATGGCCTGACCTTTTTGAGCATGAGGTTGCTCGGAACTTCGAAGGCGGCGTAGGTAAAGAAGAAGGCGGTCAGGCACCAGTTGTATTCGTCGTTGGTGAGGTTGAGGTCCTCTTGCAAGCCCTCGATCTTTGCGTTGCCGATATTCCCGCCTATGGTCGCGTGTATTAGCAAGAGCACGGGCTGAAGGTGTGGGCGGTGCACATACGGTCGAGGAAGGAGAGGAGGTACAGGAGAGCAAGCACGGGGATGAGCCGGATATCCATCTGTAGTGAGCATTAACATGCAGCCAGCGAGGATCACAAATAACCAGAAGACGAAGCCAACCCACCTTGCGAAGAATAGCCTTCTCATTCAGATGCACAAACGACGCAAGCGTGACTGGCTCTGTTGGCCTGTCGACCTGTTCAGCGTCTGGTTTCTCCTCGGACCGAGAACCAGAAGCATCGTGCTTCTCTGGGGAGTATGACTCCATCCTGGCTCACAAAGCACCGCTGGTTCTGGAGGTCACCGTCTTCGACGAACCAAGGGAAGACCAGGGGAGATGGGAAAAAATAACTGGGCGGCGAATTGGCCATCCGGCGGAGTGATGTGCTCTTTTTAGACCAAGACCCTAACCAGTAACCACCCGCATCCACCAAAAGGACAGGCTCGGGTCACGATACCAAATCCAACAGGATCAACGTCACCACGACCCAGATTGGTGGCGCTACTGCCCTCTATCCCTGTGAGCGTCACCTTTCACCCCACAAAAGCGCCCCTCCCCCGCGAACTTCCCCGCATTGCTTTCCCCGCGAGATCGCCGCCGCTAGACTCGTCCGATCGTCAGGGCTGCATGGACTGTGGACGGTTTCCTTAGCTTCTGCCGGAGCCGAACGCCACTGCCGGTGCTTGGTAGCGTCAGCGGCTTGCGGGGGATTCGGGGAGCCCTGGTCTGTCGGCCCGGCCTTCGGTCTTCATTGGCGTTTTCCGTGGCCGCTAGTGGTAGATGTCCTGCTCGGTGGTTGATGATCCGTGGTTTGCTTTGTGTTGTGATTTCGGAAGTTATTGAGGCCACAGGTTCGGCGTGCAAAGTAGAAGTTCAGAGTCGCAGTTGAGTCCCGTCGTGGGCTCCTGCCGCTTACCTATCTTAGGTACCTTAGCTCGATTAGGCTACGCCTTCTTTGGCGTGTGCAAACTCTCTTGCTTCTCTTGTGAGGCAAGTCTGCCTGGCCTGGTATGTTTCTAGCGGAAGGTGCAGCCTTGAACAACCCCGTGGGATCTATTTTTCCTTCCGAGTCTCAACACTACCTATCGTGGATGCACACATTGGGTCACGTCAATAAAAAGACCGAACACCAACCGCAAACGCTGTCACCACTGCTCATTACAGTATTGATATTATCCAATGCTTCTTCAAATCTACTCGAATACATATTTATCCAATCTCTTGCATCACGCATCATGTCGTCCACCTCGTCTGCCTCCCCTCCCTCCTCCTACTCCACTGGTGCGCACCCTTCTCTTCAACCCTCTTCTTCTCCTCAAACAGCTTCTTGCTCAGCTGCTTGTACACAAACGCATTCTGCCCATTATACCTAATACTATGATCCGAGTCCGTAAACCACGTCACCTCCAGCCTTTCCGGACTCACTCCCGCACCCATCAACAGCTCGCCCAAAACCGCCCCGTTCTGAAAATGCACATTATCATCCCCTGTGCCATGCTGCACCAGAAACCCGCCTCTAATAGCCTTAAACCCCTGCACATTCCTCACCGCCGACTTGGCATACCCCTCCCGATTCCCCTCCAACGTCTTCATATACCGTTCCGTATACATAGTATCATAGAACCTCCAATCCGCCACAGGCGCGGTCGCCAGACCCATCGAAATAATCGGATCCCCAACCTCAACAACCTTAGCCGTCAGGTACCCGCCATAGGACCATCCCCAGATGCCGATGCGGTCGGCATCGACCCAAGAGTGTTTCGCCAGCTCCTTGGCGGCCCAGATCTGGTCCTGCGCCTCGAGCTCGCCCAGGCGCGACGCCACCGTTGCCCGGAACGCGCGGCCTTTGTACCCCGTTCCGCGGTTGTCAACCGTGAAGGTGATGTACTCAAGCTCCGGGTCCGACGCGATGTAGGCGTTCCAGTTGAACGACGCCATCGACTTGCTCACCTGCTGCGCCCCCGGTCCGCCGTAAGGGGTCAGCAGTACTGGATACTTCCTGGCGGGGTCAAAGTTCGCGGGCAGGCGAAGCATGGCGTTGAGCGTGTAGCCCGAGGGGTGGGCCAGCTCGAGGTAGGTGATGTTGGGGAGGCGGTATTGCTGGAGGGCTGAGTACAGCCTGGCGTTGGAGGTAATGGTGCGGATCGAGGCGGACGGGGACGTGATGGAGTGGAGCTCCTGGTAGGGTACATCGGGTCCGTTGTAGCTGAGGATGTAGTACCCACCGCCGTACGAGAAGGAGGCGGACCAGACCGCGGGGACTTTGGGGTCGACGAGAGGAGTCTTGGCTTTGGTGATGTACGAGACCGAGTAGATGTGTCGTTCGGTGCTGTGGCCCTCGGTCGAGGTGTAGTAGACAAGCCCGCGACTCGAGTCGATCTTCAGAATGGAAACGACTTCCCACTCGCCAGATGTAAGCGCAACCTTGTGGCGGCCGTCGATGGAGAAGAGGTACAAGTGATTCCAGCCCGATTCGTCCGACATGTCGAGGTAATAACGGGTAGAGTTCTGGCCATTGCAGTTCCTGCGGGCCAGAGTGCGGTTACTTCCTGCGATGGGGCCAATGTAGCTGATGGCGAGGTTGTTGTCCAGCCACCCATCCGAACCATCCCGCTCACGGGTGACAGTGGCTGACGTGGAATTGGTGTCCACAACGACAAGCTTCTCGTGGTCCTGCACGCGGTTAAATGCCCGGTAGATGACCTTGTCATGGCTGTCGGTCACCCACGCAACCTCACCAATGATGAGATCATCAGCGGGCCATGCTGTGACGGGCACGGAAGTTGTTGTCAAATCCTTAACACTCAGAAGATTGAACGCCACAGTGGGATTGGTTGTGCCGACCTTGGGATACCGCAGCTCGAGCTCACGGGGGTAAGGTGGTGCAATCTCCTGGTTGTCCATGTAGTAGGGGATGGTGAATGTTTCGACGCCCGTTTCGTTGAAGCTGAGGAAGGCGATGTATTCGCCGTCCGGGGAGTACCACAGCGCGTAATTGCTGCCGAAAATTTCCTCCTCGTAAACCCAGTCGGGAACCGCGTTGAACATGTCCGGGCCACCGTTGCTGGTGATCTGACTGATCTTGCCTTCGTCCCAGATGAACAAATTGTTGCCTTGTACAAAGGCGACCTGTGAGGAAGAGATGGGATTCCACGTGGCATACTGGATGGTCCCATTGGAGCCCGGAACAAGCGATTGTGTCTGACCGGTCGCGACATCTTGGACGAGGTAATCCGCAAAGTACGAGTGGCGATACTGCTTCGTGTAATTGACAGCCCAGAGGATCTTGCTCTGGTCGGACGAAATCCAGTAATCCCAGTAGTCGGCCGGGATCTTGTCGGCGGCCAGGAACGTTGTCCGGTTCCCACTGACGACATTCTCGAAAATAAAGGACCCGTCCTCGTCCGTGGTGATGAAGTCGCCGTCGCTATCTGACTTCACCCATGTCACCGACGTCCTCGAGACGGACAGCTCGCCGGGGCTACCCGTGGTAACATTGTACGTCAACAACTTGGTGCCATTGCCGAGGGGCTGATGCGGGAATCGGGGAGGGTCAATGGCCGTGACAAGCGATGCGGCAGCGACACAAATCGAGAAAAGGCGCTGCATTCTGGCCATTCGCTCGTCGTGGGACGGGGAGGGAGTGGAAAGGGCAAGCTTGGTTGCACGAACCTAAGGCGATCTCAAGTTCTCAAGTTTGGGGACGCGGGTTGGTCCTCGCTTTTAGACGGATGCTGCAGACCGTGCATGATTACGATAATTGCATCGCCTGCCGGGAACGGAAACCCGGCGTGTCGCCCGAGGACGGCAGGTACTCGCGGTACAGGGTACGGACTGCGGTTGACGTGACACTGAGCCGCCTAAAATGGAAGGTCATGACTTATAAGTGGGCGGGCCAAGCCAGCGATCCTCCATTATCATCTGGGTATGTAAGGTGCCTTACTTAGCCATGGAGAACGCAATCGGCCAAGACATGCCTGTGTCCCCGACCCCGCCATTATCTAGGTAACGTTATTGGTTCCAAGTCTTGGGCATTGGGGGAGGCCCTGGGGAGACAACCATGGATTGAATGTCTGGGCATCTTTCAAGTTAGGATACGGGATACCGGTATCTGGCTAATAAACAAACGCTGATTTTGAGTCCGGCTAAGGGCAAGAACAATAGCCCGTCTCGACAGTCCATTGAGTACAGTACACCTGGTTAGGAGCTTGCAGACTTCCAGTTCGTTGATAACTTGATACACAAAAGCTCCGTCGTGGGCAACGCTTGAGGTTGGTCGCCCGGTAGAAAAGAGTGGATTGGCAACATTGCTTGCCGAAAACCTTGGCAATTCGGCCTGAAAGCCGCACAACGCATTCTGCGAGTTTGTCAATCAGTTTGCCCAACACACCTCTGCCTGGCCAGCCCTCTCCACGAGGCCGACAATTGGCTGTGCCCGCTGTGCCTGCGCGAAAATAGGACCGAACACCTGCACCGTCGGGCGGCTGAACCCTGGAAATGAACGATTGTCGGTCTGGCTTCTGCTCAGTTGGTGGTGCTTCCTCGCAGGGTTTTACGCCGAGCTCGCCAACGCAGACCTGGACGGGGACCACGGTTCGTTCCTCTGCTGGTCGACCGGCTGTGGTTCCTAGATGGTGCCGTAGGCGACAAGCTCCTCCTCAAGCTCCATGTCGGGATCGACGATAAACCGATGCACTCCTTGGAAGGAGAGAAACGTATGAGTGAGATTCCAAAGAACCAGAAACTCGACCCCCAGAGAAACAGAGCGACTGTCCCAGTCGTGCCGTGTCTGCTTCGCTGGCCAGCACCTGCAGGCCTCTGGGGTGAGCATCAGCCCCATTCTCGCACCCTCGATACTCCAATATATCTGTCCGGCTCCCAGTTCTATGTCGTTGCGAGAGTCTGGGCACTTCAGCCGCCAGGCCTATCAAAGGCAAACAAGTTGAAGCGCGGCAACCCAAGGGCAATGAGCGCAATGAGGTATGGGAGCAGCCGAGGAGGAGGCTGATGGGAGTAGCAGAAGAAGCTTTTCGAGGCGAATCGAACTGTGTGCCTTTTTGAAAGGCTAACATGGACGGTACTACTTGACCACTTGACCACAGTCAGTCACAATACCAGGGGGGGCTGAAAGTAGGGAAGTGGATTTGACTTATCTACCTAGATGGGTATTTTTGCAACACTTACGGGTTGGAACTGGCAATGCACGGCCACACTGGAACCGACTGAACTCCCTGTCGTTCGGGTGTTGCAAGGTTGGAGAGTCGGATCCGCGTTCGCAGCTTTGCAGTTCAACAGGTCCTTCACTCCCGGACGAGGGGCGGGAGCTAGCATTGTGCTGAGACAATTCTGGATGTCAGCGGGTGTAGATTGAGGCGATATGGTCAATAGGTGAAGGTGAAGTCGGTTGAGATGAATGCTCGGTCAGTCCTTAGCAATTGGTGAGGAAATGGCAAACAATTTTACTCTGATCATCTGAAGGGAGCGATCCCGTTGGTCTGTACTTCCCGATTCGGCAGGTGGGTCCACTGACCGTGTAAGTGAAGGAGGGACCGAGGGCCGAGGACTCGAGGGATCATATGACGGTGTTCGAACGGTTGGCTCCCCGGACATCAAAAGTTTCAACGAGGATGGAATGAAATATACATTATCTATACTAAGTAAACATATATCCAAGACAAACAAAACCTTATTTACTCTGCATCTAGCAGTGGCAACAATGCAGTATACTCCGCCACCCAATCATCCTCCAACCCCGGCACGAACATTCCTGCGGAAAGCAGCGCCGCTGGGTCTTTCTGCTGGGCAGCTGCGCCCGAGCCTTCCAATTCCTGACCGCCCCCGGGCTCCTCCTCAGGCGGGGTGTCGAGGGCCAAGGCGCTGGGCGAGTCTGGCACCGGCGGCAAGTCCCCCTCCGCATTCCCCTCTTCGGCCTGCGCCTGCCCGGCCTCTTCAGCGAACAGGAAGGCGCTGGGGGAGAGCACTGCGAGCAGCGGCCCGAGATCTGGCGTGGCATCCGGTGCCTGCTCGCTAGCAGCCTGAGAAGCAGGCAGAACACCGTCGTCTCTCGCCGGGGAACTCGGAACCGGCGGCGGCGGCAGATGAAGATCGGCGCTGGACGAAGCCGAAGCATCGCCGGGCTGGCCGGGGCCAGCATTTGCCGCCGCTGCCGCTGCCGCTGTTGTTGCTACCCCAATCGACGCCGCCGAGACGTCATACCCTTCGCCCCCGCAAGCACCCGACGAGCTCGCCCGCGACAGATCCACTTCCCCGCCCGACGGAACTCCATCAGGCCCAAAAGTGAAGAGATCGTCGGCCAAAATGGAGTGCGACAGGTTTGTCGCGCGTCTTGTCTGACATGACGGCCTCGCGTTGGGCGGCGAGGGAAACAGGGCACCAATCGAGGCCGGTCTCGGCGGGTTTGCCACGATCCCGCCCACAGCACGCAACGGGAGGTTGGGGTTTGGCGCGGCCGTCGTCATCATCTGGTGAAACATATTCCCAGATGAGATCGGGCCGTTGGCAACACGAGGCAAGAAATGCTGTTGCTGCTGCGGCTGCTGCGGGACGGGGAGGGGTGGGACGCCTGGAGCGGCAACTGGGAGCGGAGTGGGAGCTGGAGCACCGCCGAGGTACGCGAAGTAGGCGGAACGATAAAGATCCCACAGCGCCCGGTCGATCATATCAGGCGGCGAGTCTGGCGGCGTCGTGTTGAGTTCCCCGAGGTTACCGCCGTATGGCCAGGCGCCCATCATGCCGGCGGCGGGAAAGTCGCTAACCATGGGAGAGCACGGGAAGCCAAGCGGAGGAGGTGTTGGGTTGCCCCTGCGCATGCCCTCGGCCACCTTGTTGCTGAAGCAGAGCTGTGGCGGTGGGAAGGCAAAGGGTTCCACGCTGAGCATGAGCCCCGGGACGGAAGCCGGTGCCGGTGCCGCTGTCGTCGCCAGGTTGGGGAAAGAGCCGGGGGTTGGGTTGCCGCTCTGTACCGCGGCAGCAGAATATCCCAGACAGGCCGCGGGGTTCCGAGGTTGCTGCTGGTTCATCCTCGGGCAAGGCTGGTTTGGCGTTTTCGCAGCCTGCGGCTTCTGCACTGCACCACGTCGGCTGACCCGAGCCTGGTGCGGTCCCTGAGATGACTGGGTTCCCCGCCCCCGACCCTGCGGGATCCGGTCTTGCGGGAGACGGTTCGACGCGACTTGCATCGGTGGCATTGACATCAGACAATGCTTCAGCAGCACCTGCCGGGACTCCTCAACCGACATCAGTTTCCTGGGCGCCGGCTGTTTCTGGGCGGCCTTGGAGGCGGAGATGGTTGTGCGTTGGGAAGACATGGTGGTAGGAAAAGAGGTGGAAGAAAGCTGAGTTGGTGTTGAAGAATGTATTAAGAATGAGTGATGTATGAAGAACGAGTGATGTAAGAAGACCGAGTGAGGTATCAAAAACGAGTGATGTATCAAAAACGAGTGATGTATCGAGAACGAGTGATGCGTTTGGTGATGTGAAAGTCGAGTGTCTGGTTGCTCCTTGTGTGCTGTGCTGTGTTACAAGCCTAGAGATCGAGGAAGGCGTAATGGACGAAGTGCAAGAAGGGGATGGATTCACCGTCCTTAAATACTTAAATTCCTCCTTCTACACGCTGCAAGCTCATCAACACGCGCTTTGATATCCAGTCACCTCGATCACGAACTATTGAATACCTGGTACCTAGCAAACTCTTGTGAGCATCAAGTTCGCATTGACTGTCCCGGTCAAAGCCCTATCTAGTCCGGTTTTACAATGTATCACCACCGGCCGGCCATCCTGTCCTCCTCCGCGAAGCAGGGTGAGCTTGCCCGAGCGGCAGACCGTCGACGTGGATGGACGGGGATGTTGAGCACTCGGCCTAGCTAGCTAAGGGCTGAGTGAGGGGGATGTTGATATTTACTTTAGACTACTAAACACGACGACAAGACCATACGTTCACGCCCTGCCACCTTCGTCGTCGACGGCGTCCAGTCGAGGAAAGTGACCTCCAGAGTACTCCTAGCGTCGAGACAGCAAGGTACATCCGACTGCTGGAAGCATGCTCTGATTGCAGTCCTTGGCACATGTCGTCCTTGCAAGATGGTCTGGTACAATTGTAGTATCCGCTGGCCTAGAAGACATTGTCCGTCGTACCGTTCAAGTTTCCTGCCCTCGTGGAGCCTCCCAACACGAGCAGCGCGTCTTCCTTCGTCACGTCGAGTACTGTTGTCGTTCCCCTTTTGATGTCAGGTGTGTCTCGAGCCATGGAACTGTTGAGTGCCGCCGGCTGGCTCGCTTAGGTTAAACGGCCCGACAAGAGAATGGAATACCGCCAGTGCGTATTGTTTACTGTTTACATCAAAGAAGAGCTCTTTCAGCGGTAGGGTCTGTGGCGCTGGACTCGATGTCTGCCTTGTGGCTAATGCGAGGCTAAGAGATGGCGCACATAGTACCGTCTGATCGGTTCGTGACGATTGAACTCGTTGATTCGAGCGTTTCGACATATTGGTGGCTGGTAGCGCCTTCTGAGACTTCCGAGTCACAGCGTTGTGCCTTGACGGCTAGTACTTAGGTACTCCTTAGTAGCGGCGGCCGTGCGGATATGCCAGTGCTGGAGGGAAATGCAGTCTTCTGTGGTGAGTTCAGTATGCTCGATTTGAAGTCCGAAGTTCACCTAGGTATGCTTAATCTGATGTCCCTTGGTGCGCTGTCGGGGCGCATGTGTACTCCGATCCGTGGCGGGAAGGGGCCGTTTCTTCGAGTCGGACGCAGTTGCCCGTAGGCGCACTGCATGGCTTCCAACTTACCATTTGCTGGGCGACGATTTGGAATCAATGTCTCTATTTACTTAAACGGTAATGTAATGCCATCGATCTGGTTAGTGAATACTAATGGGCGACGCTGAATTGGAATCTGACGAGCAGAAGCACCTGAAAGCCTGGCTACCTAGGTACCTAGGTACAATACCTGCGTCGGACAGAGGTACCTAGGTACCTACAATACCAGTCTTCCTGCCACACCTACTACTAGCGTCAGCTCTAAAATGGTGCCCGCCTTGACTCTTTTGACGCTCTAGCTCATGTTCGAGAAGCTCTACCGTACCCACATGCCTGAACGCCCAGCGGACTGCGACGTCATCCCGTCTTTGGGAATTGGAGGAAACTCGGAAGCAGTCCCAGAGCGCCGGCCTCCGTGTGGATCCAACTCTGACGCCACCTCACTTTTAGAAAATTGTCAGAACACCAGGAAGAGATGCCAGAAGAGATGCTGAACGCTTTGAAGGCAAAGGCGGAGCGCTGTTCACCTGGGCCCGTGGGTGAGTAACCCTGGCTAGTCTTGAACATCACTATCATGGCGCCAGCAGCATATGCCATATGGCCTAAGGTACAGTATCTAGGGGCAGAAGAGGCATGGACAAAAATCGGGAGAACAGATTACAGGCTGTGCCTTGTTGTTATCCATTACAGTGACAGAATCCGCATCTTGTCAGACTTGCCTTAGCATTACTAGTAGTAAGTGCACCCAGCAGTAGATCCAACATCATACCTTGTCAGGCCGGAGTCGACACGAACCCCATCATACAATCCCCGCGCCCTCAAGCCGGCGCATTCGTCTCCACCCCATTATACTTCTTGCTCTCCTCCATCATGACCCACGGCGCAAAGACATTCCTCTCCCCACCAGCCTCCAAAACGCCCTTCAACTCCGGGAAATGCCTCTTCAGCACATCCTTCATCCCCGTATTCTGCAGCCAGTCAAACCCAACCCTTGTGTAAGTCCCCGGCCCAAACTCGCTGGCCCCAGCAATAAACCGATCACTCTTCAGCCTTCTCGAAGCCATAAGAAGGAAGACCCTGAACGCAGTCTCGCTGAACCCGAACCCCGGGATGACAGGCTCGGAATGAGACCCCACGAGCGCGTCGACGAGGTTGATGTCGCCGTTATAGGCCTCCTCCAGCTCCTTGGCAAGCTCCACGTTCCCGCCTGTCAGCTCCTCAAAGGTCTTGGGGACCGACATGCGCAGGAGACGTCGGAACTGGCAGTAGCGGGGTACGCCGCGCTCCCTGTCACGGAGGATATCGACTGTTCCGAGATCGCGGAGCTGCCCGTCTGGTGTTGGCAGTTCCCGTAGGAAGGAGGGGTAGTTGTTGTTTGTGATTGCGCCGGGGTAGTTGATGCCGAAGGAGTAGAAGACGTCTGGGAAAGTAACGAGGCCGGAGGCGAGCGGTTCTTGGGCTTTGGAGAAGGTCAGGGATGGGACGGGAATGGTCGAGATGTGAGATCCAGATGCGGACGAGAAGAATGCGATGCTTTCTAATCAAGGATTAGCAATGGGGAGACTAGAAGGGACAGGGAAAGGGGAGATCTACCTGGCATGAGTGAGTGCATCCTATACACAGAGACAAACTCCTCGGTCAAAGAGAACGGCGCACCGTCCTGCTCCGGCCCGCTGCCCGGAATGCCGCTGATGATTTCGCTGGTCTTGGAGATCCGCCCGAGCATCTTGGTGAGCTTCTCACCGACGATGCCCCACCAGTTGGCGCTCATGCCGATTTGTAGGGCGGGATGCGCCAGGATGGCAGGAGTCCATTCAACTGTATGGATCTTGGCCATCAGGGCGCAGTTTACAAGCCTAGCCTTGTCGAATATTTGATCTCTGAAATGAAAGCGGTTAGCGGAAGTATCAACCAGCAGAAGATGGGCTGGCTAACCCAGTCATGTCCGGGTACGCCGCCTTCAGGGCATCGCAGATAGCGTTATGCTCCAGCGCAAAGAGGGTGTGCAGCATTTCCATGCCAATCCACCTTCAACATAGTCAGTCAACAGCTTCTTCATAGGACAGCGAAGCACCTCTGACCGCACATGTACATACCAGTTATTGTTGAAGCCTGTCAGCGGGTTTCCATCCTTATCCCGGGGGAGGAAGGACACAGTCCCACGCTCGTCAAGCTCCAGCTTTCCATCGGGGAGCTTCGTTCGGAGAGCTTCGGTGGCTTTCTCGCTCGAACCATAGATCTGCGAGCCATCCCACCAAGCCGTGTTTTCATTATTGTAGCCAGGGCACTTGACGTCAGAAGGGTCCCGTACTTCGTCTGCCTTGGTCCGGAACAGCTCCATGTGTGAATGGGGCCATGGATCCCCGCCCTCTGGAAGGGGGACCTTGAACTTCTCGTTGCTCTGTGTTAGGCTACGTCAGCTTAGTGCCTTCAACGTGACACAACCGGGTCACGGGTTCCGTTGGATTGCGCGTCGCACTCACCTCGATATGGTTGAACCAGTCATGTATTTGGAATTGGATCCAGGCAGCAGCGAGCATGTTCAACGTCGTTGCCGGGATAAAACGCCCATCGCGGCGAGCCATGAACCTGTCGCTAATCATGCGAGGATTCGGAGTCCAAAGCTCTTCTTCGGTGGGCCTAGGGGTTAGGTGCCTGGGGAAATTACGACCGAATCGCATTCCACGACAGCCCATCAGGGGCTGCTCCAGTGAGTTGAACTTGCCATCCGAATGGCGGGCGCTACGGTAGCGTTCGTCTGTAAGCGGGTGGTCCCTAGCGTTTCCCTGAGCCTCGGGCGAGGCATAACCGTCGTAGAGGTTAAACTGACGGAGCTCAATGCGCAGAAAGGCAAGGTTGAACGCCCCAATGAAGCCGGGCAGCTTGTACCAAGGCACCACTCGGTTCAAAAGCTTGAAGGCACCGATGCCGAGACGCTCGGGTAAGGTGGGCGTGAAGGAGGGTGTGAGTTGCTGCTCCTCCTCTTTGGCGACCTTTTGGAGGTCATCAACCGTCGAACTGTCGTTGCTGGAAGACATCATGAGAAATGCAGTCTAAGGAGCAACCCAGTTACAGCAGCGTAAATGAACCCGGATCGAACTCGAAGCAAACAGGGGCGGGAGGAATCATGTCGGGTCCCTGCATACCTATATATCCTACCCTCCATCCCCGTAACTGCTATCGCCCCATCCGGCAACTGCTGTTGTCAACGACCAACGGCCGCCCATATGCAACTGCGCAGTTTCGAGATCTGAGTAGGTTCCGTGGACCGGGCGGTGCACCCCGAATGTGGATGCGGCATGGGTGGGATCTGATTCGAAGGCTGAGAGGAGCCTAGGTCTGTTGGTGCTGCCTTGCTTGATAAGTTGCTGTGATTGTGTCACCCCTCCATCAAGACGCGGCCACCCCGTTTTGTGGCTTTAGGGGTCACCACCCGTCCATCCATGTTGCTGACCTGCATTGGGCTGCATGGCAGCCTTGCAGGGGATACCGCTAATGCGGGCTGTGGCTGGACTGGCAACGTTTTTGGGAGCTTCCTTCTCTCGGTGAAATTGGACGCTAATTGGCTCCCAACACGATGTTTCCCAAAATCCAAGTTTGAACTTTGAACTTCGGCAAGAGCAGTGCGGGTACCTTTAGGGTTGACGATTACCTTACCTACCAACCTGAAGGTACCAGATCCGATCTGGCCACAATCACGTCGGTGAAAAGAATCCCAGAGCAAGAGTCTTATGGACTTAGGTAAGTAACATCTGAGTCCTGACCTCCCCGTATCCATCATACATTTGTGCTCTACGCTAGGGCGAGAGGCCACTAATCCAGACCCATCAAACTCGGATCTCGCGTCAGCACCAACTACCTTAGGGGATTTTCAGGTCCCATCGCCGGGAGTCAGCACGCAATGATTGGTCCCTCGGACAGAGCACTAGACACAGTGACTGACGAGAGCCTTAGTGAGCGTCATATCGCGGAGTGCAACCTGTACTAGTAACCACGCGCTGTTCGCAGCTGTCAAGTGATGTGCTGGGTGACTGTCAGGAGTGTCAGTGTCAGCAGTAGCTGGCTCGATCCTGACTCGGATGCAGCTGCTAAACGATCAGCGAGTGTGATGTGCATCGCCTTAGACAGGTGCACAGTGCACTGAGGAGAATGACATTGCAGCTTTGTTGTTGCTCGTCGCTCAGGTGCTCAACTGTTCCGCGGTAATGTCGCTTTCACGTCAATCAGACCCTGACTGCACGAACTTGAGTGGTAAGTGCCGTGACCGGAGAAAGCTAGCAGTTGATTCTTATCACCTACTGTTATCAGGCTCATGTGCAGAGTACTCTATTGATGCGGTTGTCCAGAAGTTGCTTAGCTTGAAGCTAGCATGTGGCTCAGCTTGCGACTTGAGTGGGCGACGGGAAGTTTGGGACCGAAATGAGCCGCTGCGGCAGCACCTTCAGCTCAGCTCCGTATCATCGGCCAGGTGCCTCTGAGCGACGAGAAAGTTTTGTATGAGCAATGCTTCTCATGATCTGCTCAATCTCTAAAAGATACCAACGAGCTCCCGTCAGAAAAGAAAGAGAAGAGTTCTTTTCAGACTGCATGTACAGCAATGGCCCAATGGGGAAAGATGGACTATACCGATCTCAAGATCACGGAACGTCAGATCCGGCTCATCACCATCCTGCCACCCTCGCCAACCGATCCTACAGGTCCCGTTCGTTGCACAATGACGGTCAGGAGCCAGAGCCTTCCGACGTCTGAGCAGGCTCCATCAACAACAGGACCCTTGCCTCCAAACTATATATCGTTCGACCACTGGGTCACTACGCTGCCCGAGGAAAGTCATGTCGAAGAACTCCGCAATTTACTTGCCCCAGCCCTAGAGAGCATCGACAAGAAGCAATCCAGTGTGACGACACGGGTTGTGAGTAAAGTCCTCAAAAAAGCCCTCAACCAAGAACTCGAGCTCGCCGTCACGATACCCGTGCGGACAATCATCGACATGTTGACGGGCGAGGAGAAGGTAAGGATTGTGACGTCTATGGGAGAAACTTCGAGGACCGATGGATTCAACCGTCGCGTGCCGATGTCTGAGAATCGGTTCATCCAAGCTACCGAGGATGAGGCAGGGCATGCGTTGTACTATGGAAGGATGACTCCGGCTTGGGGGGACTATGTTGGGACCCTGCCGGCAGCGGAGGTGGATCCCTTCTTTCGCCCACCGGAGACATCCACGAGAAAGGGCAAGAAGATGAAGCGACAAGCGGATGACAATTACGTTGCCATGTCGTATTGGTGGGGTCCGAAGGACGAAGAGCCAACTGCCGAGATTGTGGTGAATGGACGGATTGTCAAGGTGAGAGAGAATCTGGAGGCCGGGCTGAGACAGTTCCGGGAGATGGAGTACTTCCAGCAGGGGGGGAAGATTTGGATCGATTCGCTCTGTATCAACCAGCAGGACGAGGCCGAGAAACAGGATCAGGTGCAGATGATGGCCTCCATCTACCGCTGTGCCGGTAACGTCATGGTCTGGCTGGGGCCCGCTGATATTGAAAGCGGATGCTCCATCACGTTTCTCGAGAACGCAGGGGCCGATTTCCGAGCCGAGTATGTTGAGGCATTTGATGGCGCCGATCCCATAACTGCACACACCTGGCGCACTATGGCTCTCGTCCGCATGGAGACAAGCTACAACCGATTCAGCGATGAGCTAAGGACTGAGCCAACAAGGCTGCTAGACCCACGTCAGGAATTGCTGGATGATGTCGCCTTCGCCTTCCATAGCTTCTTTGCCCGCCCCTACTGGCGGCGGCTGTGGATCATTCAAGAGCTTTGTATGGGCCGCGGCGGCATGCCCATCGTCTGCGGGGACCGGGTTACCCAGTGGCGGTACATCCGCGATGGCGTGCTGAAGTTTATGTCCATCTTGGACATTCTCGATGAGAGAAGAAGGGGGTCCTCGAGTCTCGATAAGAGGGCTTCTCTGCAAGAATCACTAAGCCACGTTGCGCAGATCGCTCAGCTCGAAATCATGGGCCACAGACGCAAAATCCAGCATGTCGACGACAACAGGCTGCCCCTGATTGCTCCGACTTGGCTTGAACACGGACCGCTGCTTGGCAGCGCTCTTCGAAGAGCCGTGGTCCTCGCGTCGCGGACAGACTGCTCAAGATCACACGACCGCATCTACGGCATGCTCAGCATCCCCGCAATTCCCGATCTCGGTATCAAGGTCGACTACACCAAACCCCTCGCCGACGTTTTCACCGAGTTCAGCGCCGCGTGCGTCAAACATGGTAGTCTTGACTTCTTCGCCATTTTGGATGGCGGGCGTATGTCTCTGACAGATGAACACGGCAATCCTCAGGATCCCGACAAACCATCCTGGGTCCCGGACTATGGCGCCAAGCCGGAGAGGCGCATCGGTATTCTTGACGGCGTGTGGCATGCCGGGGGATATGTGCCGGTCAGCTTTGCCCAGCCTGTTGTTGGCCCGCAGAACTTCCTATGCTGCCAGGGCAAGGTAGTTGACACGGTGGATGGCACTGGGGCTATATCGCAGGCAGATGTAGAGTCCGGAGCCATGATTTTCAAGCCGGAGGATGACTTACTTTCACTTCAACAGCCCACCGTACCCGACTCGGAATCAGAAAATCAGAATCCGCAACTGAGGGGAGAAGCTGTCATCTACAACGTCCTAGTCGGGGGTTGTGACAGGAACGGAATGGAAGCTCCGGCCTCGTTCAAGTGTTTGTACACAGCGTTCCCGCCTGAAGAGCCATTCAAATGCTCTGCTTTCTACCGCAATTGGCAGTTCCTCAATTCGACCGCGGACCTGATGGTGCACGGGAAACCCCTATCGTCATACTTTGGTCATATGGCGGCTCCCGTCTCTGACACAACAGAGCCAGACAGCGCGTCCACGCCTGCCTACACCATGAGCGGCGCGTCTGAGACGGCTGCCGCCCGCCAGGCAATGGAAATGCGAACCAAAATGCGACGCTTGATAGTTACAAAGGCGGGATATCTTGGGCTCGCGCCTGTGCAGACCAGGCCCGGGGATGTCGTGATTGACATTGTGGGCCATCCCACACCGCTGATTGCCCGCAAGGACGGAACCATGGATGGCCAGGACTTTTGGTATCTGATTGGCGAGGCGTACATCGCAGGGCTGATGGGGGCTGAGAAGATGCCGCTGTCGACGAAACATTGGCATCAGAAGGAGACGAGGCGAGCCATGGCCGAAATGGATATCATTATCTTTGTATGACACTTGCTGGTTGATAGATATCATGGATCCCTCGCTCGAAACGGATATCATTCTCTTCGTATGACACTTGCTGGTTAACAGATATCATGGATCCCTTGGATGCCTTCTAGCGTAGCCTTGGTTGGGCAATGGCGAGCCTGAAGTAGACAGCCGAAGAGGCTGATGCAGGTATAAACAGCTTTCTACGACGGATCGGACGGGGTGCCTTAGAAAGAGGCTGACATGACTGTACTACTTGACCACTTGACCACAGTCAGTCACAGTACCCAGGGGAGCTAAACGTAGGGAAGTGGATTCGACTTATATACTACCTCGATAGTTTTCTGGAGCACCCAACTGGTCGAGATTGGTAATACATAAACACACTGATGGGACTGACTGATCTTCGGTCCGGCTAGGAGCTTCATATTGGACAATTCCCATCGCGCCTCAATTCTTCCCTGCCTCAATAGTAGTATTTATCCCCTTCCCGGTTGTTGGAACTTTCCCCTACTGGCCGTGGAATATTAGTATGCTTGCGCATACAAAGCATCTGGCTGTCCTTGTCCTTCCTGGTATCTTTATCATCGTCGGCGGCCTTCTCGCCCGACAAGGGAGCAGTAAACAAAGTTGGAAGCCAGTCGCTTTCCTTTCGGCCCCTGATTCCATTCGGACCCCGTCAGCTGGTGGCAACTAAAGCGGTTGATCCAGGTTAAAGCGAACGCACCTTTGTTGCACTCTGTGAGGGTTCGTAGGTTGTGGTGATACGCTCCCGGCCGGGGAAGCAAGCGGTCTGGTTGCGTTATCTCAGGTAGTCGTGTTCATGTTCGCCGCCGTCGTCGTGAGGGTAAAACCAGCCCTGGTACGCTGGCACGGCTACCTGTACGCAGGTACGCCAGAGGGAGCTCAACATGGTCTGAGCTAGATCACTGATTGAGGGATATAAAAGAATAAGTCTCAGTGCTAGATCTGGCTTTCTGTTCATAGAACGTGAAAGAAAGAGACTTTTGTGTATGGAGACCTACCAGCACCTAGAAGGCACAGAAAGATGGTGAATCCGACCCTCCTGTGAGCGGACTTTTTGTCAGCTTTTTGACTAGCTAGCCAACTGAAGGTGGTGAGTCCAACTACGTCGGACAGGTTGCATCTCGACGAACCCCAGGCATATTGACGGCGAGAAACGAAGGTAGTAATGATGGAAAGAGAAACGTACATTATTGCAGGCGCCTTTCTGTTTCTTTTCGGGCTTGGGTTAACGTAAGATGCGTGAGCGAGTTTCTCGACATGCCTGGGCTACTCGATCAAAGCGGGTAGGTCCTTGGAACGGGTCATGGTAAGAAGTGCTTCGCCCCTGAATAGGTAAACAACAACACTTGAACACACCCTAAAATTTGAACATTCGTATCACCACCCAGACTCAAGAACGATGAATCATGCCGTAGATTCAATGTGTACAATCCCGACCGCCAGATCATGTCTCAAGCACCTGGACGATTCTTTCCTGGTGTTCCAGGTGCTGAGAACGCGGCCGAGGGGATGAGTCGCATGTAATGGGGCCGCCTTGCGGTACCCTTCCTGCCTAGTATCTCAATGCTAGTCGCGATCTGATCTTTGTCGTGGTGTCCGCATCGTGCCTCTCGTGATGTATGGCACTCCGTGTCATTGGCCGACGGGCTCATGGTGAAGGGAGTTCCCGCCCGACGCCGTCGACGACTAAGGCAGTCAGAAGCTTCCGGCGTCGATAGCTTCACAACAAACCCAAAAGCTTTTTCTCCCCCTCGGCTTTCCTCCTCTTCCCTGTTCCTCGCTCAGCAAGAAAGGATTTTATCTACTCCTCGTCCAGGACTCGGAATCTTAGCTCTCCTTCACTCAGCCTGAAGCAATTATCTTCGCTCCTCGACGTTGTGCTCGCTACTTTCTTCTTCGGTTAGCCAGGGACGGCCCTATCTAGCCGTCGTTCAGTCGTTCCACGCTCTCTTCTTCAATCCTTCTGAGCCGACCCTCAGCTTTCGTTCCCTCTTCTTACTCCGACAGAGGAAACCGTCTCTGTCCTGGCATCTAGTTCCAATTCTCGTTCCCTTTACCCATCTTGTCGATCTCGAGGCAGTCTTCGCTGCGATAAGCTCTCTTTCTCTCAAAGGAGAGTCAGCCAAGGGGATAACAGTACCAAGAAATCTATCGGTAGGTTGAGTCAAGTCCCAGTTCTATCCCCGAAATCACTTTTTTTCTGTCCGTTATCGATCAACAGCGATCTCGACAGTTCCTGAGCACGTATCAACGACATGGCTCAAGCGAACATTCCTCTGCCTTCACCCTTGATCTCCTTGCCGTCCGAGGTCTTGGACGAAATCATCCAAGCGCTGGTCAACGCCAACGATGGCAGAGCGGGCTTGGCCAGCTTGGCCCGTACTTGCCGTTACATGCATAACCGGCTCACGCCAGTCCTCTACGGTAAAATCGAGGACCCCAGAATACACAGTGTAGTGGGCGACGAGGTGGTCGTGTCCAACAGGCCTAGGCTGAACTACCTCGCGCTCGCCCACACGATTGCGCTTAGCCGTCGTCTACGCCAACATATCACGGTGCTGAAGTTCGGCAATGCTCACCTGAGCCCCGAAGTGCTCATAAATGCACCACAGGGCCCGGGTCGGGATGCCATGCTTTTGTTCATTCAACACCGCTTACGTCTGAATATCTTGAACCCGGACGAGGATCTCTCCTCCCCGATTCCGGCTCTTGCCCTCTGCGCCGTGGCCGTCAACCTTGGACGGCTGGTCCTGACCAGCACCAGCCATCGAAGCTGGATTGGCACCGATTTTCTGCTAATCCGTGACGCTGACGCCCCGGGTGGAACAAGATGGAGGCCCTCCATTTTACTGAATAACCTCCGGGACCTAGAAGTCCCTTACGAACCCCATCCATAAGAGCAACATTACCCCTGGGGCTCGCGCCAGGTCAATATCAAGATACTAGACGGACTACTTCGAGCCTCCCCCATCCTGGAGACTCTGAGCATTGAACGGCCTTCCAGCGGCGCCGAGCTCACGACGCAGCTTCACAATCTTACCTCCGTCAAGCTGACCACTGCCTGGATCAGCGAGCGGGGTCTGATCAAGCTCCTCCGCGCTGCCCGCCATCTCAACCGCTTTGAATACTCCATCAATCCCCACGGCGAAACCCACATCATGCCCGTCTCCCCCAGGGGTATTCTCCGCGCCCTCGCCCCCGCGTCTCAGACCTTGCAGAGGCTATACATAGCCAGCTACATCCAGCCAAACCTGATTCCCGCAAACCATGAGTACCCCCTAATTGAAACCCTCGCCGGCTTCCCAGCCCTCCGCGAAGTGGCCCTCGATTACCGTTGTGTCGACCGAGATTACAACGGCGGTCCGGCAATGGTTCTGCTGTTCGTTGGATGCCCGCTCATTGAGCGGATATATCTCTTTGATATCGAGCACATGCTGCCATGGGAGTTCCAGGGTTTTGTAACCAGGGTCAAGCAGACCCACTGGCTGCATTTGAAGACAGTCAAGTTGATGGGAGACTACGTGAGCGACTTCCAGCTCTACTTCGGCTCGTCACTCGAGTTCATGCAGGCCCATGAGGAGATGGAACGGACGATGTATGTGAAGGTGATTATTCTGCACGAACGGGATGAGCGCTATGTCGGTCCTGGCATTGAGGATTAGGAGGAGTGGTAGGATGATGAAGCTAAGCGGGTTCGAGGGGTTGAGTTCAAGGTCTGGACTTGCTCAAACTTAGGGATTGGGTCCAGTCATGATCAAAACTTGACGGATCGGAGAGTCTGGAGCGGGGAAGGCCAACCTAGTAATATAGAAGACCAAAGATTCCTGAAGCAAGACTGCGGCCACTCGCCCGCCTTTACACAGGTCATGAGGAACCGGTGCAACTGGTTTGTTATGTACATGAACATGTTTAACAGGTAGATATAGGCCTCAAATGCACCCCAAAAAGCATCATATTACCTCGGACTCCGACCAAATATCAGCCAACGCCTACGAGTCGCAACCTTTCCGTTTACCTCTGGTACCTGCGCCGACGGCGGCCTTCCCTGACTTGCTTTGTGCGCCAATTTTCGTCTACGCCACTCGAGTTGACGGTCTAACTCAATCTTCTGCGCCACTTCCCTCTGAGACTTGGATAGCTGGGCGATTCGTTGCTGGATCTTGTTCTGGCGAGCACCCTCCTTTATTATCATCTCTGCGCTAAAGGCATTCGGGAATTCAACTACCAGAAGCATCGTTAGCTCTACATCCCGCGTTCTTGGCCCAGCCTCTTTCGGTCGAAGGAAGTGTAGGTCGCTCTTACGGTCTCTCAAGGCCTCTTCCACCAAATCACTCAGGGGTACGTCCAGCTTTCGGAGAATTGCGACTCCAAAAGCGCTCAGGGTCAGGCTGCGCAGCGGATCACCATCGATGACAAGCATCTCTTGGTGCAGCCGAAAGACATCAAACCTCTCGACAAAGTCGTTGCTGAAGAGTATGTCGACGGGCAGTCCCTCGAGGACGAGAAAGTCGCACCGTACCGAGGTGGTATGAGACGCGAATTCCCACGTCGCTTTTGCTATTCCAGATGTGGTAGCAACTGACCCATCGAGGAACTCGAGCTCATATTGAGAGCCTGGTGATGAATCCACTTTGATCCCGTGCCTCCGCGCATATGCTGCCGACATCAAGCAGCATTCAGAACCAGAATCGGGGATTGCGGTCGCGGCAACACCATTCAGGTAGCCGTGTAGAGAGCAGCTCTCTGTGTTCTCGGAACCAAAGAAGTTGACGGCAAGTCGTCTCGACTGGAAGCGACCGGAAAGGATCCTCTTGATCCGATGTTGGAATCTCGTAAGGGTTCCGGTGAGGCGGAGGAAGGGATCGCCGAGGACTAGTGGGTGAGAACATTTACGTAGAACGGCGGAAGTGATGTTCCGCGATGCGGACTCGCCGTCAAACTTCCAGCTCAGCTCGACCGTGCCCTCCAATGCTGCCTTTCTCCCGCTGGCGAGAGTGAGTGTGCCTCTCTACCTCTGGTTTTGGCGTGAGACCGAGGGATCGAACAGTATCAAACGAGACTATGTTGACCCTGGTTCCCGTGTCCGCGAAGGCCTCAAGATGCTTTCCATTTGCTTCACCACTGATGAAACCGAGTTTGGACGGGCCATTGAAGGAAGGAAAAATCGTGTTGCTCCCTGCGGGGGCCGGCAGCCTCGAGAAGTACTTGGAGCATGCTGAATGCCGGGGCCTCGCCATGTTGCTGTGGGCCTAGGCGGGCCACTGTCGTGGGTTCCACCTTCTGCGTTGACGTCGGCATCTTGTCCACAAATGGCAGAAGGGTGTCCTCTGGCTTCACATCCGCGTGGCGCCCACTACCGCCGCGCTGGAATTGACCGCGAATTTTGATGAAATTCTCTATCAGCGAAGCTCCCAGTGACAGGATATCCACGCCATCGCCGCCCGGGCGAGCCTGGAGGTACCGGATTTGATCGCCAAGCATTCTGAGTTATGTTCAACCCTCTTTAGGCAATCATCTAGTGCACCTCACGGCTAGAAAGATCAGAATAAAATTCAGGGCCGAAGCCACCAAGATGGCTTCGATGTTATCACTTATCAGTATAGAGATAGAATAGAAAATGTGTTTTGAATCGACAAAGACGAGGTGGATGGCAAGGGAGTACCCGGCACCGACATGCTTCGGGTCTGGAGTCTGGACCACAGGTGAAGAAGCAAGGAGGTGAAAGATTCAAATGCGCGACCTGAACATTGAACAACGGGAATCCGTGACTGAAGCACGCTTGGAACACCTGCTTTTAAGTGGCTGAGGTGACCAGCAATGTACAAGTACATGCAGTACTACGGAGTCAGCCGGCAGCGCCTCGGGTGGTGGCTGTGCACTCAGGACACATTATTAGAGGTCGTCCGCCACCCGGGAAGCCTTGGCCGCGGGCTCCCGTCGTCCACTTGTCGGTCGCCCGTCAACTGGATACCACAGATCACTCCGCGGGCGATGAATGGCCCCATTTTCCCTCTAGGTAGCGCCAGGCTGGCCACTGCAGTGGGCCAGATTGACCGTCTTCAATATTGAGCTGCCCTTCGTTCGTTGATCGATTCAACCACTTCTGTTCTGAATACCGCTGCAACTGTGGATACGTGGCTGTTGGACTTCCAACAAGATCAGGCAAATAACTAAATACTTAGCGATCCGACGTCGGCCTGCGTCAAGGTTGCTCGATACTTACTGCTAACTGAAGCAACTATGGGGATCCAGAAGCAGCCACTGCTAGCCATGGATTCGACATGAGCACAGTCGAGGGGTTCTCGTCCATAGCGCAGTGCTTTGCGTCTGATATGGACAACGAAACTCTCATCTTCAGGAAGTTCGACGAGCTTGGCATACACAATCTGCTATACTTACAATGCGAGATGATGGAGCTTGAAGCCCGGCTCAAAGACCTTGATCGAGACGCCGCTAAGGATCCGTCGCTGTCGGGCGTGTTCCGGTGGTGGGAGGCGCTCGTGAAGGAGGTAGCGAGGGGCAAGGATTGTCGTCCGGAAGTAAAGCAGAGAATGGACCTAATTCACGATTTACGGAGAGTGACGAAAAAAGAGTATCGTGAGTTGAGCACGCGCTAGTGAGAATACATGTATGATTAACCAACGATCTAGATGAAGCACTGGTGCTACAGAGTCAGGTAGCGAGCCTTAGACGCCCAGAGAAAAGGGTTCTAGATGTTTGCCGATATATGATGACGCATCACTTCGGCGACGGGAGCGTCTTCAACAAACTTGATGGAAAAGCGGCCGGCTTCCTCGATGACGAAAAGGACTTAGTGACCCTAAAACCTGCGGCGGAGACGGATGCTCTCTCGCAGTTCCTGAGACAGCATTGGGTGCAGAGTGTACCTAAAGCAGCCGAAAGTTTCCCGTGTGAGCACCGCTGAAGTTGACAAACCGTGTCTAGAAGAGGGCATTTCAAAAGAAGCCTGAAGCGGTTGGACGCTTCGAAGAGCGTATTATTGCCAAGGCCGTCAATGCCACCACCATTCTTGTCGCAGCAGTGTTCCTAATCGGCTCCATGATTGGCTTTTATTTCGTAAAGCACGAAGTGACAAAGTTAGTCATGATAGCTGTTTTCACTATCGCCTTCGCAACCAGCATCGGCCTGATCACGACGGCCCGACGGGTTGAGATCTTTGCATCAACAGCAGCGTGAGTGTCCCTGATGGCTACATACTAATACATGCAGCACAGCTGGCATTTGCAAGTCTAACTAGATTCAGGTACGCGGCGGTGCTCGTGGTGTTTGTGAGCAGTGACTTAGCAAGGTCGGCGAGTTCAACGTGTGAGGCGTGCATACGACCTACTGGTCCGGTGGGTTGAAGGTGAATTAGGAACTACTCGCCCCGACAACTCAGCGGCAAATCTACGTCTGGAAGATTAAGAGGAGACGCCGGCTCCAATGTGCCAAGGCCTAAGCGGCTGCATGATAGCTGACGAGGAGCCAAGAGCCATTCCACAGGGGGAAGATTCCAACCCGTACTCCAGTTGTGGGATCTGGTCATCCACTGAGCATCGGGACTCGACCAATGGCAAATTCCTCGCTCAACGACCGCCGCGCCAGCCTTAGTACTTCATGGAGGGAAGGCGATTTGATCGAATGGGCTGGCACGGCGCTCTGAAGTTTGGGGATAAAGGTTCATACCTTCGAGCCTCTGATGGACGGGGACGCCAAGTTGAAAAGCAGGACTGGGACGGCTATTATGCAGCCTTAATGGACGGGTAAACGGTTCCGTGCAAGTCTCGCACAACCGCCTTTAAGATACTTGTTCAGAGCTGTAGCAACACAGTCCAGGAGATCGTGCCAGTGGTCTTACCTATCTCCCATGCAACCATCTTCCCACGGTTTAGGCATATGTAGTCGCCCCAAGTGAGTCTTGCGACATTGTTGTAGATCTCGTGCTTCGGCGTGGCGGCCATGAATTCGAACTGATCGCCCCAGGCTTCGGAGCGCTCGGAGCTGTACAGTACATAGGTACCTTACCTGGTATTTTGTGATACCTCCAGTCGCAGAAGTGGACACCAGTCACTACTTTTTAGGATTCTGGACCACAAGCCTCAGAGCAATCCGTTCATTTCGTGTATGTGTTCTCCACCAGTTCGATGGCTTTCTTGACCATCTCGCGATCCATCCGGAAAGTCATCTTCTCCAAAACAGCATCGTAGCTGTAGAACTCAGCTGCGAATCTCTCACCCTCTAGCGTGTCCTTCTGTGGAACATCCGCGTTCACTGCGGCCACAAACCACCAGATGAGCTTGACTTGGTTTTCACCGAGCCGGCGAATTTGCAGGGTGAAGGGCTCGCAAATGTTTGTGTAGAAGCGAGGCCGGTCGTCTAGCTGCTCCGTTTCCACTGCCGGCGGCGCTCGAGTGTACATATTGACGGGGAGAAGGCGGCAGGTGTGTCCCGTTTCCTCCATGACTTCAAGCACGGCCGTTGCTTGGCGAGTCTCTCCGCAGTTGCGCCGTCCTTTGGCCAGGACATACTCATCGCTCTTGAGGAGGTGGAGGACACAGTCCTCCCGCGACGAGAGACGGAGGAGGACCGCGCCGACGCTCTCGACGAATTCCTCGGACGTGTATTGCTCTGAGCGAAACCGAGATTCGGCCATCATGGGCGCAGTCATGCTTCTCCGTCAACATGATTTCAAGGACAGGGTGCCTACAGCCTACCCAAGTAGGTAGATTTGGGCTGGAGAAGAACATGGGGTGGCTTGCTTACGGTGCTGGTGAGAAAGGATGGGCTCTGGAGGGAGAGCGCGCCCCAAGCGCTGCCCGTATTTATTGAAGTAGAAAGGTTCCAGGTTTTTTCCTGGCGAAGTTGGGCAGGCAGTCAGCGCTTCTCGGCCCGGCACCTTCCAGAGAACCAACACCCCAAGGCATGTACTGTGCCGCATCCCCCGGCCGGATATCGTTGTCTAAGTGGACCCACCTCTTACCCAAAAGGGGATCATCAGGGCAGGACTGTTGTCAAATATCTGTTTCACCAACAGGTTAAAGAACAAGAAATAGTGATGTAGCTCGTTTTATGAGGTAAGGAGCCGTACTATGTCAGATCGATATTGACAGGTTGTACGTTCGTACTTGGGCAACATCTCGTCGCAATCAAGTCGTTTGCAGGTTACCCCAGGGTTAGGGTATGCTACCCCTGGGGCCCGGGGAGACACCCACGGGCTACGGATGCGCATCATGAACATCGACTCCAGCGATTCCGTCGAGGACGTCATGAACGACGACAACGTGGGTGGGGAACTGATCGAGGTGAAGAATCACTCGCTATTCTCACGCGCGCAGGTCTTTGACACGTCGTTCGGGAAGTTTGAGTGGCGCCACGGCGCAAGGGAGGAGCAAGCGGTTTGCAAGACTCTCACCTCGTCATGGAGCGCATCGACCGCGTCTCATTACCCGGCGCTGGCCGCGGGCAGAGCAAGAGCGGCTCGTGCGTCGCGCAGCTCGTTCGCAACAACCAGTTTCGCACCCCCAGGACCAAAAGTACTCGGGCGGCAACAGGGGCCGCTTGCTCATCGATCTGCGCTTGTGGAACGGGGACAAGCACGCCAGGCTCCAGCGGGTCGAGGCGTTCGTTGTGGCGATTTGTCAGATTGGTGATTCTGAAGAAAGAGGCAGATTTTTCGTTGATAAGCATCTCGCCCTGGTGGTCTGAATGTGACAGACGTGGTGAATGGTGCGTGCAATGGCTCATGTTTGGCATGAGACTGACATGTAGAAATTTGGCTGGGGGCCCAGATCCGGTTTTCAGGAAAGAGCAGGCTTGCGGTACCGGGTACAGTCGGTACCAAATGAACGTCCGCGATAGAAGGACCATCAGCCAACAGGACAGGAAACATGGTGTGTTATTGCCGCCTTGCACTAATATCTCAAAAGCTGAGGTGACAACATTGCAATCCGATGCGAATTACAGAGGTGAAGAGCTGCTGCGGTGCTCATTCCTGTTCAACTCTCCTAGGACCTAAAGTTACAACAAGCTTGTCCCTTAAAACCGACGACATGCCCCGCAGCAGGCACTAGGTACCAACTTTATGTAAGACCTAGGTATGTACCCACAGTAAGTTCGGCTGAAGCGTTCCTCCGACTGGCCGACCTAGCACGCTATCTGCATCAGCAGCTTTCGTTAGCTGCAGATACTGTAGAAGTACTGTACTGTACCTCCGTAGATAACGATAAGTTAGTGCCTATAAGCTCAGCTCAAGGTACCTAGGTTTGTGCCCGATCATGGAATGACAGCCTGTGTAGTCAATGCTAACCACAGGATGGCAGTTCTTGAGCGCGATGATTTCATCCTGGCTCTGCAGATTAGGAGTGTTAGTGGATTAACTTGTTGATTGATATGTCTCTTCGACGAGTCTTTCGAACTGTATGTCATACGTGCTTTTATCGTTCGCGGCATGTCTCGGGTATGCCATGTGGTGCGAAGTCCACTAATTGGCCCCTGAAGCTTTTTCCCGATGCCCCTCCTAGCCCTCCACTTGCCCTCGCACTGCCAGGCCAGGCAGGACCACCCTGGTCAATCTGCCAGAAATGGCATCAACCTCGAGACATGAAATCCGGTTCTGTCTGCACAAACAAAAACCAGGAAAGCTGGTCTCTGCAGGGCAGGTTAATCTACGGACTGTAACCCTCTTGCGCAATTGTACCTCGCCTTGCTGGACTCCAATTCTTCCCAGGTGCAATCGAGGCCCAACTCAGTCGATGAACTCTAGCGCTGTTCGAAAGAGTCGATTTTCCCAATCGACCAGCTGAAACTTGGCCTTGCTGTCGATTCCCAGTCCTCTCGACACTTCCAATCCCGGTCCCCTGTCACACCAGACTCCTCGAGCAGAAGACCGGCCTTCCCTCCTCCTCCGTCGCCTCGACCGCCGGGATGCCTACTTGTCGATAACATCTTCTGTATCGTCCAACCTCGGTTGTGTCTGGATCCTTAAAGTCGATTCCCCACTCCAAATCCACCCGTTGTCGATCGCATCGTGGAGTTGTCGGCTTATGATCTCGCGAGCTGGGTCGTTGCGGGGGATTGAGTTCTCGGTTTCCTTTGTCTCGACATAAGTCATTGTTTCTGGATCAAGACGGCATCGGGCGACATGAGTGCAAGGCCGAATCAGAGGAACATCAAGTGGGTGGAGGTACGTTTGTAATGTGGCTTTGTTGATCCTTCTGCGCTCCTTGGGGACCCGCCAGAAGGCGGCGCCACTGCCATCACGGATGCAGGATTCATCGGCTCGGTCCGCGACCTGCCTCTTACCGAAGAAATGCTGACGCGACGTGTTCCTCATTCTTAGGGTCTCCGCGGCATCACGTCGATCCTGGTTATCTGCACCCACGTCACGCGAGCGTTCGATTTCGCCTTGTTCTGGCCTGCCGATGAGATACACAAGCCGCCTAGATTACTACAGCTCCCGTACCTGCGGATACCATATCAGGGCCGCATTGGCGTGCCTATCTTCGCCTTCCTGACCGGCTTTGTGTGCGCCTACAAGCCCCTGAAGCTTGCCTACCAACACGGCAATGCTCCCGCCTCGCTCAAAGCCGTTGCGCGAAGCGCATTTCGTCGGCCGCCACGGCTCATCCTACCCGCCATGATCGCGACCCTAATAAGCTTCGTGCTGTCGTGCTTGGGGGCATACAAGGCGGCGAACCGCTGCGATAGTTTCTGGGTTCGATTCGACGCGCCCGCTCCTCTCCCGTTCCGCGAGAACCTCAAGCGGCTGTTCAGCACGTCCCTGACGACATGGACAAACACCGAGAACATCTACGACAGACATCAGTGGGCTATGCGTCCGCTGCTGATTGGGGCTTTCCAGGTGTACATTGTGCTCGCCGCCACGATTGGGATGCGCTTCAAATACAGGATATTGGTCCATGTCCTGCTGATCCTGTACTGGTTGATCAATGTCAATCCCATGACCGGTACGTCTTTGCCGCCTGCTGCACGTGCTGCAACGCCGCACATGCACGGCATTCGACCGTAGAACTGACGGATATGCATGACAGAAACGTTTGGTGCCATGCTTGCACTCGGTACCCTGCTTGCCGAGCTGGCACAGCACCGGCCGACGCAGAACTTCATCTCATCGCACCAACGCGTGCTCACCTTCATTGTCGCCCCTATTCTTCTCCTAGTCGGCGGCTACATTGGCTCGTATCCGCACGAGCATGAAGACTGGGCCTCCTGGTCCCTCAGCCTCCACCGGTTTCTTGTCAACCCAGACGGGGACGAGATCAGGGGCAGCTTTTTAGTGCCGAAGGGAGCTGATGCTCCCCGTCGGACATCGGCATACTTCATCATGTGTACCGCCGTCTCCATCTTTATCTCGCCGCTTCTCCAGAAACTCCTTTCCCACCGCCTCTTAATCTGGCTAGGACACCACTCCTTTGCCGTCTATCTCGTACATGGCACAATCCTGCGAACTGTGGGCATCTGGATCGTGTATGGCATCACCGGCGAACCCTGGCAAGAGGCTGGCAAGAATGAGGACGGGTCGAAAAAGGAGCAGGAGTGGCTGCATCCAAAGTCGCGATCACACAAGATGGCCGCTATCCTGGTCTTTACGATCCTGACCTATATCGCAGCGTGGGCATGGATGAAATACGTCGATGCGGCTTGCGCCAGGGCCACGCAATGGCTAGAAAGCAGGGTCTTTGATGAGGAGGACGGCGAGAGCAAAGACGACATCGCAGAGAAGGGATACGGACATATTAACGGCAATGGGAGACTGCCGCGGCCTCATGAGGCAGGGAGCTAGCCTCGACTGCGATTCCTGGCACAGGTGATTGGACTATACAGCATTTTAGTACGGGGCTTGGATGGATACTTGGGTCAGAGGGGCATATACAGTATTCGGTTCATCACCAGTCATTACTTGCGAGTTTCTATCTCGGCACACGAATACCCAGGGTCGGAGCATATCTTAGCGGGAGCTATGAGGAACAAGAGGAAGAGGCGTGTAACCGCTCAGTCGAGCAAGTCAGGAGTCAGGCGGAGGGCTCATTTGGTCATCCGGTCAGTTGCCGTACAAACCAAGTTGGTTCTGAGCACGTCTTGAGCACGTCTCCCGGCCGGCAAGGACGGAAGTTGCCGCCACATGGAAACAATTGGGCCTGATGGCCGTCAGAATATGCATACAGGTATGAACTATCTGTCTCGCATCTACCAGAGCTTTTGATTGCTGGCGCAGATTGTTTCTGGTCCTATACTGGGTCGTCCGATTATGGCACCTCATCATAGCTGTGAGAAGCAGGTGGTACGTCTTCCGGTTAATTCGATTTTGAGGGAACAACGGGAATGTTGGTGCTTTCAGGTTCGTGCGGCAACATGAACACTTGCTAGGCTCTTTGTAGGCCCTTGGATTCTGCCCCTACTGTCTACACATGACTGCTCAGCCGATGCCTTCGGCTTATTGGACGCATGAACGACCCTGGCCACATGGAGTACAATCTTGGATGCATTGTCGCCTGCGGACACAGTCAGTCACCTTGGAGTTTCCCACGAGCTCAACACCACCGACATGCAGATACTGCAGAAACAGATAGCCGGTTTACTATCATGGCCATCTGTGCCTGAACTATTCATCCTACATTTGACCTGTTAACAGAATGAGCCCTCTGTGCAACCGGATAGTAAGCAGGAGACAACATGAACTGGACGAATCGTCAGGTACTCGTACAATGCCTTTGATGCCGTCTTCTTGGCCTTCCGCAAGGTCATCACAATCCCTGATTTAAGGACCAACATAGGACCCTTGTGCCCCTTGTGACTTTTTTCTCATTCTCTTCACATTTTGGCTACCAACCGCTCAGCAACTTCTGGCAACAAGCTAACACTTCTTTGACCATTGAGATAACCAACTGGGAGAGACGCAGCGCGAAGCCTGACCCACTCAGCGGTAAGTTAGGACCAAAACCAGCTTCCTCAAAAGGTAGGTTGTGGAGGCACAAGCCCATTGTTAATCTGAGGCTAATGTCTCCTGCTATGGCCGCCCAGTTTTGGCACTCTCTTCCCGGAGGGGAAGCCGACTCGGAAGCGGTGCCACTTCGCTGGGCCTTCTTCCCCAAAGGTCCGAACCCTGATTTCAGCCATCTCCATCATATCAACTTTGTGGCTGAGTACGAGAGCGATGAGGAGGAGCAAGAGGAATCCGATGACGATTCGGTTATAATATTCACAGAAACGCCCCCTGATGCGGACTGCATGGCAGCCTTCCCTACGGAGGAAGTCATCCAGTACACCTCTGACGAGGTAAGCTACGCCTCCTCATACTCTTTCCCCCAGACCCCCTTCCAGTTGGATTACTCATTCTGGCCTAACGTTAGGCACTACCTTAAATCCAGCTTTTCGAAACCGAGAGTCTCTGATCCGATGTGCACGCTGTGCAGGCAGCGCATGCACATCCCACACCTATCCCCCTACCTCAACAAAGGGGGTAGCAATGTTGCCGACCCCAATCTGCAAGCAGTAGTACTGCCCTGCGGGCACATCTACCATTCTGACTGCTTCGACAAGCTGGACCACTCGTACGAGGAGCGCAGCCGATACACAATGTGCCCGACCTGAAACTTGCAGATGAGGTACACCCACCCCAACGTCTGCACGCATCGGCTGCAAGCACTCAATCTCGGCGACGACTCCAACCCAGCGCCAGTGCCGCTTACCATCCCTGAGGGCGGCGCCATGCCATTTGGCTGCCCGACCTGCCGGGTTGGGCTGGCTAACCATTATCTGCAGCAAATTCAATGCGTCCTTGTCGAACCGACCTCGGTGATGATGAACGATCCCTGGGCTGGGCCGGAGCCGGAGTTTGTGCACTGCTGGAACAACAGGGCTGCCTTTGCCGGGTCGCTCGTGAATAGCTTCCGGGCGATGCTCTGGGCTGAAGGGGAGGTGGAGCAGAGCAGGCCGACCTGGGCAGGGCCGTGGAGGGTTCCGGATTACCCTGGGCAGGATGAAGACCTCGGTCGGGCTTATACCGCCGGACTGCCATATGCCCTGGCGCGCTGGCTGTGCCTATGCCGCAGCCACGGCAGCATGATGATGTGCTGAGGGAAGGGGAAGAGGGAGTGGGAGGGGAGGGGGAGGTGAGGTGGTATAACTACGTGACCTAGGGGTAAGAGAAGGGAGTCGACCTGAGATCAGAAGGACGCTCACAATGCCTTTACGGCTGACTCATCTGGAGTCTTGATTCTGAGCGCGTTCTATAGCGGAATCTCGTAATGTTAAGGTAGGAAAGGTAATGTTAGCTTTTGAGAGTTGGAGTAGTAAGTGATCTTGCCCAATGTAGATTACATGTAAGGGGCGGCGCACCTCAGCTTGCCTGATAAAATAGTGGAAACCTACGAATGGTTTTGCAGATATCAAAGTCCTATTGTGATTCTTGTGCCCAGTGACTCCATGCTTCCTCGCAGCCATGGAAGCGACCTGTGATGAAGTTGAGGGAAACTTGAAGCCTCGGCAACTGATGGAAGCCGTGTCAATGGACTACAGTGTGATCAGGTAGATGACAGTAGTGGGGGTACCTGTAGGATTGATGAAGCCCACCATGATAGCCGAGAGTCTAGGACGAGCCCCATTCGGCCATGATTCCCAAAGCGTTCTTTCTCCGATGTAGAATTAGCGTACGCGTGTATGTTGGCCCACCAGGGAGCCGATTATGGATCCCCATGCTGGACCGGGTGATGCCGTGAAACACATGGATGCTCGCTTGCAATTGTCGCACGAATGAGAGATCTGCATCGCTCCCGATGGGGTGGACAACATAGCGGGACGACCGGAGATTCGGGGTCCATTTCTCCCAAGATGAGATGCCCACGAGGTGCGGTTAGGGGTGCCGACGCGGAAGATGCCACGGCCCACAGCAGAGCAGAAGGCGAGAAACGGGGCCGATTTCGATGAAAGGGGCGTGGAATGGAGACAGCAGGGCTGAAGAAATGATGCTGCAAGGCGCTCTCATTGCCGTATAAAGGGTGGGTGGCCTGCTTCGACTCCTGACTTGTTATGTTCGCCCAGGGCAAGGCATCTCTCCCACTTCCGTTCTTCGATTCGTCATTCGTTTTGCGTCTGGAGTCTTACGCTCTTTTCACCAATGCGTCATTCGTTCCTCGTTGCTTCGGCCCTTGCGGCCCTGGCACATACCGTTTCGGCAGTCACCGGTGCCGCCGAGGGCTTTGCCAAGGGAGTGACGGGCGGTGGCAGCGCCACGCCTGTGTACCCCAAGACCAACGCTGAGCTTGTCTCGTACCTGGGTGACTCTCAAGCGCGCGTCATCTATCTTGACCGGACCTTCGACTTCACTGGAACCGAGGGCACCGCCAAGGAGACGGGCTGCGCTCCGTGGGGCACAGCTTCCAATTGCCAGACGGCCATCAATAAGAACAGCTGGTGCGACAACTACCAGCCGAACGCGCCCAAGGTGACCGTCAACTACGACAAGGCCGGCATCCTGGGCATCACCGTCAAGTCCAACAAGTCGATCATTGGTGTCGGCTCCAAGGGTATCATCAAGGGCAAGGGTCTACGGATGGTCAGCGGTGTCAAAAACATCATCATCCAGAACATCCACATCACCAACCTCAACCCCCAGTATGTGTGGGGCGGTGATGCTATCACGATCGACAATGCCGACCTGATCTGGATTGACCATGTTACCACCTCGCTCATCGGCCGCCAACACGTTGTGCTCGGAAACAACGCGAGCAACAGGGTCACCATCTCCAACTGCAAGTTTGACGGCAACACCTCGTGGTCAGCCACCTGCGACGGCTATCATTACTGGGGTTTGTACTTTACCGGTTCCAACGATGTAAGTGCACCCCCCCCCCCCCCCCCCCCCCCCCCCCCCCCCCCCCCCCCCCCCCTTATCATCCATCTTTCTTTCCTTGTATTTGCCCCAATCCTAACACAAACTCCCTCACCCAGATGATCACCTTCAAGAACAACTACATCACCAAGATGTCAGGCCGCTCGCCCAAGGTGGCCGGCAACACGCTGCTGCACGCCGTCAACAACTACTGGTACGACAGCGGGTCGGGTCATGCCTTTGAGGTGGACTCGGGCGCGCAGATCCTGGTCGAGGGCAACGTGTTCCAGAACATCAAGACGCCCGCCGAGGCCGACGGCGGCAAGATGTTCAGCTCGCCCAGCACGAGCGCCAACGCCGTCTGCTCGAGCTCCTTGGGACGCGTATGCCAGATCAACGGTTTCGGCAGCTCCGGCAGCCTGTCCGGTACTGACTCCAGCTTCCTGGCCAACTTTAAGGGCAAGAACATTGCCTCGGCCGCTGCGTATTCGAGTACCACCGTTAAGAATGTGCCTAGCACGGCCGGGTTCGGGAAGATCTAATGTAATGTAGGGAACAGTTGAAGGTGGAGAAGAGGGTGTCCATTCGGGTTCTGTGTATATAATTCTATCATTCTTTGCCGCCAGTTGAGCTGCCTCGATGCCTGGTTCGCGTCGGTGTGCGGTTGTTTCTGTGGCGAATGTAAATAAGGTACAGCTTGCAAGTACAATACTTATTATTCTTCACCAGTCTGCCATTGGTAATCATAATATGTGTGCAAGTTCGTATATGGTGAAGCAAGAGGTAAGGAAAATGGCCTTCTGCCCAAACCTTCTGCCGTTGTGAAGTCGAGATTCCGAATGTGGAGGGGGAGCGAACCGTCCCGTCGTTCAATTCCGCGTTCTTAATCTTGTGGGCAAACCACTATCGTCTGCTGTGTCACCGTGCCTCTGAGCATTAACGACGACGATAAACCGATTGGGACCCGCGGCCCTGTCTACTTGATGACTCTTGACCTGCTTTATCATGAATGCCAAATTGGTGTATAGTTGTTAAAAAGTGTGCACTCAAAATTTAGATGAGATGGCACAAGCATTCACGTGAGTTTTTCCTTGATGCAAGGGTTCAAATGTTCTTTGAGTTAGGTCGTGGTTTGAGTGGAATCAGTGGATGGTACCACAGTAGTGCGCACACAACATTTGCAACTTTGCTACATACAATACACAGGTGGCAGTATGGCCACGCCTCCGATAACCTTATAAGTCTGCTTTGAAATAACAAATCCAGCTCAAGAGAATTAATGTTCGGTATGATACTTTTACAACTCGACGTTTTGCATCTTAGTAACTCTGTTTTAGGATCCATTCAACGCTAGTGCCTTGAGGCGATGTTGCGCTGAAGCTGAACGCTGAACAGTGGCGACTTCCCCGCACCCACAGCTCTGGGAAAAGTGGATGCTCAGACCAGCTGACGAGCGATAACGCCATTTCTCGCGAAAAGCAACAAAGCCGTCCTGCCATTCCGATTTCGCCCTCTGCCCCGTAGTGGTCTTGCCGTCGTCGATTGAATGTCGCCATCCCAAGCTATCCCGCCGAGCCCACGACCGCTAGCTAATAAAATCGTTATCAATCTGCTCTGCGATACACTGGTTACACAGGAAATCAAATTCGAAGCCGCTGGAAACTCGGTTGCCGTCTGATCTTGAATCACTACGGTACTTATCAGGAGCTCCAGTTAGCGACGTCCTCTCGTCGACCCTTCTTCTCGACAGCATATCAGATTGCGAACTGTCAGCCGTGTATTGCGTGCCGCTGTGCCGTCCGGGTCCTGCCCAGCTCCTGGCGCAGGCCGCTGTTCAATCGCATTACCCTTCCAGCACGCAATCCACCCGGCCTGACACCTTGTTGGACAGTCGAGCCCAATGCTTGCACGGGCCATTTACCCTGCAACCAACACCTAAGACCGCCGTGTTCTTGTGTTCCCGCCCCTTTTCCCTATGGAACACTTCCATCCACCTTCGACCGTGAACGGCCACTCGCCGCTACCGACGCAAAATGGCATCAGTCTGTCGCCGCACGACGCCCTTACCCCGGGTCTCCTTATAGACCGGCCCACGCGATCACATAGGAGTGTCAACATACCCCTCAGAGAGGACGGGAACGAGGCGGGGCGATCTGTTGATACGGCCAAGAGCTGTAACCGACTACGACCGGAGGAAGAGGAGCGGCTGCGGTCGCGGGATAGCATGACCAAGATGACTTCGTCACAGATAGGGAAGACATCTACCCCCTTCTTGAAGGCACACATCCCAAGCTCTTATGCGCCGATTGGGAAGACGCAAAACGAGGAGACGGCACGGGAGAAAGAACCAAATACGAAATACTGTTACCGACACCGACCTGATTCGAAATGTCGAAGAGCTGCCGATGAGGCCAAGATGATTTCAATCCAAAGGGATCTCGACAAGCTCCCCCCTGCAGTGAGTTTGCTTCCCGCCCCGTCACAGTCTGTTGTCAGGCTAACACGACCCTTAGGATCAGCAGGCCATCACCCACGTCTGGTCGTTGTTTTCCGCCGCTCCAGCCCGTCATCGCAAGTTGATGTTGCAGGGCGTCCTGTCTCAGCTCTGCTTTCCCCAGCTTTCGCTCGTCTCCCGGGAGGTTTCTGAGGCGCTCAAGATCGATTTTATTACAGCACTTCCTGTCGAGCTTTCGCAAAAGATCCTTTGCTATCTCGACACGGTTAGCTTGACCAAGGCCGCTCAGGTGAGCCAGCGGTGGCGGGAGTTGGCCGATGACGATGCAGTTTGGGTCCGGATGTGCGAGCAGCACGTGAACAGGAAATGCACAAAGTGTGGATGGGGGTTGCCACTCCTGGAGAGAAAACGGTTGCGGAACTATACCAGACAGCGCCAATTGGCAAAGGACAACTCGAACGGGAGGATACAGGAGCTGCCTGAGTCGTCGGCTACCGGCTCGCAGGAGTCACCAGCCGTTGGCAAGAGGCAATCAGACTCGACAGATGATGTACCGGAAGGTAAACGGCGGTGTGTTGACATGCCGCGGGAGCCGGAGCCGGAGCCGAAGATTCGAAGTTGGAAAGATGTGTACAGGGACCGGTGGCAGGTGAGCATATCACTTCCTAATCTTCTCGGATAACGCTAACCACTCCTCAAGGTCGGGTACAATTGGAAGTACGGGCGATGCTCCGTCAAAACGCTTAAAGGCCACACCAACGGCGTCACATGCCTTCAGCTTGACGATAACATCCTGGCTACAGGATCCTACGACGCCACCATCAAGATCTGTATGCCTGCCCGGAGCTTCAACCGTGCCCCCACCTTCGAAGAGAAGACTAACCATGACCGGTAACAGGGAATATCGAGACGGGCGAGGAGATTCGGACTCTTCGGGGCCACACACGAGGGATACGCTCGCTTCAGTTCGATGATTCCAAACTGATCAGCGGTAGCCTAGACAGTACGTGGCATACGCTGCCTTACAATGGATGGCTTGGTTGCTGACCTTGACGCAGGCACGATCAAGATCTGGAACTGGCACACGGGCGAGTGCATATCGACATTGCAGGGCCACACGGATGGGGTTATCAGCGTGCACTTTGATGCTCAGCTACTCGCAAGCGGCTCGATCGACCGGAGCGTCAAGATCTTTGACTTCAACTCCAGGGAAACGTTCTGCCTTAAGGGTCACACAGATTGGGTCAACTGCACCCGGCTCGACATTCACAGCCGGACTGTGATGTCCTCTTCGGACGACACCACCATTAAGCTCTGGGATCTCGACTCCAAACAGGTGATCCGAACCTATGAAGGTCACGTTGGCCATGTCCAACAAGTCCTGCTCCTGCCGCCGGAGTATGAACCCGACGACGAACTGACGACGGGCATCAATGGATTGGGCGATAATACGGACACGCTCTCGGTGGCTAGCGGCGGCGACGGGACCCCGGCAGTATCGTTCATGCATCCTGACCGCCGCAGCAGTCCCGAGGCTCGCGACGAGGATATCCGTGGGCTGTACGGCTCATCTTTTGCATCCGACCCCTCCCGTCCGCTGCCTCCTCGGTATTTCCTGTCGGGTGGGCTTGACAACACCATCCGACTCTGGGACAGCGCGACTGGCAAGTGCCTAAAGACCATGTTCGGGCACCTCGAGGGCGTGTGGGCGCTCGCCGGCGACACAATTCGGGTGATCAGCGGAGCGAACGATGGCATGGTCAAATGCTGGGAACCACGCAGCGGCAAATGCGACGCGACATTTGTGGGGCATCGTGGTCCGGTGACATGCGTGGGCTTGAGCGACAGCCGCATGGCGAGCGGCAGCGAGGACGGCGAGATTAGGGTCTATTCTTTCAAGGACATTGGAAACGGCTTGGATTCGGGCACGCCATGTTCAACCGGCGTGTAGACGACCCGGTGCCGGGGCCGCAGCGGAGTTTTGTAGGCTTGTTTTCTTCCTTTTCGGTCTTCCAGCGCCGTCTCATCTGGTAATACTCCCAAAAGTCGGGTAATTTTTTCTGGGCTCTCACTTTGGCGTTGTCGGGTATCGGATGGATCGGGCGAGGGTTGGGTTGGTCAAGGAAAACACCTAGAGTGTGCGACAGGCGGCGCGATAGGTGCTCGAAGCCTCGAAGTGCGTTTTTTTTGCCTTTTGACGCCGGATACCCTTCATGTACAGATTATATAGGTTTTGACAGGTTTTACTTATTAATCAGCCTGTCTTCTTTCCATGGATGAGCGTCTGCCCCTGATGGTAAGCACCGACCTCAAGGTGACACTGCCGCTCCAGATGGGATTCTTGTTCTTGTGGGGATTCAGAAATCGGGACCCTGACTTTTGTGCCGGAGAGACATCTCGGCATACGCAAAATTGACCTCGGCATTGGCTGGTTGCGGCATGGGTGGGTGATCCCGAAAGCGTCCGAGCTTGTGGTTGGCAGGTGGGGCAAGCCTTCCCCAGAATCACAAGCCGAAGCTCGGCTTTGGATCGGCTATCCAAGCCTAGGCCGCCCCATACGTCATGGCAGATCACAAGCAAAGTTGCGCATCAGTCTTTTGCTCAATGCGAAAGGCACAAAGGGCGGTTATTTGGTATCGGTAGTATGACTGTTGACAGCGCATGCGTGCGGCCAATGCCAATCGCAATACCGTTAACAATTGCTTCCTTGACCTAACATCAAATGTTAGTTGAGTTGTGGGATCCAATTCTCCGAGGTCACGGCAGAGTGGATTCCACGGCAGCTGCCAGGGGCATCGGAATCTCAAAAGATACTTTATTGCTTGTACATACATCCGCTGCCCCGATGGACGGACCAGACCGTTGCACACAGCCCCAGCGTCATACACACACCAACACTCACGGGGTCGCCATGTGTCCGGCGTCATTGCCCTTGCAGATCTGCCATTGTTCGGTATATTCCATTGCAGTGCCCTCTTTTACCTTGATGCCATTGATCCTCTCGGGTCAATCGTGATTCTTTTCTTGCAAAGCTACCGGTAAAAGGGTCGGTTGGACGCTCTTGGCTGGCCAACTCTGACCGTGACTCAACCAACAATGTGGACCTACTAATACCTAGCTTTAACTTCCCCGTGTCCCGGGGCCTAGGGTCGGCTGAACGAGGGAGATCTAGGTCGGTCGGTCCCCTTTCTATATCTACCTAGGTAGTACCTTATCTCCACCTCGTTTCCGGCCGCCCTCCTGGCTCTTAGTCTTCGGCTCGGCTATCGTTTTGTGAGATCCGATACTGTGCCGGAGTCAGTTCGTCAGTCAGTCAGTCACCTGTTGTTCGTAGAGTCATATTTGGGGTTCAGACCCTCGACGCCGAGACACACTCTTCCCTTTTTCTTTGTTCCGTCCCCTTCTGGTGATACCCCTCCGGTACCTTAACTCTTTTTCTCTCCGCCGTGACCATTGGACTCTTGATTCCATTCCAAAAGCAGTTGTGGGGGCGCCGCTCTTTTCCCTGACTCGCGACCTGCTGCCTTACCTTACTTGTCCCATATCATCTCGAGTCCCTGAGCTACTGACTTGCATTTGATCCGTGCCTCCCACTTGTCATCTTTCGTCCACTCGACTTTAGGTTGAAGCTAGTGTGTCATAGCTCATAACCGGGCAACGGACAAACCACCTGTCACCTGGTTATTTGCGCCCTGCGCAGCTTGCGCGTCGGCTAGGACCGTGGTGGTGCTGAATTTGCGGCGACTTGACCTAGCACGCGCCAGAAACGAAGACCTTGCCGGCAGTCGGAACGTTTCGGATATCCATCGCGCTCTGAAGCCGCAAGCCACTTGAGGCGGGCTTGTGTGGGGGGACACAGACTCGGCAGCGACCCAAGTTCAGGAGAAAAGGACGCGGAGTAGCCATGGCAACAAAAGTCAACAAGGACGGCAAGAAGCCGCCTACTGCCGCGACGAACCTGATCGGTGAGCTTCCATCTACCTGCGTGGTCCCCAGTCAAGACGGCAGAGATAATGCTGACATGCTGGCTCGCATTGCAGCTGGTGGTGGTGCTGGCATGATGGAGGCGTTGGTGTGCCATCCTCTTGGTGCGTCCCCTTGCGCTTCGACTCTCAATCCCTTCTAAACCTCATTCGATCAAGATTTCGCATGTAGCAGGTGGCTAACGGGTCTTGGTAGACACCATCAAGGTGCGGATGCAGCTCTCTAGGCGAGGCAGGCAACCGGGCATGCCCAAACGCGGCTTCCTGCGCACCGGCGTTGAGATCGTCAAGAAGGAGACGCCGCTCGGGCTTTACAAGGGCCTCGGCGCTGTTCTCACAGGCATTATCCCCAAGATGGCCATCCGCTTCACCTCGTTCGAGTGGTATAAACAACTCCTGGCCAGCCGGGAAACGGGCGTCATCTCCGGGCAGGCGCTGTTCCTGGCCGGGCTGGCGGCGGGCGTCACCGAGGCCGTTGCCGTCGTCACGCCCATGGAAGTCATCAAAATCCGGCTGCAGGCGCAGTACCACAGCATGGCGGACCCGCTCGATGTGCCTAAGTATCGCAACGCGGCCCACGCCCTGTACACGGTGGTCAAGGAGGAGGGGGTCGGCGCCCTGTACCGCGGCGTCTCGCTCACCGCGCTCCGCCAGGGCAGCAACCAGGCCGTCAACTTCACGGCGTATACCTACTTCAAGGAGTGGCTGTTTAAGTGGCAGCCCGAGTACGCCGGCGGCAACTTGCCCAGTTACCAGACGACCTTGATTGGGTTGGTCAGCGGTGCCATGGGCCCGCTCAGCAACGCCCCGATCGACACCATCAAAACCCGCCTGCAAAAGATGAAGGCTGAGGAGGGCACCACGGCGCTGCAGCGTATCAGCAGGATTGCTGGTGATATGTTTAGGTGCGTTCCCACTTCCGCTTTCCCTTTTACTTAGAGTCCGAGTCTGGTCCCGCGGGAGTGCAGTGAGTGAGTGAGTGCAAATGCTGACGAGACGCAACCCCCTGAACAGGCAAGAGGGTTTCCACGCCTTTTACAAGGGCATCACGCCCAGAATTATGCGCGTCGCTCCGGGCCAGGCCGTCACATTCACCGTCTATGAATACCTGCGAGAGAAGCTCGAGAAGAGCGGGCCGACTATCTTGACGGGGGGAAGGTACGAGGAATAAAGAAAAACAAGAATACACCCGCCATACGATCATGCACCCGACTTTCATCGCAACACCCTGATCCTGAAGCCTGAGCACCCCCCTTCACCCCGTTCTTGTGAATACAACCAACCCATTCACCCGTTGGGCTTGTGTTGAAGGCGATCCGTGTATTCCTTGTTTGACCTTGGCTGTTTTTCCCGTTCTCCTTCGCGTGGGGGTTTATACTGATTGGGAGCACCATTCTCATGTGTTTGGTCTGCAGCAGCCACGATCGAGAGTTTCACAGCATGAAAGCGGTTAAGGCATGATTGGGGGACTTAGCTCGATTCGGGGTTCCCTTTGGCTTTTGCTTGGGAGTCTGGGATTGGAGGCAAGGTGCTCGATGGTAGTCAGGGTTCGTTCGTCGCCTTAGATGTCAGAAAGACAGAAGGATTCAGATTCAGATGAGAATACTAAGCTAGAGCTACTAGTACTAGTACCATGATGTGGAAGGCCGGTACTGTAGCAGGACAGCTGACTATTACAAGGAGCTCGGGAAAAAAACTACCCAGAACGAGAACAAAACATGAGATGCTCGTGAAACAATGGTATATATCTCATGAGACCAGAACTTGCAAGTAAACCATCTACCTCTCGTCTCTGAACATGACATGCATCAAAATATCCCTAACAACACCATGTTTCTCCACCGCCTTCCTCTGCCGGCCCTCCCGCTTAAAGCCAGCCTTGTCCAAGACCCGGCCACTCGCAATATTCCCAGCAATCACACCAGCCTCAAGCCTCAGCAGATGCGGAAAGGTGCGAAACGCCCAGTCAGAGAAGGCCGTGACGGCCTCGGTGGCAATGCCCTGGTTCCAATGCTCCTCGCCCAGCCAGTAGCCAATCTCCATGGTCCGGTACTGGATGTCGTCGCGCATCTTGAGGCCGATGCCGCCAATGACTACGCCCGGGCCGCCGCCCGAGTCGGGCAGGCAGATGGCAAAGTCGCGCATCGGAGACACCGAGGTCGCCTGCGCGATCCACGACCGGGCGTCGTCCAACGTGTAGGGATGCACAAACCGGTTGGTCATGAACTGGGCTACTTTGGGACTGTTGGCGGCCTTTGCAAGGGGCTCGACGTCCCGGTCCCCGTTGGGGTCGTACGGGCGGATGATGCAGTTGCAGCGGGGGAGCTGGAGGATGGGTTCGGGTGCAGGCATTTCTGTACAGAGTGAATTGGAGGTTGTATGGAGAGGTAACTGGAAAAAGTAGGACCGGGGTCTGGATGACTTGAACGTGGGTATTGGGAAAGAGCAACGTCTGGCTTGACACTGGAAGGCAGTTGCTGCCTAACTTGCTGGCTGATGCCCAAGATGGAGGCTTCAGTTGTCTTCCGGATCACGAAGGTGTGAAACTGTGTGGAATATGTGGTAAATAGGTAACATTGCGCATTAGCGCTCTAGTCCTTTCTTATGAACTTTTGGCCCTTACAACTTTTCTGACTCATTCAGGCGAGGCTGTGTATGCGGTGGCCGCGGTGCTGTTGATGTACCTACCTCCTGCGGCCATGACACGGAAATGCACATGCAACCTCGCATCTGTCTCTTTACCTTCCAGAAGCAGTTAAGGCACGGGGTATAGAGAGCCCGGCTGAGAATAAGCTAGGAAACCTCCTCACATAGACAGGAAGCCCTCCCTGAGTCAACGGTTACTCGGATGATAAGCCGCTTATCAAACTTAAGGTAAGATGAACACCTGCCATGTAAGGTAAATAAAGGATTTATACTACAGTCATTTATCAACTGGAAGCAGATCAGTTTTGAGGATGACAATCAGCAGTTACTAGCCTCAAGGAAGTTGAAGGGGACAAGCCACGAAGGCAGTGCTGAAGGGAAAAGTGTCTCAAATTAGATGAACAATGGAAGTTCTCGTGTCTCTTGAAAGCTCCCCCTCTACACAGAAGGTCGCTGAGCCTTGTATGCTCTCAAGCTGGGACGTTTCTCAGCGCGATCCTGACCAAGTGCAACTGAGGTCTATCATGACCGAACGCACCGTACCAGCCTGACGGAGTTAATGAGACATGGAATCCTCGACCACAGCTTAGCTCAGCTGCGTAGCCAACCGCCGAACCTGCTCCAACAGCGCCGGGTTCTCCCGCGGCGCATTCTTCAGCACCTTGTCCCTAAGATGATTGACCTGTAGCCCCGGTGCGGTGGGCGGGTTGCCCTGTGCGGTCTGGATGCGCGACACCTGGAATTGGAGGAAGAACTTGGGCACCTTGATGGTAAGCGGTCCGCCCACAGAGCGGATCCCGGCCTCGGTGGCCAGGTACACGTTGAGCGTGTCCTGGAAGCGTTGCAAATCGGTGGCTGAGAGGGGGTTGGAGGCGGCAAACTCGGTCAGAGCGAACTCAAGCGGGGAGAGGTTTGACGAGGCAAAGTTGACGTCGGAAAATGTGACGCCTCCTGAAGTGACGTCGGGGACGCCAGACAGTGTCTGGGTGTTGGGGTTGCAAGTGACGGCGCTCTGGATGGCCCGGACTGTGTTCACGACTTCGGCGGGGAGGGCTGTGTTGCCGATGATGAAGCAGGCGTTGGCTTGACGGGGAGCAGAAAGGGGTGCTGCACTTGGGTATTAGCACTTGTCATTTGGTGGACTGGTGTTGCAACATATGGGAGCGTGAAAGACTCCCGAGGTCGCACCGACGCACCTGCGAGGGCAACTCCAGCGGCCGCCAAGAGAAGTGTTGACGGGTGCATTTTCGTTGACTCTTGTCGATGACTCGTTTCGATGACTCCTCGGTATATGCCAAGTATGTTCCAACTGCTGTGTCTATACGTGAAGAACGTGGGTTGTAGCCCGCCGGTAAAGGGAGATGGTCGTGAACGAGTGACGTCGAAGCAAAGAACCCTTCACTGAAGGACGAAAACGGGCCAGCCCAAATAGGTATGAACTATTAATGATGATGATTGAAAGCTGAGAAGATGTGAAGAGAACACTTGATCGGCAGTGAGGAATTGGGGGTATCGCCAACTAAGTATTCGGGGACTTGACGATGTCCCCTGATATGGCGGCTCGATGAGACGCGCGAAGCGACTGTATGCGACACGAGCTTGCCTTGCCAGGCACACGAGGCTCTTCGGTTGACAGACTAGGTGCATTGTACCCTAGTTCAGAATGAAGCGATGCGACACATTCGTGGAGTATGCCCCTGAGCTTGGTGAAACTCTAAGACCCCTGGCAGCTCCCGAATTTATAGCACAACGAAAGACCCCGAGGTATCCGTATTGCAGATAAATGACATAAATACCTTAAAGTAAGATTGCTCGAGGTATCAGATGGTGCATTCGCATAGTCGGCGATTGCAATATATTCAGAATATCTACTGCAGCGATTGCGGTAATAACAGCAGACAGGTGACTTATAAAGGTCGGGATGTTGGGCATGAACTTACCCTACACCTTCCCAGTCTTGTCTCTCTTTACAAAACCACCACCACCAGCCGCCCGTCTCTCTTCCAACTCGCTCAACATGTCCAAGAACGGCCCGAGAAAGGCCTCCGTCTCGACTTCAAAACCTCCATGATGACCCGGCATCAAGTACACCGGGCACTCAAGGATCCTCGCCTGCTCCTCGGCGGCACGGGCAAAGAAGGCATCTTTGCACCGCACTCCCCTCATCGTCCCGACGCTCACCCTATTCTCCTTCAGCCTCCACAGATTCGGACAAAAACCCATCAGCACAGGAAACTCATTGTCCCAAAAGTTCCTTGGATTCTCCGGCTCGGGAGGAACAGTCTTGGGAATACCCTCATCCCCATAGCCAATCAACTTCTCTCCAAACTCGGCCGCCGCCGCCTCCAGCCCTTGCGTCTGGTAGACCTCCACAAGGTGGACACACCAGTCGAACACCTCGGCAGAGTCCGGAAGGAGGCTCATCGTGCCCGCCTCGTGCGAAACGAGATGGTCAACCATCTCCGGAAAGTCATGGGCAAACTGGAAGGCTATGATCCCGCCTAAACTGCTGCCAAAGAGGATTGCCTTGTCAAAGCCGCCCACGGCGCGCATGACGGCGCGGACGTCGCGCGCTTGTTGGCCAGGGCTGAACTTTTTGTTCTTGTTGGGAGGGGTCACCTGGCTAGCAGACATCTGCCGGCGGTCAAACGTCACGCAGGTGAATCGACCACTGTTGCTGTTGCAGAGAGCGGCCATCATGGCGAAGAACTGCCGGGCGTGGCCGTTGCCGCCGGGGATGAAGATGATCAGCTCGCGGCCATGGCCTTGGCGCCAGTAGTGCAGGTCGCAGCCTTCGTTGTGGACGATTGCGTGGGTAAGGGGCTGGGTTGGTTCTTGCATGATGGGTGGGTGGATGTTGGATCTCTGTTCGTGCTCAAGAAGACACTTTGGAGGATTGGATACGAGCACCGGAATGGTCCATTGGAGTTGAGCCCTTCGGCCATCTGCAGACTGCACTGCGGAGGTTGTAGGTATATACGTGGTTAACCATTCCTCTAGTGGGACTTGGCGCGGAGACGGGGCAGTGCACCTGGTTGCAAGTGCTGACTCCTGTGATCTCAACAGTCCTGCACAGCCCACCAATGCGGAGTCCTTACCTGGGACGAGGTGTCAGCGACTGTCACCGTTCTTTCGCGTCGGGTGTAAGGCCCGCCAGGCCAACTGAACATCTTCGTGCTGTATCGGAAGGAAAGTTACCTAAGTGATTGAGGTTAGGGACGCGTATTGTGGAAATCCAAAAGTAGGTTTTCCAGGCTTCCATTCCAGCTCGAGGATTCCTTTGGCAAGATGGAAGCCCCAACCGACTGAACCGAAGGCCCCTTGTTCGGCAGAATTGCTACCGACACCGAGGCTATTTCCGCCCAGGGTGGGGTTTCCGCTCATACAGCCATAACCCTGTGGCTGACCAGGGTCAAGTGGCTGGTGGGCGGAAACCCCACCCTGGGCGGAAACCCTACTTAAAATGGTACCCGATTAGGTAGGCGATCGCGCCTTCCAGGTTTACCGCCCTGCGATGGGATGACACCTCTGTACCCCGCAAAGTAATGTAAGCTTGTGTCCGTCCAAGCAAAATCTCAAAATATCACAGGAAGGCCAGAACTACCGCCATCGAGATTCGGGCTTGCAAAATGTCCTGCAGCCTTCCTGTTCCCGCGCCTTCCTTAACAAAAGTCTTCTGACTCGATAGACAGGGCCTATCGGAGGCCGTGGGACATGGCCCTCAAAGGCTCAAACCCGGGAAACGACTCAAACGAGATGCGCGCAGTGGGTGGGAGACGGGACCTACAACACAGATACCCTAACTAACTGCTCTCGAGAGCTTGAAGATTCTCCCGACTTTGCTCAAAACAGCTTACATGTTTGGCTTGGTGACTTGCACACACACCTAGCTATGCGGTTCACTGACTTGATCCGCTTGGGTAAGCAGCCTTTGCCGGCTGACCCGCGGAACCCCGGATCAGTGGTGAGTTCAAAGTCCGCAATGAGACAGCCTGCTACATACCCAGCTAACTTTCTTTGGCTTCTCCGCTAGCCCGAAGGCTACGGGCAGGAAAGCGGCCAACAGACAGAATCAGACGGCGGTCCGAGTCCCGTCGACCTCGCTGCACTGACGCTTGGAGACGGTGAGACCGCCTGGGAGACACACACATACTACAACCTCTGGGCTAAAGCATACGAGACCGTAAGAGAAGATCCGGGTCATCAGGGGCTCCTTGATGATTTCGAGAAGTACATCAGGGACGGCAAAGATGCGTCATTGGGTGGCGCAGGAGAAGGTGAAGCCCAAAACTTTTCGGATGCCAAACGCCTCGAAGCTATCCAAAAAGCTGCTAAAGAGAAGCTCGATGAGCTCCCTAGGACCCGTTTGTCACTCTCCATTGCCGGAAAGTCCATTGCCGTTCGGACGGCCGTCCAAAAGACCATCAGAGCCGTGGCCGCTTTCAAGGATGTTATCAGCTCTGCCATCTCCGCCCAACCCTTTGCTGCCCTTGCTTGGGCCGGGGTTATGGCCATTCTTCCCGTAAGTTTGTAGCTTTCTTGCATACTGTTACTCCCACTCTTGTGCTGATAGATGTGTCACAGTTTCTTGAGAATGGGTTGCAGCAGGACGACGATGCCGCAGACGGTTTGAACAACATTATCTTTCTCCTTGTTCGGTACCAGGTACTAGAAGATGAATTTTGATACCTGAATTCCGAGACGCAAGGTGCGTACCTATCTAATGAGCATTCGGGACGGAGAGCCATAGTCAACCTAGTAACTAAGGCTGTCCACATGCAGTCAATCTAAAAGTGCCCGCCAGCTCCTGCTAAGTATCAGAACTAAACTAGTCAGCATTTATGCGCAGATATACGTTTACGAAATTTGAGTTGTCCTGCAGTACGCAAGAAGCAGGGCGCATCGCTTCCTGAGAAACTCTTTGACCAGAGACGGCTGGAAGGACATGTGGGCAGATATAGAGTCAACGAGCCGACTGGTAGATCAAGGAGTAGAAATCCGTACCGTTGGAAGAACGCTGCAAATCTCGAGGACCGTCAATGACATGATGAAGAAGGCTGAATCCTTGTAGCAGGCAACTCTCGCTTCCGTAGAGGCATGTCGGACTTCTCCCAAACCCTCCCACGGAGCTACGATGCTGACATGACTCCCTGGTAGGACGGCAACCAAACATGGCTCTTGCTAGAGCTCAAGTGCGCCGGAAACACCCTCTTCGACTCCGCTGAAGTCGTTTGTGGCACCGAGACGCAATGCCTGGAAGGCACTCGAGTGAGCATCCTCAACGACATCCAAGACTGGGTCGATGACCCCGCGGCGGAACCTATCTACTGGTTGCATGGAATGGCTGGCACTGGCAAGACCAGCGTCGCCCTGACCGTGGCGAATGCGCTGAACCATCAGCAGCCCTTCGCTGGTAGTGGCCGCTCCCCACCCCATGGTGCTTTCCTCGGAGCCAGCTTCTTCTTCAAGCAAGGAGATGCAACCAGAAACAGTACGAAGATGTTCTTCACCACCATCGCGAGGCGCCTGGCGCAAGAGCTCCCAGACCTCAAAGTTCACATAGCCAATTCTGTCAAAGAGGATTTAGAGATCGGATCGAAAGACCCCTTCAAGCAATTCCAAAACCTGATCCTCAATCCTCTTTCTTTACTAGACCAGGAGACATTGCTCTCGATACGTTTAGTGGTCACCGTCGATGCATTGGATGAGTGCATTTACCAAACCGACGTTGAGCAGCTGCTCAGCATGCTAGTGGCTATTCAAAGCCTTCATCGAGTCCAGCTACGCATGTTTATCACCAGCAGACCAGACGACTATATCGTCAGAAGCTTCGAGGAGCTGCCCAGCTCCCTGTATCGCTCGTCGGTTCTCGACAAGGTTCCTTATCCTGCGTGCGAAACGAACCAGGAGGATGATATTACGAGGTATCTCACACATACGTTGACTGGCATCGTCAAGAAACGGAAAGTACCGCCAGATTGGATCGACCAAAATGGAATCGCAAAGCTCGGCCAGAAGTCTGATGGACTATTCATCTACGCAGCGACCGCGTGCCGCTTTCTGGATGCTGAGGAATTTTCTGACCCAGATTCCCGGCAGGAACTCCTCGATGTGATTTTCGACAACCTGGTGGACCGTGGTGCCCCTCAGGAGAAGGCCGATGAGATATACCTCAAGGTTTTGAGTTTCAGACACCTTGAAAATGCGAGGGTGACAACGAGGCGGAGGTTTTTCGCATCAATTACCAAGATCCTTGGCTTTATCGCTGTTTTTTGCGAGCCCGTTTCCACGTCTTCACTTGCCGACTTCCTTTTGCTCCAAAGACCAGAGCTCGACGAGAAGTTACGGCGGCTTCACTCCGTCATAGCTATCCCGCGGGAGGGGAATCTCCCAATAACTCTTGTCCACCTCTCATTCCGTGACTTTCTCCTAAAGCGAGGAGCGCTCGCGGGGACTTCCTTTCCGGGTTGAAGAATCATCAATGCACCGAGCGGTACTGGAGCGCTGCCTCGAACTTATGTCCCAGAATCTGCGTCAGGACATGTGCAACCTCGTCTCGCCCGGATGGCGCGTGTCAGAGATTGCTCCCAGCTAAGTCGAAACCAATATCTCACGAGCCTTACAGTACGCTTGTTGCTACTGGGTAGATCATCTTGCCAAGCTCAGCAACACGCAGCGCGGAGAAGCTGGGCTCAGTGACGATGGGAAGATCTATCGCTTTCTCCGCGAAAAGTTGATGTTTTGGCTGGAGGCAATGAGTTTGATTCGGAAAACCCCAGTTGCGGCTCTCGCCATGAATCGCTTGGCGACACTACTCATGGTAAGTCATCGACCTATCCCACTTTGTATGTCTGCTAACCATGTCTTCCTCCCTACTTAAGCCATCGGAAAGCCCTTTTCTATCTGATCTCGTAAATGACGCTAGACGCTTCGTGCTTTCGAATAGCTGGGTCATTGAGCGCGCTCCTTTGCAAATCTACTGCTCTGCACTGGTCTTCAGTCTAACTAAGACTCAAATACGGTCCCGCTTCGAACATCTCATTCCTTCCTGGGTTTCACACAAGCCAGGGGTCAATGAGCGGTGGCCTGATTTGGTTTCCGTGCTGGAGGCCGACAGTACCGTGACATCGGTCGCATTTTCTCCTTTAGATGATCTCATCGTATTTGGTTCACGGGACGGGAAGACAAGAATCTGGAACTATGTGACTGGGACGAGCCTCTACGAATTCGATCATTCGAAGTCGGTATGGCGTGTTGCTTTCTCTCCGGATGGTCGAACTGTCGCCTCAGAACTGGAGGATGGGCTGATTAGTGTGAGGGACTTCGTCAACGGGTCAATGAGGAACCTGACGGGTCATTCTAGCGGTGTCGCTGGCATTTCCTTTTCGCGTCAGGATTCCAACATCTTAGCATCATTGTCATACGATATGACTCTTCGGGTATGGAACACCCACAAGGCTCATGAGGTGCGTTTCTTCAGTGTCCCTGGGCGCACCGTTACGGCGGTTGCCTTCTCGCCGAACGGCTAGTTTATAGTCACGGGATCTAGGTCATATGGGACCTTGGCCGGCGAAGAATCCTTTCTTACCTTGTGGCATGTTGAGAAGGGAAAACTATGGATCATGGTTCATCCCCAGGACTTGAGGAGTCTCATCCATTACGTCGCGGTGTCAATGGACGGGCAAACCCTTGCCTCAGTATCGAACGAGATTGTCAGGTTCTGGAATACTACGACTGGTGAGATGCAGTATGAGTATCACCTTGATGCTCCGCCTGGGGCAATCGCGTACCACCCAACAAATGGAGATCTGGTGGCCATTTACACAACACCATGGTGCGCTATCAGACTCTTGCATACAAAGACTTGGAAAGTGGGAAAACTTTTCACGCCAGTGATGCCAGGCAGTTGTCTTTCTCTCGAGATGGCAATTTCGTCGCCGCAGCCTGGGGCGGACTGGTCCGAGTATGGGAAACGGTCCAACCACAAGACGCTCATCTAGACAGCCGCAAGTTCGCTGTGCGCTCAGTTACTTTGCTCCCTGGTGACGATGATCGGGTCACCGTGCATAACAACGATGGCTCGATCCGAATTTGGTCCGCCGAGGCCGAGGCACCGGAAGCTGCAATAGCGAAGTCAGCGGAAGGTCTGCAGTTATCACCAGATGGCAGGACTAGCGTTCTCAAAGAGGACTACGACACGTTCCATGTCTGCGATAAAGACTTCGCCGTTGTCACCACATACAGCGGCGTCCTCGAGGCTTTTTTCGCGCCAAACAGCAAGCTTATCGCCTTGGTATCAAGACAGGAGCTCTGCGTCGTCGATTGCACCACGCTCGAGTGTACGAAATTAGCACCGCGGCTTTCCTACTATAAGGTTGAAGACGTTGAGTTTTCGTCGAATAGTCGGGCTCTCGCGTGCGTGCTTACGGATCGTCGTCGAAGTGATTGCACCTTGCATCTCTGGAATTTTGCGACGACGAAAGAGTGGAAGAAGGAGCTGCCACAGTATCAGGATACCATCATGGACATTGTATTCTCACCAGACAGTACGCTAGTCGCCGTCACTGTTGACGATGGCGGGCAACTGTACGAAGGCTACTGCAAACTGTTGGAAGTAGCGACAGGAAACGAGAGGGGAGTCCTACGGTTGAAGCGCATCCCGTTACCATCGACGTGCCGTTTTTCACCCCAACGGTCAACTCATTGCAACCACCGCAGGTGGTAGGTTGCAAGTACACGGTGAATTCCGTGACGTCAGCATTACTCTATGGGATACACGCTCAGGAAAGGAAAATATCACTTTCCAAGTATCAACGAGCCGCGGCGAAACAAACTGGGGAATCACTGGGTTGGTGATTTCTACAACGGGGAAACTTGTGGCCTCATCTGAGACTGGACGTGGGACGATTGTACGGATGTGGGATCTCGAGACCCGCGCGGAGATTGGGAGATACTGCATTGAGGCAGGCTTTGCGGGCTTATCGTTTTCGGCCGACTGTCGGTATTTACTTCCGGGCCCCAAAATCGGGGCTCTCCCAATCCCACCTGCTGTTCGGGCTACTAGTCAGGGAACTTTAGAATCCGGGATAGCGGACATGGAAGCAGCGGAAAGCTGTCTCTACGTGGGGTCCCAGTGGGTGCGTCAGGGATTTGAAGACCTTCTCTGGCTTCCGCCAGCTTATAGACCCGACCTACGCTGTCTCGCCGTGCGGGATGGAACTATCGGTCTTGGAGCACATCACGACATGCCATTGGCAATGGTTTTGTTCATCAAAATAGACCTTGCGAAAACGCCATTGGCGAGCAGGCGCAGGAGGTTGATGCTTCAGGTCTGAGAAGAAGGCTTTTGGTGGAGCTGTTGGTTCCTACGAAGTACTTGGGAGGCTTTAGCAAAGGGTATCTTTTTGGTGGCTCTGGAACGAGCAAGACTACGCGAGGTCGCAGTCACATGCCCTGAGGGACTGGCTTCGAGCGCATTGGAAGCAACGTCGCGTTCTGGCTGGCATCACTTTGACGAATGTGGTCGGGACGAAACTGACTGCGAAGTATTCGAGATATGTGCCTTGCCAGCCCACAACAGCGGCGTCTTCTCTGCCCGGCAGGATGTCAAGCTCCTTTCTTTGGCCACATCGACAAAGATGTTACGAAGGAAAGGGGTAAGAGCCAATGTCCTATGGACTGCAGTACAACGTCCCTGACCCACAGGTATGGACCGTTGGGAAATAAGTTCTATCCAACCACCAAGTGCCGGGCAAAACCTTTCTTCCTCATCTCCGACAGACCCTCGTAGCCGGGTCGCACGGCTCAAACACATATCTCAGACAACCCGCCTCGACATAACCACCCACACCACCATTGTTACCTGTGTTATAACGGACAGATCAGCACACCTTGCGACTCTCTCACGGCCGGAGACTTTGCACACACAATGGGGGGAAAAAAAACAAACAACTTGGACTCACAGTTTGCAAAATTTCCCCTCAACAAGCTATAGCAGGTATCCTCCGACCCCGGAACAGGCATCCACGCGCTCTGCTCCTCAACGTCGGTCGTGCACCCTTGGATCCACGACACGCTGTACCAGTACGGCGTGCCGTTCATGACCGTGTTCATCCCGAGCGGCTCGCTGTCCGGGCCCAGCACCACGTCGATGGCCGCCACGTCGTCCCGCCCGCACGCATACACAATGAAGATGTCTTGCCAGTACGGGTTGATGTCGGGGTGGTTGGGGAAATGGGATTCGGGGAAGCACATCTTGCGGTTTATGGCCAGTGGTGTGCGGGTTGGGCTTGGAGAATTGGTGGTGGTGGCGGTGGTGGTTCCTGTGGCTACCCAGGACGCGCATGTCGTTGCGGGGGCGCACACGGAGATGCCCTCCCGGCCGCCGGGGAAGATGCACGAGGTGTAGGTTGTCGTGGAGGCGCAGCTGCTTCCAGAGGGGTTGGTCCAGCCTGTGGTCAGGGTAGGGAGGTCGGTAAGGAACGTGCGGCTGGTGCTGGTGCTGGTGCTAGTAGTGGTGGGTGCTGTTGTTGATGATGATGGGGGCTCGAGTTCTGTGATCTCGGTGGTGCTGGTTCTGTGGAGGACGCACGATCCGGATCCAACAGTTGTCGTGGCTGTTGCCGACACCGAACAGCCAGAGGTAACGCGGCTGCTGGTGGTGGTGCAGGAGGATTGGCCCGGTGCGGTTGTGGTGCACGACACGAAGAAGTCAGTCACGGTGGCCGTCGAGCAAGCACTCGTTATGGTCATGGTCGTGGCTGAGTCTGTGACTTGACAGCCGAGGATGTCGGCGCAGGTGGACGCGACATTCGTCGTCGACGGGCCTACTGAGAATGTTGTCGCGCAGATTGTGGCTGTCTCGGTTCGGCATTCTGTGGGCTCCTCCGAGTAGGTCGGTTTATGATCCTGGCCTATCGTGATACGGGGCCACGGCGGCAGCGGCCCACTGATGGTGACTCCGGGCGGGAGCCGGAGGATGCCGATAGGTGGAGGACCGCTGTCATGCGTTGTCAGTATTGGGTTGTATCGGGATTGCAAGTTTCAATGCTTACGGCGGGTAGATGCCTGGTGGCAACCTCCAGAACCAACCTCCAATGATTATAGGGCCGGTCCTGATGCAAATCTTGAATACGTATGGTCGTTAGCCAGGTTTATGTCTGCTGGCATATAGTAACTCACGAAGAAAAACCACAAGGTACATGGAACCCTGCTGCCTCCATCGTCTTCCTCTGGTTCGTCCACCTCTTCGGTGATGGGCTCGATAGTACCCTCAGGTGGCCAGGTTGTGAACGTCGGCAGCGGCCCCACGTTCGATGTTGATGTTGTCGAGGTCGCGGTCGTGATGGGGCCTGGGGCGGTCCAGGTAAACGTGGATCCGCCGGTTGTCACTGTTGTAGTTCCCGAGAGTGTGATTGGAGTTCCGGTGCCAATGACGATGACCCCTGAATTGGACACCAGTGTTTGCCCATCTGGAAGTGTGGTAGTAATCCCGCCACTTGATGTCGTTGAAGTGATTGAGGTAGCTGTAGCGATGGGGAAAAGCGTGAAAGTCTCCCCACCTGTCGTGACGGTTGTGGGTGTCGTGACGGTGGGGAGGGTGATGGGTGAGCCTGTGCCAATTACAACAAGTCCGGAGCTGGAGATAACAGTTTGGCCGTCGGATCTGGTCCAGGTCGTTGCAACTGGCGATGTCGGCGTAGTGGATGTCGCGGACGAGAGGGCGGATGTTGTAGGGGAGAGAGTGAATGTTTCTCCCCCGGTTGTTAAGGTAGTGAGGGAAGAGACGGAGGGAAGTGTGATGGGCGTTCCTGTGCCAATCACAACAACCCCAGAGCTGGATATGACAGTTTGGCCATCAGATCTGGTCCAGGTGGTTGCGATCGGGGATGTCGTCGTGATGGATGCAGGCGGCGAGAGAGTGAATGTTTCTCCGCCAGTTGTCAGAGTAGTGAGGGATGAGACTGAGGGCAGGGTAATTGGCGTGTTGGTTCCGATGATCACAATCCCTGAACTAGAAATAACAGTTTGACCGTCAGACCTAGTCCACGTTGTTGGCGCTCCGCTGCCTGAGAGGCCAGAGGTTGGAGGCGAGGGGGTCCCAGATGTAGGAGACAAGGTAAATGTTTCTCCTCCCGTGGTGATTGTTGTCAGGGAAGATACACTGGGCAGAGTGATGGGCGTATTGGTTCCAATGATCACGACACCCGAACTAGAAATAACGGTCTGGCCGTCTGACCTGGTCCATGTCGTCGGTGCGGGGCTGGCCGGGAGTCCAGATGGAGGAGTCAAAGTGAACGTTTCTCCTCCTGTAGTGAGAGTTGTCAGAGAAGACACAGTTGGCAGGGTAATTGGCGTGTTTGTTCCGATGATAACGACCCCTGAGCTGGAGATAACTGTTTGGCCGTCGGACCTCGTCCAACTTGTAACACCAGTAGCACTTGTAGTACCGCTACCACTTCTACTAGTAGTAGTACCGCCACCATCAGTAGCACTGGTACCGCTTGTAGCATCTGTTTGCCCGGTGGTGGTGGCCGTGGGTGTTCCAAAGGTGAATGTATGGCCACCGGTTGTCATGGTAGTGACCCCGGTCGGTACCGTGAAGCTGCTAGTGCCAATGACAATGACGGAGCCGCTAGACACGATAGTATCCCCGTTTGGTTCCGTCCAAGTTGTGGCACTTACCAGTGTGCCGCTGCTGGTCCGCGTCCTGGTCGAGGTTGGCGGCCTCGGGGGCAATGAGATGTTTGTTGTCGGCGTCGGCCATTCTGTGAAGGAGCATTGCGGAAATTCCCCTGATGCCGTGATGGGCGGGCATGAAGTAGTAGAGGAGGACTTGCTCGCAGAGGAGCAAAAGTTGCAAGACTTGAAACTGCTCGTGGAGCTGCTCCCTGAGATACATGGTCTTGAGAATGTTGAAGTTACATACTCGGTGCAGGTTCGGATTTCCGTAACGATAACGTGGGAGGTTATGGAAGAGACCACAAGTGAAGTGCTGCTTTCAGGGCACGGTTCCGTCGTGGAAACATTGCCAGTGGGAGCGTTTACAGGGAGTGGATCACAGCCGCCCACAGCATTGCAAGACGTCCCTGCTGGACAGCACCCAAACATGCAACAAATGGTTCCTGGCAAACGTTAGTGACGTTGACAACATACTAGGTCATGGCATTTCCTCACCGGGGCCGCATAGATTGTGCTGCCCATCAGGGGTCTGGCAGCACGTATCGCCGTAGTCATCGGAGCCACATCGATCCTGACACCAGTACTCCTTCGGTGCACATCGCGAGGTGGAACGAACGAAGACTCCCTCAGCAAGTAGAGGTGAGAAAGTAAGAGACACTACAATAGCGTATAATAGAGATGGCATTGTGCAGAACCGGGAGAGACCATGGAGAAAACCTTTGGCAGACAACGGATGGCAGGTAGGGGACGTTGACATGCTACATACATGTATTTCTGATCATGAGACAACAGTGTTGAGTTAAGTCTGACATCAACATCCCTTTGACCGTCTCCTGAATAGCATACCTAAAAAGCCGAACATCGCGTGACCGGCCTTCCCCGATCTATACCGACGGATGCCTAGGTTGGCATACAATCAGGGATTTCTCTGTTCCCTCGGGCTATTCCTCGGGCTCACCCTCGAGATTGTCAGGCCTCTGCTATGGGCCATATGGTGTTGTTGGTGATGTGCAAGCGGCCGACAATCCGCGATGAGTCCGATGACCACCATCCCGTTCACGGAAAACCCGGAAGGTCTAAGGTGAAGGGAAGCTCGGCATCAACCACTAGTACTTACCAAGGTACTTCTATGAGACAGTGCCAGTACACAGAAAACGCTGATTTGCTGCTGATGGGTGTGGCTTTACCTCGGCATCATGTTGGTCAGCGGCTTGAAGGCGGCCAGGCATCAGCATGCCATTGAGCCACCATTTTCCGCTTGGTCAAGTTTGTACCACCATCAAACATTCTTTGGCGCCGTAATAGAGACCTTGCGTAGATACAGGTGCTGACTATCATCGGTAACACGGACGATGGATCATGGGTCTCGTCTCAGGAGGGGGCGAGATAAGTAGGTATTTTGCCCGGAGCATGCAAGGTACGACACATGAACAGGGATGAACATGAAGTGCCCGGCGCATATGTTCGCAACCCAAGACATCGGCCCCTCGAAAACAAACTCTCTCCATCATCCATCACCATGGCTAGCCAGCCGGATGCTCGAGTACTAGAGGAGATCTTGAAGACGCTCCAGCGTCTTGAGACATGCCTTGACGGCCGAACCAACGTGAATACACTTGGTACCACCGACGTATCTAGTATATCGACGTCGACACACGCTACCTCATCATGGAGAGACCGAAGCTCAAGAAGGCCTTCGCACAGCAGCTCAAGTTCCCAGGGGCCAGGGCATCATGACCAACTTGGAAGCCCCATCACCCCGTCATACTCGTATGACGCTCAATCTGCCGTATCCGCTTACAAGGCATCTATCGCTGAGCTGCGAAAGCGCTTTGAATTCATCGATGACGGCTCCTCCGGTATCATCGGTGACACACCCGATGCTACCAGTAATACCAATGTGCAGCCAGCTGTAGGGCTAGGGCTCTACGAAAATGAGCAGGGAGCTGCCTCTGACGACGAATACGAGTATGACATGGTTTACACCGAGTCCGCATACTCGCAGTTTCCATCTCGCTTAGACCTTGGAAATTCTGGCGAAAAAGAATTACCACCTCTTCCAGACAGCGCCCAACTGCGGGATTACTCCCTCGCTGGTACAGCATCGAGGTTCAAGACCGAGGACCAACAGCAAAAACCAGGTACCTTAGACGCCCAAAGCCGACAAGAACCACCACATGCACAGGACGGGCCGAGTCAAGTGCGCCAGGGGACGCCTCTACACCAATCTGTGCAAGGGTTCAGATACGATGAGCAACCTGACAGCGGGGCCGCCTCTAATCCGAGTGCGTCTCGCCAGCACGAGTGGAAATCGGTCATCCGAAGGCGACATGACCGTGTCGAAATGGCATATTTTGCTTGGAACCGGTTCAAGGCCTCGCTGTGCTCCTCTTGGTGGTTTATCTCGCAAGACCGAAAGGCCAACAAATGTGAGAGGCGTCGTTTGCGGAATGCTTTAACTCCTGACGCGGCAGTTCTACGGCTGGAGACTACTAGTACTACGGAAGGGACCATGGTGTCCAGATTGACCAGGAGTATTGCTCGCCGGCTCAAGGTGGGGAAGATGGAATCATGGCTCAGGGGAAGTGTTGACAAAGTGGCCTGAGAAATGCTTTGGCCGTTCTCTCCTTATGACTGCTAGTACCTACCTACCTTACTTAGTGGGATAGGCTTATAGGTATAGTACCCTTTCTGTCTGAATTAGTGGTCAGGGTCATTCCTTGTTACTCCGGTGTCTGTTCATTTTGAATACCTTAGCTTGAGTCATTCCTGCTATCTAACGGCACTTTGTTCCTCGGTTCATGTTGTCTACTAGTTACATGGTATAAAGTACCTACCTAAGGGTAAGACTGCAAGTTTGAGTCACGTTTTTCGTATGAACCCGAGGACTGTTGTTATCTTGAATGGGATAGTAGTAAGCACATGCAAGTAACCTGTATGTACATACAACTCCTAGGATAGCCGACTACATCCGAGTGTGCTGTATTCCAACGTTAGGTCAAGCCTTGATTGAGTGAGAGGAGTGAGAGTCCCGCAAGGCCCGATGCCGTGTCCCCGCTCTCACCATGGCCTCGCCAATACCACAATGCCATATACCCTACCTGCGCAGTCAGCCCTTTTAGTGGTGGCCTCAGAGCGAACACCAAGTACGAGCCACAGGTGGCAGTTGTCTCCAACAACCAACGAAGCCAACAGAATACTGTCACGTGCCATCATTGGTCCATTTTTCCCCCAGAACCATACTTCTCGACCAATGGCTCTGATCCCACTCCTTTTGGACTGGACTAGGCCGACACAAGGCGAAGATCTTACGGCCAAGTCGTGCGATTCTGTAAGGCTGACCAACAAACACAGCTGCGTAGGTATTTTCCGCACTGTGTTTTGGATGTAGTTGAGGAGTGTAAGTGGTTCAGCCCTACCAGTCCCGACTCCCGCGTCCGACTACACCGCCGACTCACCGTCATCACATCACACCTTGTCAGCATTGCGGTGTAAACACATAGAGCATGAACCAACAACGACTGCCATCACCGGCCTATCATGGCTCGGGCCGTCATCATGTGGCCAGGAGTAGGATTTGTTTGTTCATGCAAGAACATTGATTTTGTCGTGAGGAACCATGAATGGGGGGCTTTGATGATGGTGTTTGCTAACATGAATGCCTGAGTCTCGTGGCTACTATATACCTCGGTGTAGACTCGGCCGCCCATGCCTGATATGGGGATGGAAATGGTAGGCAACCGGGTCAAGTCGTTCACACGGCGACGAAGCCGATCCTGCACACATCGGCAGTTCACCCGAATTCCCCTTTGAGGAACATTCGAAGGGTGGCCAGGCCGACAAGGGCAATCAAGACGTGAGTGGGTGTATTCCGTTGTCACATAAGAATAGGTAGGTACCTACTACTACTTGACCTTTGCTACCCCTTATCCAAGCGAGCGTGCTCCTTCTTCTGCCATTTCCTCCACTTCAAGCTTGCCCATCATGAGACTCCTGGTGTCCCTCACTGCAGCTACGGCCTTGTTGCCTGGCAGCGCATTTGCTGCATGGTTTCCCCTCACTAGACTCCCCAGACACAACAAGTCGCCATCGCAACCGCCAGCCGGATGTGAGTTCACGCTCTCCTCAGCTGAGCCATTTGTCTGTCCCGCTGGACAGCTACAAGACGGCCAGATCAGACTCAACGGGAGTTACGAAACGGCCAGTTTCTTCATAACCAATGGCGGCATCATCGACTCTGACGGCTTTGGCTGTATTGTCACAGGTTAGCTGACGTCCGCCGCTCTATCCATCCCTTGCCAGATGACTAACTTTTTGAGCAGAAGCTCCCATTACGCAGTTCCAGTGTGACGCTGGCAAACCCCCTACGCCAGGCTTTTCGATAGACGCGTACAACAATCTGCTCTACCAGGGGTCACCGTCCTTCTGGGCCTGCCCGGCCACCGACTATGAGTACAACATCTATATCAAGCCCGATTTTGGCCAGACCAAGTGCTTCCCTATTACCTTGAAAACCAGCGGATGTGGTGCTCCCCCTTTGGCCCCGACCAGCGTTCACCCGTTCACTGTATGGGTGACGCAGACCAAAACCGTCACCGAGGACGTAACGCAGACCGTGACCGTCTTGACGACTCTCCCGCCGACATCATGTCCCGTCCAGGGGAATCATACTTCGTCGTCAAGCCGTGGCCCGTGTAAGCACTGCACCAAAAGTGAGGGGCTGAGCATTCTTCCAAGCTCATCGCCATCATCCTCGGCATTGGTATCGCCAACGTCTGTTGCTGCCAACGAGTCCCTGTCCCACACGGCTATCTCTGGACGTGGGTAAGTAGCATTCTCCGAGAGTTTTGTTGAAAAAACATCATCTGACTTGACGTCCCTCTAGCCTCATCTCCAAACGGGACCTCTACAACGACTGGGTCACTGTGCGTGACACGACGAGGAGGGGCGCTGCGGAAACCGACCTGCTGAAATGGGTTCCCATCGGTGCGGTCAAGTTTTACGGCCCTCTAATTCCCGGTCTGCGGGTTGCCACGGCCTACTTTCACGGATGCACCGTCTTCGTCGTTGTCGGCTCTCGAGGTCTCTTCTTCGGACACATGGCCCAGGAGATGATAGGCCCCAACAACCGGCCGTGCAGGGCTCTCGAAACACGGGCCTTAACAGAGGAGGTACTTATTCCCGAGATTGAGCTGTCGGAAGGGCTGAGCGATCACAGCTTCAACGAAGTATCGCCCCCAGATTGCCCTACCGAGAGGTATGCCATCATTATGGGCAGCGTCCCGGACAATAGATTGGACCAAGGACCAGCCCGCCTCAAGGAGTACTTCATGGATGAGGACGAGGGAGCTGGGGTGCCTCCTGAGAACGTTCGGTATACACCCTACTCGTCGCAAACTCCGGGGCCCGATGACCCTCCTGGACCGTTTGGGAAGGGCCTGGTCACGGTGGACGACGACGGGGTTGATGACAAGGGGAGACAGCTGGTCGTGCTGCGGGTATTTATGTACAGTGACACGCCCAGACTCACACTAAGGTTTCTTGTCGAGGATGGTCAGTTCGTGGCCCAGCCCGAGATCATGGTGGCAAACTCGTTGACGACGACGGATGGGAATAAGAGATACAACAGAAAGTAGTTGCCAATTCTTAGTCGTGTGAGGGAGATGTGGATGGCAGTTTCTGTTGCGTTTTATGGCTGGATAGGATCACGAAGAGTAGCAAATTCCTGTAGTAAGGTACAGACTGAGCAGGGAAGATCAACGCACCGTGGTATAACATAGACATACTGAAGTCCAGATACGGTCAGATTGCTCCAATCGAATGTTACACTAGGGTAACTCCCCCTAAGTAAGGTAGGTACTACATACCTACCTTATGGTGCTGGGTAATTCACAGTTCATGTTAGTAGCTTTGTCGTTGGCTCGTGTGCTTACACCCTGCCCAAGTGCCGGCTTCAAAAACATGGCACTCTCCAAATTCCCCTCATTCCGCCAACTTCCTTTCTTTTCTGCATTCTGCCCAGGTTGATCATCCCTTCTGCGCCATACGTCTTGGCAACTTCTCTCCCACGAGTCACGACAAAGGACAATAGCCTAGTCATGGGGCTTTGTGACCTCCCAGCCGAGCTGGTCGAGCACATAGCTAGACTGCTTGACCGCACAGACATCCTCAGCATTCGGTTGGCATGCAGGACCCTGTATCGGCGCTCGACCGCTGCATTTGCAACAGCTTTTTTCAGCACCGTCAAGATCGATCTCTGTCCCGAATCCCTGGAACGTCTCAACCGCATCGCCAGCGACGACCTTTTTCGTCGCCATGTGCGTCATGTCAGGATTTGCGAACTGTTCTCTCCCGAGCAATGTTCCAATCCCCCTGGACATGCCCCAGGAACCGGACACCACTGGGTTCGCGACCCGTCAACCTATTCTCTCGACCCGTCTCCCGTCGCCAATCCCGTCATTGGGCACCTTCACGCCATGTTCGCCCGCCTAGTCAACCTCCAGTTCTTGTCCATTAACCCTGACATCGTGACTGTGCCCGAACCAAACCCTCCAAAGAGCACTGGCCTATGCGTCCTCGACATGGTGCATGTCGCTCTCTTGGCCGTGGCGAACATCCCGCTCAAATCCTTCCACCTGAATCGTGGGACCTTGATGCGCGGGTGGATTAACAGCCTTGTTCCAAGCAACATCGTCGAATCTCTAACACCCCCCTGGTCGACACATCTGATTGATCTTCAACTCGCGTGGCACCCGGTATTCAACAGGACCCCAAGAACCCGGTGTCCTCTGGTCGACATTGTCCTTTGCGGCAAGTCTCTCCGGAGACTGTCAGTCATTTGCCCGCCGAGCGAGTTTTTCATCCGAGTGCTTGCCGCGCGGGACTCAGACCGGCCACCACTGGAGGTACTCCACTTGCGATTCGTGGAAACATCTCCTGGGCATGTCCAAGCTTTGGTGCTGCGGTTTGCCGAGACGCTGGAGCATCTCTGTGTTGACCGCGCCACAGTCCCAGCTGGAGCTGAAGACGGGGTGAACTGGAAAGCCGTCCTCGCGGACTGGGCTGCAAATCTCGGAAAGTTGCAGTCTTTCGCCATCAGCTGGCTCTCCAACACGCAAGCGGTCCAAAACGACCGCGTGCTCTTTGACCGCGTCCTCGAGTGGGATGAAGGAGGCGAGCTCCCGTCCGGTGGGAAAATGCAGTTCATCCCAAGAAGCATAAGTACCAGAGAGCCGGGCAGAGGCTGGGGGGTTATTGGACTGCGATACTCCAACCCAGGGAGAGGCGCCGACGTTAGGAGGGTCTTTGCAAAGGCCGTTGAGGCTAGCTATACGGAGCCCGCCGATGCGGCCAGATGGCAGGGGCGTCCTGAGGGTGAGCATCTAATTGCCGGGAGGATTCCAGCAAAAGTTGTTAGGATATTTGAATGTCCAGAGTTAGTTTTGTAGATCCCACCGACGGCAAGGTAAGGAAGCTGGCTGGGAGGATATACAACGCTGGGGATGTGAATTGGGCTTGAAGGATGGTTGCGCGGCATAGTGCATGGGTTCAGAGCAGAATTAGACAGCAAAGGTTCACGTGAAAATCTCAACAGTGTTGTTGTTGAGGGAGAAGAGGGAGGCAGACCGTGGCCGGGAGATATTGAGAACGTGCCTACCATAACCCAAGATAGCAGAGAGCGGGGGAGGGTGCTAAAAAGACAAAAGAGCTTCAAGAAGCTCCGAGCCTAAAGGTCCTACCTACCACGGCATGCGTCGATGAGGCTTAACCTTGTCGGACGTTTGTAGGCAAGTGCAAGTAGGGAGGATGACTGAAGGCCGCAGACGGCAGGAGGTGATCGGGTAAGGGTGGGGCATCCTCCATGTAAAGGCAAGAACGCCGGCAAATGTTGCCCCATTTTCCTGGTGTAAGTGATAGCGTGGAACGATAAGGCTTCGACTGTTTCGGATCGCACTGCTGCCGATCATCCCTCGGAGCATGGAACTATAGGCCTGCCAATGGATGTCTTGCGCCGAGTAGGCATTGCTCAAAAGCTAAACATTTCATACTAAAGAAACTGGGCCAAAAGCAGGTAGACTCGAATGTTGGTAGAGTTCCCTATAAACGTCGAGGTACAGTATGGACTGCAGCTACGCTGCAATCGTACTGTACAGTTACACTGTATTTCAACCTCATGCTCCCCGCCAATCTCCAGGCGCCTTGCATTCCACTATTAGCACATCCTCAGTGGATGGCAACGGCACTGAGCCACTAAACATCGCCTAAAAGTCTGAGCCTAGCAGCGGAGCTTAGCACACCGTGCGTTCTACATACCTACGAATTGTGCATCCGGATCTCCATAACATTTGAGTCTTCTACTTTTGGGCCTTGGCCATAGCTTCTAGCTTCCGTACTTCATACCCATACGAACTTTCGAGAGGTTGAAGTTGGATTTGGCCTAGGCGGAACGCCTTGTTAAGTTCCTTCCCCATCGATGATTGGCCTCGTGTGTCGAAACACGAGGTGCTTTCAGTTCCCTGAAACCTCCCCAAGACCCCAACGTCTGTGCTTTTTGGTGAAGGTTTCACAACCAATCCGTTGAGGTACTGTACTGTACAATACGACCCTGATATTGTAGGTACCTACTCATCTGGTAGTGACAGCGACCGTGCGGTGCGATCTTGACATATTCGCCGAACCGGGCCGTAGCCGCTCCCAGCATGGCAGGTTTAAGAGAGTCTTCCCCTTCCTGGGCCTAAGTTCGACCGCACAAGCCTAACATGCGCATCACCAAACGAAACATTGCGGAGCCCGGAACCAAGACGGACCCTATTAGCACAGCCACGATCTCGAGCCGCCGTCCTTCCCTATTCGGCCTCGTCTTAAGGTTTTGAAACTTCCTGGTTGCCATGATGTCTGTGGGTGAGAGGGACCCAGGGTGCAATCACTGTGCAAATCCCGGCTTCGATCTCGAGATCTGCCCACGGGAGCCCCGTGGAGTCTAAACACACAGGCAAGTCCCGGATTTCCAGATGCAGCTGCCAGCCTGGCTGCCCCGTTCAATGCCGAGAGAGCTGCACCCCTAGCTCCGACCAAAGCCGAGGTTCTGCAGTGGCACTCAGTCGAAGCAACGGACACAAGCGCGCTAGACTGAGACTGTCACCTTCTTGAAACTGCCTACCCAATACTGTTGTGTTTGCAAACTTCAGACGGTTCCCTCTTCTCGTGGAGAGGGAGGTTGAGCGCGATGAGTTGAAACCAACCTCGAGTTGAGTAGCAGGAGACACTCCAGTCACCATCACGATGCTTCTCCCAGCAAGCTGTCTATATAAGGTCCCGGAGTCCGTCATCATCTGGCCGTCACTACCTCCATCTTCATCGCATCAAGCACTGAACTGGCGGTTCAGCTTTAATCAACTTCCTCCACACTCTCAGCAGATTCATTCTCATCCTGCAGGACAGGTTCTTGTTACTCCGTCCATCTTTCAACCTCAGAGAAAAAATGGCATCCTCTTCGATCAACATGAAGGCGGTTCTTCTCTTCACACTCCTCTCCGGAGCAAGACTTGTTGCCGGCCACGGCGCCATCATTGCCGCTACCGGAGATGCCGGTGGCACGGGCAGTAAGTTCACCACAAACATCCCGGCCATCTTTCCTGTGGCTTCAAGGCAATTGAAGGCATTCGCTAACCCCACCGTCAGTGGCCCTCGGCGTTGATACCAGCACGCCCCGCGATGGGACTCGCAGGAATCCGGTAAATACACCTACCCTACCATGCTCAACCCAAGCACGACCAAAGGATGTGTATGTCCTAACAGATATGTCATGACAGTTCCAGCAGGACAGCACCCGATTCAGGGGCGACGCGGCCGAGACCTTCGGCGAAACCCTTGCAGCCGGTGATAACAACCTCGAGGCCGGCACACGAGCCATCATGGCCGAGACTGGTGACTCGCTGCCTCAAGTCACCGCAGGTGGCGAGGTGCAGATGACTTTGCATCAGGTGAACTCGGACGGCGCTGGACCTTGTATGTACCTCCATGATTTCGTGTCACCCTCGACCGCGCCATTGCAGTCTGCGGAACAAGCTAACAGACCTCGCGTTATAGATGAGTGCATGCTGAACACGGATGGGACTGGACAAACGTGGAACAACATCCAAGTTACCCAGAACGGTATGGGCCTTTCCACACCCTTATATGCACTTCTCTCCCACTGACATATTGTTCGTTTCTAGTCCCTGGCCGGAACAGCCGCAACAGGGTTAGTACTGCCGCCCCGTCTCGACCCTCCCAACTTATCCTCCTAACCCAATAACCACATGCATGTTCCCATGCTGACCCTTGCCGGTTTTTAGGACGGTGAAGCCACCGATTTCCCGCTCACGGCCTCGATCCCTGCAGGGACAGAATGCACCGGTACCGTGGCGGGCCAGGACAACGTGTGCCTGGTCCGCTGCCAGAACTCGGCACGCGCCGGCCCGTTTGGCGGAGTAAGTATCATTGCTTATCTCTTACATACTACTTCTCCCCTCTTTCGATCGGATAGCTAACGTGGCTGAACTATCAGGTTGTCCCCGTCCAGATGGCAAACACCACGACGCCGGCGGAAGCTCGCCGCAGGTTGGCCAGGAGCGTTCACAAGTCCGAGACCAAGCTGGCTCGCGTGCGCCGTGCTGTCTCGCTGGCTGACGAGCTTGGCGACCCGGACGTCCTCGCTGAGCTGCTCGAAGACGGTGACATCAATATCTAGACGCCGAAGAGGAAAGTTGGGACTCGACGTCCCATGCGAGGGGTTTACTTTTTGTTTTGACGGGATGGTGCAGTGCATGAGGGCGAGGGAGGGTACTGGTACCTGACCATTTGGACTGGATCCTGCCCTGGTGGTTAAGACTCAAGAGACCGGCTATGCTAGCTGAAATGCTGTACTATTGTATTGTTTGGAAGGAAATAGAAGGTGATCGGGGCAGTACCTCGGCCTAGGTTAGTAGCGAAGGCTGAACATGGGATCAACAGGATAACGACTGGAAGATGCCCTGTATGGGAATGTAAACTGGATGCTAGCATAAGCCTACTTGGAATTCATAGTACATGTAACTCACTCATAATCTGCAGTATGTGAGCGGCATGTTCCAACATAACGGATCGACTCTTGCTGGCCCAAATGGGGCAAGTTGGGGGTGTCCAGTCCAGCCGCTGGGCATACATGTACCGAGTGTGACACCGGACTAGACGGAGAGCAAATTTGCGCACGTTCTGGCGGCATGCAGGAGCTGCACATTGGGGGCACTCAGGAGGGTAAGTAAAGCCCGAGACTTCAGAAACATCATACCCATAGTAGTGATTAAGACTTTCCAGGCGGGCGAGTACCTTGGCCCTGTGAGTTTCGTTGACTGACTCTGCGGAAGGAATACTACGAGTCGTAAATCATCGGGACAGGCAAATCATTCACTTTGATACTTGGATTCACAGTTTGGGAACGGCAGGGAGAGAACAGGTCCTTGCAGGCCATCAAACCTCCGGCCCCTGGCTTCATGTTCTCTATTTTTTTTGCTTTTCTGGTAACTTATGGTTGGGGTTGCTACGCGACATGACATCCCCGCCCTCAGCTGGCACGAATCCAACCCAAAGTTAAAAACACAGAATAGGTAAGTTGGTAACCAGACGAACAACACCTTCCTTTGCGTCTTCTCACATCAGACCGCTGCTCAAGTTGGGAATCTCAGATTCTAGACCGCAACCGGATGTATGATAAGTTTCCACGTTCCATAAAAGGATAAGACGGAAGTTTCAGGGAGAAAATACAGCAAAGACATACACTTCTTGAAATGCACAATACGGCCCTTGGTGTTGGAGGCATGGCTGCCAAAGGAGCGCTGGTTGGTCATCTCCTCGCGTGAAAGGCTCTCGGGGATGACCTGGGCCTGGTCGACAGCCGTGGCAGGAGCGGGCCAGACTGCCTTCCAGGGCTGCTGTTGGGGAGACATTTTGAGCGTGAACGGGGTGTCGATGGAAGATTGGATTATGGAAATAACTGGGTGATGTGATACTTGGGTGATTGTCTTGTGTGATGGTTTGCTTGGGGGGACTGATGGTGATCATGGATGGGAGGGGGCTTCTCATATAAGTACTTGTTGGCTGACATGGTGAGCAATCCAGAGCACCTGATGCCTTCCGACTGGCTCCTGCGATGCATGATGTGTAAATCGTCATTGCAGGTGTCCTGTACAAGTGCAATACGTAAGGTATTGTATGTACATATCTGCTGTTAGTGCAGCGCAAGTTTTGGCTGTAGAGTTTGCTCTCTCGACTACCGCTCTTAACAGATCTTCTCGACTCGGTACTATGTCCTGTAACTTTCCTAAAGAAATGCAATGCTTGCCTCTTTGGTTAGCAGTTGCAGCAAGTGCGCCGCAGCCGAATGAAACCTGCTGTCGGTGGGACGCACCTACCTCACTCTCGCCGGCAACGCCAACTACGACCTTGCAGTGTGGACACTGGACCTCCGGCGACATGATATTGGTGTCTCAAAGCGTAGCTCCCAGCTAGATGTTGGGCCTGGAAGGAGACAGCCTCGGAGCAGCCCTCGCCGCCAACAAAGACGCCATGGACTCGGCTGTCACGTCACTCATTGGCATCGACTTAGCCGGCCTCGTTGAAGGGTTCTGATGCAGAGAGCACATACATGCCGTGCTGCCATGACCATACACGTATACCAAGCGCGCATAACCCCTCCTCCGTCTGGTAATTAACTCATAATAGGCCGCAAGCCATTGGCTCTCGGTCCCGTTAGTAGGTCACAAACTGAGTGGAATTGAGTCTTTTCGCTCCCGTTTTGTGGGTGCAATGGGGGTGGCTGCTGATAGGATACCGAGAATTGGTTCCCGTCTGAGTCGAATAGGTGGAAGGCAATGGTTACCTTACCTACGTTATCCAGGTTTTCCCAGCACCTACCTTACCTTATCCTTCTTCTCGAAAGGGGCAGATGCATGTGGTCAACAACGACCACAGAGATAACCGGGTGGACTGGATGGTCCCATGTCCGGCTTTCCTCTATTATGAGAATTCCTCGCGTCTTCAGTTCCACCTGAGCCCCCTCGTCCTCAAAGATCAATCATCTTCTCCTCAACCACATTGACCATGACAGTCGAAACCCCCTTCGTCGCCACGGTGAGATACGTCAAGCGGGACGAGAAGAGAGATAGCACCGAAAAGCCCTACATCCTCCACTACGCCGCACCCGAGGGCTTTCCGCAAAACAACTTCTCGATTGAGCCCGTCCATGGCATCCAACTACACAACCTCCGCACGGCCAAGCTCGACTACAACGAGCACGGCATGGCCATGGCAACCATCGATGACATCAACTTGGACGCCGACCGCTTCGACGACGACGACTGGGTCGAGAGCGTGTACCTCCCGCAGCTCCACAAAGCCATCTGCCACGCCCTGGGAGCCAAGGACATGACCGTGTTCGACTGGATGGTGCGGAAACGTGCCCCGTCGTTTCCCCGGCGTTGCGAGGGCGAGACCAACGTCGATGCGCACCAGCCGTCTTTGTCTGCTCATATCGATTACACCGAGGCTGAGCTTGACTCGCGTCTTGATGGCTACTTTGGTGCGGAGAAGGAAAAGATGTTGAATCGCCACTACCAGGTCATCAAGTGCGTTGATTAAACCCTTATGATGAGTCCAATGAATATTGACCGCCCGTGAAATCAGCATCTGGAAGCCCCTCTCAGGCCCATGCCGTGACTTCCCCCTCGCGTTTCTCGATCCACTGACCGTTGATGCCTCCCAGGACCTCATCAAGGTCGATGAGGTCTTCCCTACCGTGGCAAACGAGGTCTTCCAGGTCTGCTACAGCCCAAAGCATGCATGGTATTATATTCCTGATCAACTGGCGTCGGAGCTGGCGGTTTTCAACGCCTACGACTCAAAAAGGGGCCAGAGTTTGGCCGTCCCGCACTGTTCGTTCGACTTGGGCGACTCGGGATCGGGCATCCCGAGACATAGTATTGAGGTCAGGGCTTTTGTGTTTTACTGAACTGCTATGCTATCAGTCTGGGTTGTTGGGTGGCATATTGCCATCTGAAGGCCATACGTAAGGTATCGAATAACACCTCACAAATAACAAGGAGGAAGGGAAGGGAAGCACCTAATTTGAGAGCTCACTTTACCCATTGATATCTGGTTAGATGACAGGAGGCATCATGCAGTGATAGGTACCTACCTACCTAATCGAATTGGAGTCTTGGAAACTTTCTCATTTGCAGAACTGCATTGACACACACCCATCCGCCCACAACGGCCGTAATGCACGCTGCAATGGTTTGCAGACGCATGTCACAATGCGGGAGACGCGGTTGGTATTGTACTGATGAGATGGGGGCGATGGTTTGAGCAAGTTTCGGACGATGCAGAACGCCGGAACCAGCGACCCATCTGGAATCGAAGTCCTGGCTCGCGAAACAGCCCGAACTCTCAGAAGCGTATAACCAGAACTGGCTTCAAATCTCCGGGACAGGAAGTGTTGTTGACTCTCCTGAATCCAACCGAAGTTGCCGAACCATCTCCTGAACAAGGGAAAAACATTGGTGGGTCAGCCAAGCCCAGCTACGGTAGCCTTGCGCCCAGCAGAGACCCACCAGTTGAAACCCTCCCAGCCACCCCAAGCCACTCGGAGTGTGTGGCTGTCTGTGGCTTGATGCGCTGATGGGCATTGTGCAGGTTGCTGGCCTTGGCTGTTGGCTAACCCCCGCCACCGATTCATTTTTTTTTTTTGTTCACAAGATCGTTTGCTTGCAGATGAATGGGAAGCGGTTTTTTTGTTTTTGTTTTCCTATCAAAATGAAAGAGCTTATCGATAGATAGGACTTGAATCAGAACCGCTCGTCTTCTCCATGTCATCATTTTGAGTGTTTAACCCTCCGGCAGATGCACCTCAAAGGCTCAAACGGCAGCTGACGGTTCCTGTCAGCCTGACCTGGGCAGAGCGACCATGCCAACAAATTTCACCAGCAGCAAGGCATGGTGACTGAGTGCAGTTCACATCACAACCCCCGACCTCACGAGCGGGCTCTCCCTCAACATGGTCATCTCCTTCCCAAGTTCAACAACAACAACAGCAACTCCCTCATCATCACCAGCCACCACCACCACTACTACTAGACCCAGCCATGGCATCAGCAACTACCTGCTATCAACCCTCAAGGCGCGTTTCACGCGTTTCCGCCAAGTCCCCACCCTAGACTTGTCAACCGCCCCCGGTCGGGCAGCAATTGTCATCTTACTCTGCCGTGCGCTGTACAGCCTCGCCCATGTCGTCCTCGCCGTGCAGTCCCGGAGCAACACTCCCAGCGAGATGGCCGTTGTGACGCTGTTTCTGGTCCTTGACCTGCTAGTTGTGGCGTACTGTCTTGGGCGGATTGCGGGGTTGCATGGGGAGAGGAAGGTGCTTGGGTTCTGGATTGTGAGTTTCATCTTCTATACAGTACCTAACTACGGGCGCCTTGATACTTGGCATGGTTAAAGGTGTGCTGAGGAGACGGACTAGGTGTTATGGTGCTGACGGTTGACTCGACAAATACAGGGGCGCAGGCAGCTTGATGCCTTTCTCTCCGGCTGCGCGGCTGTGCATGTGCTGTATATGCTGTACTTTCTCATTTTTGTTGACCTGAGAGCCGTGGTCTTTTCTCTGGGGAACGGTCCACTGCTCACGGGTGTTAAGTTTGTGATTGTGGTGGTGACCTGGGTGGTTGACCGACCGCCGACTGATGAGAATGGGGCGTTGGGCATTGCTTGAGGAATTTGTTTTGGGCGTGCATACTTCGAAATGTAATTCAGTTGTCTTGGCCCCCTGGATTCTTCACCGGATGCGGTTGTCGTCCACAATCCAAGGCCTGGTGACTCAGGGACCACATCACCTGCAAGATGGTTGCGTGATGAAGGTCATCGCCCAATTAGGGGCATCGTATAATGCAGTGGTAAGGTGGGCATCTACCATATCGGTCGAGGCTAGCTGGACTACTCACTTTATACCGGACAAGATGGGTACTTCTGTATTAGTCAGGGCGAGGAGATATCAATGTTCTCTCCTGTCGTTACTGCGCTTATACATCTTCTCAACCCTCCGTCATCCATCCCGTTCCAATCAGCTAACCAGCGGGTTCCTCCACCGGTCTCCCTGCTACTCCCTCAGTGAACTTCTCTCGCTCTCTCTGAGCCGCGGCAGCCCCCTGGGAGATCTCCAGGTGCTTCTCCCGGACCACTCAGTATCAGTTGCCATCTGGAAAAACCAAAAAGGGAAAATGACTCAAGGAGTCGCATGAGTCGCATTCAGGCTCCAATTCTCAAGGCTTATTGCTCGGCTGGCCCATCGAGTCTTTCCCCGTCGGGCCGGTTATGTCACTGGCCTGTGAGGCCCGGCCCAAGTGCGGGTCAGTGCCGCCCGTCATGCTCGTGTGCTGTTCTCGGGTTGGCCATGTCGTCTGAAGGGTATCCTTCCGCTCTCCCTGGGCAGCTGTGCGTAGATTGTGTCAATCTATGAGGCACAAAGGGCAGGAGTACAGGATGGTATTGACTTACATCCATCCTTCATTTCAATCTCCTTGGAGAACCCCTTTTTCAGCGTGTCCTTGACTTTGTCCATCTTGAAGTGTGTTCACGGACTAATTTGCTGGATGGCTAGGGAGATGAGAGAGATGTTGTATGGGAGTTCAGATGCTACATGGCATCCGGTGACTGCGTTGATATATTGTTGAAGACCTACATATGATGTCATCGCGGACCCTTTGGGCGAGAGACGAGAATGGTCCACCAAGACTTTTGGCGGTCTTGGCCGACGGTGGATTGCATTCAAGGACAATGCCTCAAGTCTCAAACAGATTCATGGATGACTTCTGACCACGTGGTATGTACTCGGCTAGTACTTTAGAGCGCCGATGAATGAAGACACGTCGGTGTATCCCGGCCGGAGCCTGGCACGACCTAGATTTGCATAGTCGAAGAAGGAGCATCAACCCCAACGGCGTATCAGTTCATCTCTCTTTGCGTTCCTCCCCCGCAGTTGACCAAATCGCTATCGAGGCCCTTGAGCTTCTCGTCCACGGCCATGAGTTCTTGTGACAGAACCCCGATAGATCTCTCGATCTCGGGATCCACGAGTCGAACCTCCCCGTACGGACTTTCGGCCAAAATGGAATCCCGGACGAGCTGAATTGCCTGCTTTCCACTGCCAATGTGCTTTGCCGCGGCGGCTTCCAGAGTCTCCTGGACGCTCTGCGCTACGTCATCTACCTTCGCCCGGCGGCTGGCAAGAGTTGATGCCAGCTCCCTGGCCTGGGTTTCTGAGTTGGCAGGACGATCTTCCTCATCCTGCGGAAGACTTATTGCGAGGACTCGGAGTATTTCGTCAAGTGGAGGTTCATTACCGATTCCAACCGTACCAACAGAATACCGCGATCGCTTAGGCCGAGGACGGACCGGAGACATGTCTTCCGGTGGGCTGACGCTTTTCTTCGCTGTTGTAGGCGCTTCATCGGATGTGCTGGCTAACTCGCATTTGGCAATATCGAGGACAGCGTCGGCCGCGAACTGGTAGGCCTGGAATGCTTCGAGTCGAGCGGTCAGGTCTTGTGCGCGGTCTATCAGATAATCGAGGCATTCGTGAATCTGCATCATGTTAGCTTGGGATGAGAGTAGGTTGGCCGAGGTTTACCGACATAGCTCATCGCCTGAGCAGACTTTGCAAGGGCATAGCCGTTTCTTGCGGCGACACTTTTCAATGCCGGCTCGAGGAACTGTTGTTCTGCTGACATCTGTGCAACGGGGAGGATCTCGGCATACAGCGACTCAAGCTCCTCTTGCAGCGCAGATACCTCGTCAGCCGAGACCCGGTGGTTGGTCCCCGATTGCAGTGAGGCCTCGAGCGATTCGAGATATATACGGTCCAACTTCGTTCGGATTCCCTCCACTGTAAATTTAATGAGTCTATCGCGGCCTTGTTAGTTTCTCTTCCCCAGAGCACAGCCAGCCAGTACACGGACCTTGCACAAGTCTCACGCAGCAGAGCGACGTCCTCCTGTTCTTCAGCATCTTCAGTTTGCAACTCCCATCCCAGCTTTTGGAGACTAGACAAGAGCTTGTCATCTGAGTGAAGCAAAGAGCTCACAGTTTGCTGGATGGCAACACCTGCTCCACTCGTCTGCTGCTTCGCTTCTAGAACACGAGAATGCAGGGACTCGGACAGCTCGCGGACCTAGAGGGGGTATCAGCAGGAAGTCCTAGTTTGCTTCGTGATGCTTGCATTGGGTCTTACTGCTGTTGCAAGGTCGCTGCGCTTCGACTCCAATCTTCGGGTACGCGCTACTTCCAAAGCACCCCGGGCATCTCGGCCCTGCTGACGGCCATTGACGAGACGGTTAAGGGCATCTTGTTGCTGCTTGAGCGTCTCGGTGTGACGCGTGATAGCCTGGGTGGAACGATGTAGTTCGTCGATGGCATCCCTGAGCTCCTGATCCCCTAAGATTCGGGTTGCGGAGAGATCCGTCGAAGTAGCGAGGTTGTCGGCCAACCCTGATTCCTCAAGAGCAGCATATCTTGACGTCGCTGTTAGCACAATTTACTGATGAGGTGGCACGCCATGGACCTAACTGATTCAGCTCATCGGGCGAAAGCAATGTGTCGTGAGCAAGGTGGACTGTCGCCCAGTGAGCGAAGTCTGTCGACTTGGGGTCGGCGAACGCAGTTTTCACCGCCGCAGCATCCACCGACGCGTCGTACACTCGCAAGATTTTGATTAGGGACTCGGCGTCCATTTTATGGTGCGAAGGTGTTTTCCAAGCTTCGGGCGCACACAGAACTTTAAGCAACGTTGCTCAGCAGATCTGTGGCGGCTGCCTGGGCCTGCCCGTCGAAGTGTTAACCACGGGAATGTTCTGGCTGTGCGCACTGAACTTTACAGGCAGTTTCCCCTGAATGGTGGGGCGAAGATTGGTGGGGCATTGTAGGAGCGGCGGCTTGGGCGGTTCCCGCTTGCCCCTTGCAGCTTCGCTGGGGATTGTTGAGAAGGGAGCTCTGGACACCATCCCCTTTAACCGTGGAATTGACACATTTCTTGGCAAAACGCGAAACTGACCAATTGAACTTTGTTCCGGCCGCCAAGACGTCGATCTATAAATTTCACTACATCGACGGGGAAATTTTAATTGAAATGCTCAGCACAGACACGCTACGACGCGAGACCGAGAAAGTCTCACCAAGTATTTATAGGACACCAAGAGGTATGTCATTTCCACGGTTAAAGGGATGCGGCCCACGCGTTAGCGCACATCATTGGCAGCTGCTAGCCATTCTCGTGCCTCTATCTTACACATCCGACAGCACAGACAAGAGCATTGCATCAAAACAAGTTACAACCGTCGCAGCCGGACATTGGATATCGGCAAAGGCAAGGAAC